CAAGGTAACAATGTACTTAGTGTGCAAGTGGCATAGCTGGGTGAAGTATCGTTCCTCTGTTATTTAAGAAATCGGTCCGTGACACCGAGGTTAGTAATGCTGTTATCCAAATATGAACAAATTATTCACAAGTTATTTTGCTTTTTTTAGAATAATGGCCAAGGGCTACTATGGAAAGGATCAAGATAGTCTTGAGAAATTACTTCGTGAAGTAGAAGATGAAGAAAAAGAGCGGGAAATACTCAGACAAGTATTTGATTGGACAGAAACGACAGTCGAACCCGATGATGACGAAAGTTTATCTGATGGACAACATGAAATATTGCAGTACGATACTAAGTCTGAGCAAGAATTTTAGAGTTCCAAGTTATATCGGTCGAGATGGACTTACTAAGTGGAAAAAATAGGTGTAGTTGCCAGCACCTGTTAGAACACGCGCCCAAAATATCATCACGCAATTGCCAGGGGTTAAAGGTACTGCCAAGGAAAAAAAGCAGCCTTAGATATTTGGAGCCTTTTTTTACCGATGATATACTAGAAATTATAGTACAGTTCACCAATAAATACATAGAATCCAAAAGATATAACCCTAGCTATAGAACTGCCACAAAGACTGACCTTATTGAAGTTAAGGCTCTGACTGGACTATTGTATATGCCTGGTGCATCAAAAAGTAATCATCAAAATGCCAGTCATTTGTTTAGGACAAACGGCATGTCGCCTGAAATATAACGCCTTACATGGCCATGGAAAGATTCCGTTTTCTTTTAAGAAGTAATCGTTTTGATTATAAAGAATCACGCCAAGATAGACATAAGTTTGATAAAATGGCTGCCATTCGAGATTTCTTTGAACGCTTCACCAATAATCCTCCGAAATATTATTCAATGTCACAATACACCACTGTAGATGAAATGCTTCAAGGTTTCCGGTGTAAATGCGCATTCCGTGTATACATGCCCCACAAACCACGCAGATATGGTATAAAAATTTACTCCTTAAGGCTCGATGACATTAAGCGAGTTTACTCGCTACTAGCCGGCGAGTTTAAAAGCTGGCGAGTCAGCGAGTAAGATAGTTATGATGACACACAAAACTTCCCACTCGTGTAGTAGCCAACTAGCTAGCGATTTAGAATCACGTACTGTGTATATCTTATAATTTGCAGACTCTTTCTGGGTGCTTCATAAAAAGATGAAGTGGAACTCAAATAATATTGTGGAATTTCTCAACATCTACCAGCAGTACCCTGTGTTATGGAATATAAAAGACAAAGACTATTGCAACACAAAATTAAAGGATGGGATTTTCCAACGTCTTTTTAATGAACTTAATGAAAAGCAGTTAATTGGAGGAATGGATGTAAAGCAATTGAAAGCTAAAATCAAATCAATTAAAGACGTATACAGACAAGAACTGCACAAAATCAAAAGAAGTATGAAAAGTGGCTGTGGTACTGAGGAAGTTTATTCGCCAAAGCTAGCATGGTTCAATGAAGCAAATTATATGGAAGAGGCTATGGCTACAAAAAGTAGCAAATCAAATTTGGTGAGTAAAATATATTCACTTTAATGTCTTTTTATTCACAGATAATTATGAATACATTATTACTCAGACTGTTATTCCAACTTTCTTCCATTGCCAAGGCAGAGGATGTTCTTCTGTAAAGTATTTAGCATATGCTCGCCTGACTTCCTCAGCAACGCGTCCGTAATTATTGCTGCCCAAATGATTAACAGACTGCAGAATGTTTCCATTTTCCCTCCATAGCCCAGGTGTTATATTCCCAGTGTTTAAATCATCTCTATCTACTGCTTGTTGTGGTAAGTAGTTGCCTGGATGAGTTTTTCTTAGCCAATTATGAAGACTGCAAGTAGCCCAAATGACTTTATCGATAGTTTCGGGTTTCAAATCAATTGGTCTTGAAAATACTCTAAACCTCCATACAAGTACTCCAAAAGCATTTTCTACAACCCGTCTGGCACGGGACAGACGATAATTGAATATTTTTTCGACATCGCTGAGGCCAGTTTTACTGTACGGTTTCAGAAGATTTGATCTTAAAGGGAAAGCATCATCTCCAACAATAACGCCATTTTCAGGCATCCCTAGAGTATTGTGTTCCATTGCAATGTTCAGAGTACTATCTCTAAATATTGCACTATCACTTGCTCGGCCATTTCCTCCTACGTCGATGTAAGTAAAGCAATAGTCGGCATCAACCATAGCAAATAATATGATGCTATAGGTTTTTTTGTAATTGAAGTAGGCTGAACCGGAACACGGGGGTCTTTTGATGATGACATGTTTCCCATCAATGGCTCCCAAACATCTAGGAAAATTCCAACGCTGGAAGAATTTTGTTTCGATTTTTTTCCATTCATTAACTGTTTTAGGTACCTGCAAAGAATAAAAGTATTATAATTAAATCGAAGTAATATTTTAAATCAGTAACATTATGATTTCTAGGATATCTCAGAAAACAGTTCAGAAGAAATGCCAGAAGAAAGCAGTGAAAGCTGTAGGGAATCTGCTCAGTCCGACAAAGACAACTGTCAAGAGGGACGCTTGAAGAATAAGTCGCCTACAAAAATGATACCACCAGCGACGTCAACGAAAAGGGCGAAAAGACGAGCAGCACCCGAAAAATCACCTTCTGAAATATCAGAAGCGATTAATCATGTGGACAAAATTGCACAAAATGCAGCTGAGCAGAAGCCCTATGATGGGTTCGGAAAGTATGTTGCATCCGAGCTTCGACAGCTTCCACAACGACAAGCCATCTTGCTACAACAAGAAATTCAGAACTGTATCATTCAGTCTAAGATATCCTCTTTGGAGCATATAGTTGATTCAACCCCAGAGCCAACCAATACTGCATTTTCACCATCTTCCAATCAGTCTCTTGCTTCGCATTCTTCAAACGACGATGAAGATGTTTTAAAGCAGGTAATGATTAATACGTTTGGACCAAGTATGCTGTAATACTATATAGATAATGTAACTTTCATACAATATATCCTTACAAAAAAAAATGTTTTTAAGTCGTAGTAAATTGATTTTCACTCACCTCAATGAATGGTAGAAGGGCGCGAGAAATCGCAGTGAGCACTTCTGGCAAAAACTTCGATATTGTCGATTCTGGAATTCGAAACAGGTATTCTAAAGACTTGAAAGAATCACCAGTTGCTAGATAACGTAGTGTAATTTCAAGTTTTGTGGCTACTGGGATTGCCATTCTCATTTTCGTATCATCTTTTTTGAGCACTCCATGCACCATCTCGAGTAAGTCATCAAAATGGGTACAATCTAATCTCAAAATATTTCGGTAAGCCACAGGATCTTCCTCCTTCAACTCTTTCAGTAAACAGCTCGATGCACCATACTTATGACGTCTTTCTATCCATGATTTTACCCACACTTTTCTGTGCATTAATTTCTGCTTTTCTTTTATTTTTAACTCCTTTTTTATAGCATGAGCTAAAATAACCACTCCCGCGCGAACTATATCCGTCGACATTTTGTAGACACCATAACCAAATAACAAGATACTCGCAGCTAGTCCACTAGCAACCATGATGACACACGGCTAGTTTACTAGCTAACAAGCCTAGAAGCCAGCGAGTAGCGAGTAAAGTAGCCCGGCGTTCAACTTTTTTCATAGATAGTTTACAATCTGCTAGTTAGCTAGTGAATACGATGACACTGGGCGAGTTTACTATCAGATAGTGAATTCGCCGGCTAGTAGCGAGTAAACTCGTTTAATGTCATCGAGCCTTTAGTGGATGTGAAAATGTTTTATATATACATCAACTATGGAGGTATATGTAGGTAAACAGCCAGACGGTCCATACAAATTTGAAACTGCAAACATGGCCCTAATTCCACGCTTATGTAGATCAATTTCGGGCACAAAAAGAAACGTTACAATGGACAACTTCTTCACAAGTATGGAATTGGAAAATATGACTTTAGAAGAACACAAATTAACAATCATAGGTTGACAAAGAGGAATGTGCCAGGTATAGTACGAGTAAGCTTATGCTTACTGCAGACCTGCAAAAATGTTTGCCTACGCCAGTAGTGACGAACTCCTAGAGTTTCTAGGGTTTGAAGTTATAAAATAACTACCTGTGTGATGTGGGTTGAGTCAAAGGCAAGTCGTGGAGCGAATGAAATAGCATCGGGTATGCTTCGATGGGCACAGAACAACATCAAATCTCATCACAGAGAAATCGTAGTCTGGTCTGGCAACTATCCATCTCAAAATGGGAACTTTATGATGTTCATGATGTATCTTTGGACTCTACGATCGTTTCCTTCTTTACAAGTTATTAACCATAAATATTTATTGCGGGGTCACACACATCTCGAGGTAGATGTTTGTCATGCTCTATTTGAAAGGAAAAGGAAAAAAACTGTTGGATTCAAAATAGTAACGCCCTGGGACTAACAGCACCTAGCCAGGATGAGTAGCACCAACAATCCATTTCTAATAATTAACATGCATTTCCAAAATGGTTCATATTCAGATAAGACAAGAATTTCCCGATGTTTTGTTTTATAAATATGATTTCGAGGAAAAAGAGTTCCATGAAGTTACCTTAACAAGGATTGGGCGTCGCGTGCAGCCAGTAAATGAGCTCCCAAAATTGACTTCCGAGGGATCGCATCCGATTTCTGCTAAAAAGGACTTTAAGTGGATTCCCAAAGAACTCCTCGATTTCTACAACTATCTACGCCAGAAAAACGAAACTGAGGGAAGTGAAGAATCTGAGTAGCTGGCTCAAAACGATAATTATATCTGTTATTGTTCGACGTTAGAATGTAAACCCTGGTCTTTTGCTGTCTTTCTACACCTTCGAAGCCGCATAGTTGCAAAACAATAATAGTAATTTCAGTACAGACTAATAGTATCAAGTCCTACTCAGCAGTATGTTAAGAACCAGTAATGGATTTAGATCAGAACAAAAGTGTAAGTCAAAAAACGAATTTAAAAAATGTCTCAATTTGTAGTGGACCTCTCTGAATCACTTGAAGGAGGTATCTCAATTAATAATTGGGTCCTGCTTCAAATACCAAGTTCATTGACGCACAAGCTGCATTGTAAATCGAGAAAATTTCCATAATGTGATTTTCAAAAGTTCGAGACCGTCTCCTGTAAAATATCATCTTTGTGCCATAATACAGTTTTATTCAGATAGTGGAGACCTTACACCTTCATGCACCAGCAATTCATTCAATTCTGCATCACCATTTACACGTAAGGAAGCTTTTTTCTCTCTGGGTACCGCATAGTCTGACGGAAGAGCAAAATACTCGTCGTACGACTTGGTGCCAAAAGATGCTGAAAATGTTTGATAAGGTGCAATCTCGGTATGTGAACAGCATCGTGACAGGTGACGGGACGTGGCTCTATTATTACGATGTGCCGATCAAGGCTTAAAACAAAGTTTGGGTCTTTGATGATGAGGCACAGCCGTAGCTGTCAGAAAATCCCATCTGTTAAGAATCAAATGATAGCTGTATTTTTCAAATCGGGCGGAATTGTGGAGCGTGTCGTTTTGGACACACAAAAGACAGTCACAGCTAAGTAGTACACGGAACAGTGCCTGCCTAAAAACTATGAAAAACCTGCGGCCAAAGTCAAGAATGGACACTTGATACCTCCACCATGACAACGCTCCAGCTCACCGCGCCAAAGTCTGCACTGAGTATTTGACCACTACTGGACTGAAACTTCTTGAGCACCGTTCTTACAGTCTTGCTCCCTGCGACTTTGCACTGTTTCCGCATGTGAAAATGAAGCTAAAAGGAAAACGGTTCTCTAGCGATTAGGCCCTTCTGAGGGCTTGGGACAACGAGTGTGTCGCACTCCCGGGTGAAACTTGGCAGAGCTGGTTTAAGGACTGGTTTTGGCAGATGGAGAAGAGTATTGAATTTTCATTACCCCTCTTTGATGGAAATCCATTGCTACATATTGATTGTTACATTCCTTGGACTATATGAAATTTGTGTAAATCCTTTCACCTTACGAATCTTTGGTGAACATTTATAATTACATATTATTTTGACATTTTAAATTACTGATACTCCAGAAAATTGTTCTAAATTATTCCACCCTACACCATTTTGACGAAACTTCTTTAGATATTCTGTATTACACTTCTTAGAGTGTGGGAAATTGGTTAAGTACTTCCACATTACACGTATTTGACGAAGGTTCATTATTAGATATTCTTTATTACATTTCCCAGACTACAGGAAATTAATGCAAGCCCTTGCACATTACACCTCTTTTCTTGAACTATATGAAATTTGTGTAAATCCTTCCACATTACGCCTCTTCTGTGAAAATTTATTATTACAAATTATTTATAACATTACTCATACTCCCGAAAATTGTTGTAAATTCTTCCACCTTACACCACTTTGACAAATTTTGTTATTCTGTATTATATTTTTCAGTCTGTGGGAAATTGGTGAAGTCCATCCACATTAAACGTATTTGACGAAAGTTCATTATTACAGATTCTTTATTACATTTCCCAGACTGCAGGAAATTAGTGCAAGTCCTTCCACATTACAACTCTTTGATGGAAATCCATTATTACATATTGATTGATACATTTCTTGAACCATTTGATGTTTGTGTGAATCCTTCCACGTTACGCATCTTTGGTGATCATTCATTATTGCATATTATTTATAACATTATACTCCAGAAAATTGTTGTAAATTCTTCCACCCTACACCACGTTGACGAAACTTATTCGGATATTCTGTATTACATTTCTTAGACTGTGGGAAATTGGTAAGTCCTTCTACATTACATCTCTTTGACCAAAGGACATTATTACATATTCTCTATTAAATTCCTAAGACTCCGGGAAATCGGTGTAGTCCTTCCACATTACATCTCTTTGACAAAAGGTCATTACTACATATTTTCTTTTAAACTCCTCAGACTGCGGGAAAATGGAGTAATTCCTTCCACATTACACTATTTGACGACAGTTCATTTTGACATATTCTTTGTTACATTACTCATACTCCAGAAAATTGTTGTAAATTCTTCCACCGTACACCACGTTGATAAAACTTTGGATATTCTGTATTACATTTCTTTCTTTCTTCAACATTACATTCTGTAGGACTTGATGAGTTTGAGTGTTATTTGGATAGTCTTGAAACAATTCTAACAACTTTTGGTAATTATAATATTGTTATAAATGGTGATTTCAACGTCCCTTCCTTTAATATCCAGTTCAATGACAGAAAATTCCAATCCTTGAGTCAGTTCTGTGCTTTCTCGGACCTCACCAATTTTAACAGCATTGTGAACTGCAATGGGAGACTACTTGATTTAGTATTGACCAATTTTAATATTTTAGTGATAAGAGATTGTTACCCTTTAGTTAAGGAAGATAAGCATCATCCAGCTCTCCAATTTAACTTCACGGTTGGGAGTATGAAAAATAATTTCAATTTGAAGACCGTCTCTAGATATAACTTCCGTCGTGCTAATTATGTAGCCTTGTATAATGCTGTTTTGAATATTGATTGGTCACACCTCAAAGAAATGAATGATGTAGAGAATGCTTGCTCATATTTATATTCAATATTGAATGAACTTTTTGATTTGTATATTCCAAGGTTTAAGCAAGCACAGCGTCGTTATCCTTTATGGTTCACGACTGAAATTATAACTAATATAAAACAGAAGGATAGGGCCAGAAACTGTTTTAAGCAAACAGGACTCATTCATTTCGAAAATAAATTCAAGCAGCTACGTACTAACATCAAGGCTCAAATAGAAATTGCTTATGCTGCTTACACCAAGAAGGTTGAAGATTCAATTCGTCATGATCCGGGTAAGTTTTGGTCATTTTTAAATTCAAAGAATAATCAGTCTAGAATACCAGGCTCCATGTCTTTTGAAGGCAACGTTTTTGATACCCCTCAAGCTATTGTTGATGGATTTGCACAATATTTTTCGGGTGCGTTCACTACCTCAGGTCCGTCGACTTTTAGAAATATCACTTCAGGAAATTGTCACATATCATTAGATCATATCAGTGAACATGATATCATACAGGCATCAAAAAAATTGAAGAATAAAATGACGTCTGGTTTTGATGGTGTACCTAGCTTCATAGTTAAGGATTGTATTCATATCCTAGCTAAGCCTCTTCGCTATATATTCAATTTGATTTTAAAATCTCGTTGTTATCCTAAAATTTGGAAGATGACAAAAATTTGTCCTATATTTAAGAGTGGTGTCAACTCAGATGTAAGTAATTATCGTCAAATAGCTATTTTATGTAATTTTAGTAAATTGTTTGAGATAATAATTTATAACACAATATTCAGCTCCGTAAGATCTCTCATCTCTGAAAATCAACATGGTTTTATGGTTGGCAGATCTACGGTCACAAATTTAGCTTGTTTCACTCAGTTTGCCGCTAGTGCACTTGATTGTCAGGGTCAAGTAGATGTGATATACACAGATATTGCGAAGGCATTTGATCGGGTTGATCATTATATATTGTTGGCAAAGCTTGAAGCGTTAGGTTTATCAGCCTCTATGTTGACCCTCTTGCAATCATACCTTGCTGATAGGTCATTATATGTTGAATTTGGTGGAAGTAAGTCTAAAATTTATACAGCAACATCTGGAGTTCCACAAGGTTCGAACCTAGGACCCTTGTTATTTCTTATTTTCATTAACGATCTGTCTTTGAAGCTAACCTGTATGCACTTGCTTTTTGCTGACGACTTGAAGATATTTTCGCCAATTCACTCTTCGAGTGACTGTGTGGAGATGCAAAGCAAGCTTGACTTCATATATGAATGGTGCAACAGAAATCTGCTAACGTTAAATGTCAAAAATGCAAAGTGGTGTCGTATAGTCGGAAGCAGGACCCCATCATATACAACTATAACCTTAATGAAAGCATTTTAGGAAGAGATTCAAGTTTTAAAGACTTGGGAGTAGTGTTCGATAACAAACTCACTTTTAACGATCACATATCAGATATTGTATCATCAGCATCAAGGTTGATGGGTTATTGTGTACGTAACTGGTCCGGTTTCTCTAATGTGGACTGTTTAAGAATACTGTATTTTTCATTTATCAGGACTAAGTTAGAGTATGCGTCCTTAGTATGGTCCCCCCTATATCAGAATGCAATCGGTAAACTGGAGGCTGTACAACGTAAAGCTCTAAAGTATTGGTATTTTAAGTGCAGTGGTAGATACCCAGAAAGAGGATTTGATCATGACGTTTTGTTGGAGTTTTTTGGCATTGAATCACTAAGGAATCGTCGTGACGCTCAAGCTCTCACTTTCCTTTATAAGTTAGTGAATAATCATATTGATTGTGGGTTCCTACTGAGTAAGATTAATTTTCATGCTCCCAGATTAGTTGGTCGGCATAATAACATATTTTACTGTGATACACCACGGACGAATATTTTATGCAGATCCCCAGTAATGGTAATGTGTACCTTATTCAATTCAATCTGTAACAGAGCTGATGTATGTCATGACAGTCTTAATAAAATATTAAACATTTACAGGGAGCAATTGAGATAAAATCGTTTTGTTGATGGTGTCAGTTATTGTTATTCTTCAATTTGAGCACTTTTATGTTTTTTTTCTTCTCTTTTTTTTGTGAAGTGTTTAATTATTCACCTATGTATTATGTGTTCATTCAGATCACTAATGTTTTTCTATTTTCTTTTTTTTGTTATTATTTTCTGATTCATTGTCTATATATATATATATATATGTTATTTGGCGAAAGTTCATTATTATATATTCTTTATTACATTTCCCAGACTACAGGAAATTAGTGCAAGTACTCCACATTACACCTCTTTGATGGAAATCCATTATTACATATTGATTAATAAATTTCTTGAACAATATAAAGTTTATGTGAATCCTTTCAGATTACGCCTCTTTGGTGAAAATTCATTATTAATTATAAAATTAGTTATACTCCAGAAAATTGTTGTAAATTATTCCATCTTACACCACTTTGACGATAAACTTTTTTGGATATACTGTGTTACATTTCTTAGACTGTGGGTAATTGGTTAAGTCCTTCCACATTACATCTCTTTGACAGAAGGTCATTATTACATATTCTCTATTAAACTCCTTAGACTGCGTGAAACTAATGTAAGTCCTTCTACATTAGACGTATTTGACGAAAGTTCATTATTACATATTCTTTATTACATTTCCCAGACTGCAGAAAATTAGTGCAAGTACTTCCAAATTACACCTCTTTGATGGAAATTCCTTATTACATATTGTTTGTTACATTTCTTGACAATCTGAAATTTGTGTAAATCCTTCCACATTACGCCTCTTCGGTAGAAATTCATTATTACACATTATTTTCAACATGACTTATGCTTCAGAAAATTGTTGTAAATTATTCCATCTTACACCACTTTGACAAGAAACTCATTTGGATATTCAGTATTACATTTCTTAGATTGTGGAAAATTGGTTAAGTCCTTTCACATTACACCTCAGTGATAAAAGGTCATTATTACATTGTTATTTATAAAATTAGTTATACTCCAGAAAATTGTTGTAAATTTTTCCATCTTACACCACGTTGACGATAAACTTCTTTGGATATTCTGTATTACATTTCTTAGACTGTGGGTAATTGTTTAAGTCCTTCCACATTACACCTCTTTGACAGAAGGTCATTATTACATATTCTCTATTAAATTCCTTAGACTGCGTGAAATTGGTGTACGTCATTCCACATTAAACGTATTTGACGAAAGTTCATTATTACATATTATTTATTACATTTCCCAGACTTCAGGAAATTAGTGCAAGTACTTCCAGATAACACATCTTTGATGGAAACCCATTATTACATATTGTTTGTTACATCTCTTGGCAATCTGAAATTTGTGTTAATCCTTCCACATTACACCTCTTTGACAAAAGGTCATTATTACATATTCTCTATTAAATTCCTTCGTCTGCGGGAAATCGGGGTAAGTCCTTTCACATTACACGTATTTGACGAAAGTTCATTATTAATATTCGTTATTATATTCCCCACACTGCAGGAAATTAGTGCAAGTCCTTGTACATAACACCTCTTTGATGAAAATCCATTTGTACATATTAATTGTTTACACTTCTTGTTGTGTAAATCCTTCACCTCTTTGGTGAAAATTCATTACATAATCTTTATATCATTACTTATACTACAGGAAATTGTTGTTAATTCTTCCATCATACACCACTTTGACGAAATTTCATTTATGTATATTCTGCATTACATTCCTTGGACTGCAGGAAGTTGGTGCAAACCCTTCCACATTACACCTGTTTGACGAAAATTCATTATAACATGTTTCTTATTACATTATTACGGGGTTGGATCAATCCTAATGATGTAAGCTGCAGCGTCAGCGTAGCTAGAGGCTGCCCTCAGGGCGGAGTTCTCTCACCCCTACTGTGGTGCATCGTGGTGAACGAACTCCTCCTTAGATTCAGCAGTGTAGGTGTCTACGTGCAAGCCTATGGTGATGACGTAAGCATAGTAGTTAGGGGACGTTTCTGTAGAATAGTCTCGGAAATTATGCAGGGCGCTCTGCGCTCTGTGGAATCGTGGTGTAGGGAAGTCGATCTTTCTGTTAATGCTGAAAAGACCGAGCTGATCCTATTCACTAGGAGAAGAAGGCTTGACGGGCTGGTCATGCCGACCTTCTTTGGGACTAGATTAATTCTATCCCAATCAGTGAAATATCTGGTAATTATGCTGGATTGAAAAAGAACTGGAGAGAGCATGTTGAATACAAGGTTAGCAAGGCTCGCAATTCAATGTGGGCCTGTAGACGTGTTGTTGGAGTAAGGTGGGGGCTTAAACCCAAAGTGGTATTCTGGCTCTACACGACGATAGTACGTCCATCTCTTTTGTACGGCTCCCAGGTCTGGTGGCCTTGCATTAGAACTGAGACAACTCATGCCAAACTCAGTAAAATTCAGCGTTTGGCCTGTATTAGTATTACAAGCGCAGTGCGAACAACGCCACTGAGTGCAATGGAAGCTCTGTTGGATCTCCCACCGTTGGATCTGGTGATCCGCGGTGAAGCGAGAGTAGTCGCTCATCGACTGTGGAGTCATGGCAGCTGGGCTTTCTTGAATCCTGTCAAGGGGCATACTGCCATCTTAGTCGAATTGCAAAGGGAGGACCCCGTCCTTCTAAGCAGGGGTGATCCTATTACCCCTAAATATCGCTTCAACCGCAAGTTTACTGTGGAGTATCCAACGAGGGAGGAGTGGGACGCCGGTAGCCGGAGACTCTCCTGAATGAGCGGGCAGGTCTGGTATACGGATGGCTCGGTCACCGAAGAGGGCTCAGGTGCTAGGGTCTCTGGGCCTAGAACTAGGCTATCATCTCTGCCTCTCGGCGGATACGCCAGCATTTTCCAGGCGGAAATCTTTGCGATGCAGGCTTGTGCATCTCACATCCTGTAGTAGGGTGGGCCTAGGAGAAGAATAACAATCTTATCATACAGCCAGGTTGCAATGAAAGCACTAACTGCCTGTAAAATTACTTCGAGTCTTGTATTGCAATGCAGGGAGGTTCTCGATTGTCTAGCGACGAGGTAAGCGACGCGGCTTTTATTTCATCGTGTATTGTAATGAAACCAAACATAGTAAAGAGGTTGACGCAGTACTAAGCGACGAGACAAGCGAGGCGATACGCGTCTAGATAAAAATTATATTTATTGCCGCGTTGATGCAGGAGTGTGTTCATATTAAACGTCGGACGTACGTCGGGTGCACACCAGCCGCACACGGCAAATGCGCTGGTGTGCACCCGACGTACGTCCGACGTTTAATATGAACACACTCCTGGACGGGTCTAGCTGAATTCTGTTCAAGTTTTGACAAGTAAAGTGACGTATACAGTGTTTATTACATAGTTTGATAATAAATGTTATGTGTTTTTCTACAAGGCTATTATACATTCAACTTGCCTTAAAGTAATAACCAATCTCTCTTCCGGTTTAATAGGTTGTTTATTGTAGTTTGTCCAGTTTTTTTGAAGGTATGGAGAAACCTTATCCAAAATGTAGTTGAAAGTGCCAATATTCATTCTCAAATATTCGAAAAATCGGTCTGGGTGCTGCTTGAGCTCAAGAAATAATGTATGGTACTGACCAAACCGTTTGCGCGCCTTATTAATAGGATGTACAGAACAAGTTCTGTCTAAACCGCCCATTGCAATAAGCCCACGAAGCGCGGCATTATCAAATAAACTTTCATCTTCACTGTCGGATAACATTATTTATACTGATTTAAGTTTGGAACGTCAAAGCTACAAATCGCAAAATCTGTCTCCTTACTATGTGCATGTCTCCTGCCACGTCGCTTACCTCGTCGCTATGCCTCTAGCCTCGTCGTTCCACTATGTTTGTACCCTTAGTGTGGGTACCGGCGCACGCTGGGATAAGGGGCAATGAGACGGCTGACACTCTGGCGAAGACTGGATCAGCCAGCAAGCTCGTTGGTCCTGAGCCAGCTCTAGGAGTGACCGCGCATAGAGCTAGGAGGAAAATGAAGACCTGGGTTGCAAGACAACACTCTCAGAAATGGAGAAGTATCTCCAGACATCTCCGCCAGGCACGGGAACTTATTGAAGGGCCCAGTGCTAAGGATGGACGTTTCTGCCTATCTCTGGATAGAGCCAACCTAAAGTTGCTGGTGGGACTGTTGTCTGGCCATAACACGTTAAGGCGCCACCTGCACGTGATGGGGGTGGCTGAGGATCCCTTGTGTGAACGCTGCGGGGTAGAGGAAGAGACCTCGGCACACGTTTTGTGTCGCTGTGAAGCTCTGAGCTACTATAGGCAGACTATACTGGGGTCCATTACTTTGGACCCTCAAGACGTCAAGGAGCTTGAACTCAAGGCGATTCTCAACTTCGCTAAAAGGGCGAAGCTTGTGATCTAAGGAATGAAGAGGCGCATAAGGGCCCGCTTCAGCGGCCTAAGCACTGGCTCCTTATGGTGGCAGGAATGCCTCTAATTTCAAGATTGATTCATTCATTTTTATTACATTTCTGGGGTTAAAATAAATTATCATTACTAGATATGTTTTATAACATTACTCAGAAGTATTTCCTGCAGAAAATAGGTGTCTTTTCATTTTACACCTCTTTGACAAAAGTTCATTATTACAAACTCTTTATATACATTTCCTGGACTGTAGGAACGTAGTTTAGGCCATTCACATTACACCTCTTTGACCAGAATCCATTATTACAAGTTTCATTACGTCATACCTTTTGAGAATCCCGAAAGACCAGATAACGTGGCAACGTCGGGCCGGGCGAACAGTCTTCCACCTCTTTCATCCGACATTCATGAAGATGAACACACGTATATTGTAGACTCATTACTTTAATGTAAATTCTTAATAAAACTTGTTGGCTGCGAGGAAAGTTCAAGTTAGTGTCCACAAAGCAGAAGCAACATACAGTCCATTAGCAGCTTCATTGAAAAGGTTCGTGGCTAGTCTCGGAAAATCATCCAATATGTATTCTAATCAAGGTAGAAACTTTGTGGGAGTAAGTCGCGAGCTTGGTCAATTCTTAAAAAATAGTGTGTCTGATATTATCAAAGAATCGGCTAATTTGAACATATTCTGGCGCTTTGTCCCCGCAAGCTCTCCTTACATTGGAGGATTATGGGAGGCAGGCAACATCATCTCCTTAGAGTCATGAGTAATAAATATTTTACTTTCGAGGATCTGTATACTCTAGTGGTTCAGATTGAATCTGTACATAACTCGCGTCCTTTGCATCCACTCTCCTCCGATCCATCAGATGTGTCCTGCCTCACGCCAGCACATTTCTTGATTAGTCGCCCACTGCTGACTATTCCGGAACCAGATTATCGTCAATCACCAGAAAACCGACTTTCCACTTATCAGCATCTTCAGCCACTGAACAACATTTTTGGGCTCGTTGGAGCAAGGATTACTTGAACGAGCTTCAGCAACGATGCAGATGGCGCAAGTCCTGTGGCGAACAAACCATAGGGCAATTAGTAAAAAGTGGCGCCTTGGACTGGTGCTGCAGTTGATATCAGGGAATGATGGCATTCATAGAGTTGTGATACTACGCACAGCTGACGGCGAGATTCACGAGCCATACAAAAGAGTTGTCCTCTTGCCATTGAAAGTCGGAGCTTTCAACCCCGGGGCATGTTGAGAATCCCGTAAGACCAGACAACGTGGCAACGTCGAGCCGGGCGAACCGTCTTCCACCTCTTTCATTCACCATCCATGAAGATGAACACACGTATATTGTAGACTCATTACTTTAATGTAAATTCTTAATAAAACTTGTTGGCTACGAGTAAAGTTCAAGTTAGTGTCCACAAAGCAGAAGCAACATACAGTCCATTAGCAGCAAATTACATACCTTTCATGAAATTATTTAGGCGTATTGGAGGAAATTGGTGTAAGTTCTTACACATTACACTTATTTGATGAAAGTTAATTGTTACATATTCTTTATTACATTTCCCAGACTGTAGGAAATTCGTACAAGCGCTTCCACATTACACCTCTTTGACGAAACTTCATTATTACATTCTTTAGACTACAGGACATGGTGTGTAAGTCTCTCTACATTATACCTCTTTGCTCCATATTCTCAATTTTACATTCTTGGACTGCGGGAAGTCCTTTTATATAACCCGTCTTTGACGAAAGTTCATTGGTGCACATTAACTTTTACATTTCTTGGACTATATGAAATCGGTCCTACCATTACATTATCTATTCCCTAGACTCCAGAAATTGATGTCACACATTCTTATATACGCACTTAGACTGCATGAAATTTGTGTCAATTTTTCCACTTTAGACCACTTCGATAAAAATTCCGTAGTGTATATTTATAAAATTACGTAGATTGCAGGAAATTAGTGTAAATTGTGCCACTTCACACATTTGACGGAAATTAATTATTACATATTATTTCTTCAATTCCCTAGACTTCCAGAGGATGGGTGGTAAGCCATTCCACATTATGCATTCATTCATTATTGTATGCTCCTTATTACTTTTCTTAGACTGTAGGAAGTTGATGTAAATCCTTCCATATTACATCTTCTCAACGGAATTCAATATTACGTTTTTTATTACATTTATTTGGAATATGGGAAATAGATAGAATACTATTACATATTCTATTAATTTTTTGTTACGTGAAACCCTTGCACATTACACAGTTTTTAACTAAAATTTCCACATTATACCTCGACAAAATTTATTTAATTACATTTTTTGCATGATAATGCCTCACATGCTTCCACTTCCAATTTACAATTTTTAGACTTACTGCATTTTCTCAATTATATTCTTGAGGTTGTAAGAGATTGGTGTAAGTCCTAACACATTAGACTATTTGATAACAATTAATATCAAGAATAATATACAACTCGAGAATATTCCTAGGGAATGTAAATGGCAACAGTGGAGGTGGAGTCTTGCAAAGCAATGCTGCTATTTACATTTTATTATCAATAAAAGTGCCTATCAGTCTTACCTAAGAAACGGTACGAAATACTGCAGCACATGAACATCCCTGCTGAGGGTTTCGAATTCCTCCATTTCTTCAGCGTTAACTAATTTGAATCCTTCATTCTGCATGTCCTTATATATGCCCGAGATATCGAAGAACATATAATGTATCAGGGCCATATAGAACTGAACATCGTCATCGAACTCCTCGTCTCTCAATTCCTGGACGAATTCGACTTTCTTCCTGGCAGCTTTGCAGAGTCCTATCGCTTCCTTGTACTTGTCGGCTGTGATCAATTCTCTGATTTTCGCCGGAAACTCCTACATGATTTGAATTAAAACACTCCATTAAAATATATATTTCGTCTAGATGTCAAAATGTAAGGTTTAGTTTTGACTGTTCGTCTTTGAGTAGTACTATTACTATGAAGAGGTGTTTTTACTGAATGACTATCGGCGGGGGTGCTTTCCTTATTGTTTTTCAAACGTTGTTTGTCTTGGGTCCTTTGATTTCTACTGATCACTTTGACCGTTCATACTAACAAGTTTGTTCGCTTATAGCGAAAGGCATAATGGGGAAACTGAATGGATCGCCACGCACGCGTTGGTCAAAAAGGGAAACAGCATCAGACTTACAGTGGAATGAAGCTGAGTCTCTTTGTTGAAATGTGTCTCATTTGGAGTCATCCGAGACCTGGCAAAAGAGCAAGTATTTCGTTGTCATCATTTTTCAGACCAAAAGAGATTTACCAGTCTTGAAATTCAAATTGTTCCTAACGTCAAATGGACGAAATGTGTTATTTTCATTAATATACACAAGCAGTCAGACATCCAATAGGTGGCGCTTCCTCACGCACACAGCTTATAGGTGATTCAAGTACTAAGCTGTTACAAGATGGAAGGTACAACTTCATAAGAGCGTTAATCGTCAATGACATGACTACATTTGGAGTTGAAGTCGACAAGCATGCAGTACGCCTAAAGACTGAATCCCGCGCCTATAAACTTGATCCTATGTACGAACTATGACAACTGTCAGCAATCATTAAAAATCAAAGGATCTTAACAGAAAAGCGCCTGATAAGCGTTTGGTCAACTTTATCAACCCATGCCAATTTGTTTTTCTTAAGGGATAATCCAGTTAAAAGCTACTTCTGATTTTCTACACATGCTGTACACAGCTATGGACAAAAATAGAAACACAGTAGGAATATTTGTATACTTGAGTAAAGCTTTTGATCTGGTAGATCATCTTTCTACAAAAATTGGTACAAAGAGACAAAGAGACAGATTGCTGTTATCTGCAAATCCAGTTTAACCACATAAGCACCTTTGGGATCAATACTCGGACCATAGTCTATGTAAACGATTTTAACAGCAGCAACTTTGTTATGTACGCAGTCTCTTTTAGTAGATGCTACCACAGTTCCAATACTTGCTGTATCCGCGACAAGTTAGTTTGCACGTGTTAATAAGTGGTTTGCTGGTAAAAGACTGGCATTGAACAGAGTCAAGGTTTGTCGGTTTCCTGTATAAATCACATCTTATTGATTAAATCGCATCAAGGAACAATTGAGCAACGACAGCCAGTGCAGTTTCTTGGACTGCAACTATCATACAATTGTAGTTGAGATCATCACATAAATCACCTGTAACTAAATCACTTCAGTAGGGCATTGCATAATTTTTTTTACACCGAAGCAGCCGCGCAGGCAGACACCTAAATGCCAGAACACCGCGCCTACTATGAGGATCCCAAAGAAATTTTATTCCGATTTTTGCACTGCCTAAAGTTAGTAGTACTGGGAAAAGCTTCCTCTTGAAGATTGTTACACAATCTCGACACCCTCAGGACAAATGAGTGGCCGTATCGGCCAGTTCGGGATGTACGAAGTTCGGCACGGTTAGAATGTTAGCAATGTAGTCGGGGTGGCAGTACCCCAAACGTGTGAGCAATACTCTTATAGGGGGACCTTGTATAGAGTAAGGAGGAAATGCAGAAAAAAGTACTTCTTAGCCCTAAAGAAATAGCCTAGCTTTTTTCCAGCAGCTGCCGCTATTAACAAGATGTGTTCGTGTCAAATCAAGACCTCGGTGATCTGGACACCGACCAGCCGTAATGGCAGAACTCGGCCATCCATCGAAACCAAATTACGCTAGGACGCTTTTTGTTCGTAAAGGTACATTACTATGTTTTGAAAGCATTTAACTGTACAAGATTGTTGCGTCCTCAAGCAGTGATAACCTCCAGTTGTCGCGTCAGAGAGGAAGTCGCTGCTAGTCTTCTTTTTTTCCAGTTCATCGGCAGATATCAGCTTTGAATGAATTCCGGCATGTAGAATAATGTCATCAGCAAAGCTGTGGATTGGGTTGATCGTACAGGAAAGGAGGTCGTTGTAAGAGGAACAGTATCTGCGCCAAAACCGATCCATGGGAAACACCCGCGTTGACGTTGTGGGATGAAGAGGAGAACCAGTCAATTACGACGGATACCTTTCGGCCAGGGAGAAAGTCAGCCACCATCTGCAAAGCTTCTCTGGGAGGCCATATGATGGAAGTTTGTATAAGAGAGCAGCGTCCGACAGTTGATCGAACGCTTTCGTGATATCAAGAGCAACGATATGAGCCTGGGTGAGGAGGCCCCTGTGGATCGTTGGTACCGGAAACTATACTGCCCTTGCTAATCAAGCCCTTCGAGGTAGTCCAGAAGCTCGAGATTCTCCATCACCTTACTTATAACAGAGAGCAGAGCTATAAGCCTTCAGTTGTAAGGGTCGCTCTTTGATAATTTTTTGGGAAGTGTTAGACATTACCAAATTTCCAGTTTTCTGGGAAGGTGCCGGATTCGCAAGATATCTGGAAGGGACGCGAAAGAACTGGAGCAAGCTCCTCTGCACACCTCTTCAATACTACGGCAGGAATCAAGCCTGTACCCGAAACGTTGTTGATGGCATTGCGGACCGCGTCCTTATATGTATTTGTTTCTGGACTCGACGTCGGCTTGTCTGTTCTCTACAGTGGGGTTTTGTAAGAAGGTTCTGTGTGCCTTGATCTTCTGCTGACGAGCAGTGTCGCAAGATTTGTTGAACCAAACGTTAGACCGTGGTTTAGGCGCTTCCACTCCATCCCAACGTGGATAAGTTCGGTTATCGATGAATAAACAGCCGACGCATCCGCGTCAGCTGAACAAACATCTCTCCAAGGAAAGGTTGACAAGAAATATCTGAGCCTCTCCCAGCCTGGGCGAGTTTCTGCTGCCACAGCGGGTTCTGACCGAAACCTAACCTCCACAACACCGTGGTCTGAGTTACCCAGCAGAGACAGGAAAAAGAGATCCAGCAGGCTACTGGCATGTGATGACACGCGGGGGAAAAAAGTAGGGCTCGTCACCAGCTGGGTCAGTCCTTGGGTAATAGCGAACGCTTCAACTGCATGACCTACTGCATTAGTCTTGCTTAAGTTCAACCAAAGCTCATTATGGGCATTGAAATCACCGAAGTGAACTACCCCTGGAGCTGGGTGTTTCATGTTCAGGGAGTCGATCTTGACAGCGAGGTGTTCAAGCAGGTCATCCAAGTTATGGTTCAAGGAAGAGCGATAAAAGCAGCAAATAAATTTGGGGATATTTTTGAGTTGAGGCGAAGCCACAGAATATCCTTCCGGCCTGATAGCAAAGAAACGTCTCTGAAGCAGGAAAGACTGCTGAGGATAAAAGTCACAACTCCCCGTTCTTTCTCAGATTGGAATGCACTTCGTAATTTGGGAAGCCAAGATGATTAATCGGTGCAGACTCTGCATTACATGGCGGGACGATTGGATTGCAGGCAGTGATGAACAGCGAAAATTGATTCTGACTATATGGGCATAAAGCTCTACAATAAACTACCTGAATAGATTAAATGATATACTTATCCATACGAAAAAGAAATTAAAAGCTTATTACTCCATAAACAACAGTAATTTTTAGATAAGTGTTTTGCGTATATAGTTGTATGTTCTAGGCTCTCATATACAGCCATTTATCTTATAACATCTCATGCTATAATCAAATCAAATTCACACATTTATCCAAAATAAGCTCTTTACAGTTCCTTGTATTTACATATACAAGTCTGTTAACTACGTAAAGCGAAACATCAAAGATTTCAGCATACAAAATGAACATCACAACTATGAGACCGCAAATCGTTTTAGAACTATGGCATATTATACATAGTTCAACTACATGTCATTGTATAATACTCTACCTCGAGATCTGCGAGAAATAGAAAGCTATATCAAATTTAAAAATACGGTTTTTAGGTATTTGTGTATATGAGAAATGTTTTTACTCTGTAAATGAATGTTTTCCGAATTAGTAAGCAATATGTTTTATTTTGAATTTTTTATATAGTGTCTTAACAAGTAGCTATTTTACTCTAGTTTTGACCTTAACCACTACTATAACAAAAACACTAGTTATTGCTAGGCTTATTGCCTATATAATCTAGACATAATGAATACAAATTTTGTATCATGTTTTTGTGAATTGTATATAAATCGTGCATTAAACAGTTAACTCAGTCTGTAATATATTCAGGTTTATTAGTTTGTAAGACCTCACATGTAAATTGTATATACATAATGTGGTCAATAAATGGTATGGTATTGTGATATTTTAGTTATACTACTTTTCTTTTAACATGCCATGTGCACTTTATGTTTGAAATTTGGCTAAATATACTACTACTGTATATTATGTCATCAAAAGATGATAACTTGACTAAAAAATAGTTTATTATTATTATTATCATTATAGCACAACCCACACCTAGGCGGGTTGATAGTAGTTCAGGAAAAATCTATCTCATGATTTTGAGCCGCAAATAGAGTGAATACTGTGGTACTGCGAGTGTACAGCTGTGTTTCAGATTTTGTTGTGATTTTATACAGCACAATAATTTCAAACATGTGTTGTTGCAATTATACTACAAAGATATACGTATTTTTGCAGAAGAATATATGTTCCCATGTATTTAAAAAGTATGTATTTCTCAATAAATTCTTACCAAAGTTGGTCAATTAAAACAACTAATCAATTTTGCATAAGCGAATTGGTAGACCATATGTTTTTCCAGGTTTAGTCATAGTCTTTACTTGTTAATCTACTACTACTGCTTAGACTTCAATTAGTAAACAGCACTTGCAATATTACCTTAGCAGAAGACAAGGGAATATTTTCGTCGGTATCTATTTCGTTTTCTGCAGCTTCCACAGTTAGTTGTACAAATTCGTAGATCTTGTCTTTCTTTTTATCCCACTGGTTTTGCAGCTCTTGAAGTTTTTCCACCTTTGGATCTTTGTTCCTCTCTTCGAATTCTTTTAACTTCAATAATTTCTCCTCTGCACAGTTTAGAAAAATTTAGTAATTTTATGAACATAATACAAAGATAATATACATTGCCATTCAAAAGTATTTAAAAACCTGCATATTTCCATTTAAAATCATAACAAACAAAAAAAAACGATTCAGAACATATTTATTTTTCTTCATTTATTAAAAACCATCACCATGGAAATCAAACATCACTGAAAGGTCATTGAAATAAAAATTTTGCTCACATTATTATTCGGATTTCATCAGTAGCCATAATAGGAATTTCTTTGCATTTAGAATATTATGTTTTTGTATAGGAATTTTTTAACTCAGCATTTGTTTTTCGATTACATACTTTTTTTTAATGTGTTGTACGTAAACCCATAACACAGTTTTACTTCAGTTATCTTTGTCTCATTTGATCCTGCTTCAATACCTTGTAGTTCAAGATTGTTTAACAAGTGCGTTTTTGTTTATTTTTTCTGGATAAAATGGGTATAACTAAAGAATATTCCGAGGAGATAAAAGGAGTTATTATTGGTATTCATAAATAGGGCAAAAGTATTCAAGAAATTTCTAAATTTCAGAAGTTACCACTGTCATCTGTACACTACATTAAGAAATTTAAAGCTTAAGGCACAACATCCAATAGCCGTCCTTCAGGGAGACCCAGAGTTACAACTTCCACTGAAGACTTAAGCATAATAGTGAAAAGTAAACGCAATAGACGCATGACTGCACCCGAAATAGCAGCGGACCTGAATGTGGGCAGTAGTAAACCTGTAAGTGTGAATATAGTTAAGAGAAGGTTACTCGAAGTTGGACTTAAGGGATGTATAGCAGTATTGAAACCACTTATCGGGGCTACTAAAAAAAAAAAGAGACTGCATTGAGCCAAACAACATCAAAATTGGACAGTTGGTGACTGGAAGAAGGTCCTCTGGAGATATGAATCGAAATTTGAAGCTTTTGGTTCCAAGAGAAGAGTATTTGTCCGCCGTCGGCCTAACGAGAGGGCATTAGAATCCACCGTCGCTTCAGTCAAGCACGGTGGAGGCTCTATAATGATTTGGGGATGTTTCGGTGGTTCCGCTCAGGGGGATATTGTGAGAGTACAGGGAATACTGGATGAAGAAGGTTACAAAGTCATGTTGTGCTTTCTGGGACTCGTCTTATTGGTCCGGGGTTTGTATTTTAGCATGATAATGACCCCACACACATCCAAGCTCTGTAAACAATTTTTGGAAGCAAAAGAAGAACAAAATCTTTTGAAAGTCAGGCAATGTTCTCCCCAATCCCCGGATTTGAATCCGATAGAGTTGCTGTGGGATGAACTAGACAGACAAGTATGGACATGTTGTCCTACATCTCAAGAACACTTATGGAGAATATTATAAGATGAATGGCGAAAAATAACCCCATCCACTTTAGAAAAATTAGTTGCGCATTTACCCATCATTTTCCAGGCTGTAACTAAAAGTAAAGGAGGACATATTGGTGAGTAAAAAATATGATCAGTATGTGTAAAGCTGATTTTATTACCTAGGACTTTTTTAGCTGCAGCTAATGAGAGTTCTTTCCCATAGAAGTTGTATGTGAGGAAGGTGAGCACACAGTTTGCAGCACATCTTCTAACAACCACTCCCTTATCGTGAAGATGGAGAACTATATCTTCAAGAATTACATTTTGGGCTTCCAGTGGGATGGCTGCACCTTGCTGTAGTTTGGCCCACAGTTGAATGGCCTGAATAATACATATATAAAAAAAATAGTCAAAGGAAAGAGAAAAATATGAGACTACTACATACATACTGTCCCAAAATATGTTGTGAATATCTCTGAAATATATCATTGGATCATATTCTAAATCATTCCAAGTCATAAAAACAAAGATATGTATTTGCTTACCTTAGCTCTAACAACAGCTGCATTATCATCAATATGTTCCAGAAGTATCTTGAATAAATCCTGTCTGAACTCCAGCATCTCTTCACTGAGCCCCTCCCCAATGAGGTTATTCAGAATGACCTCCGCCATTACAGTGAGAACAGATACTCGAAGACTGGGTGGGTCATAATGCAGATAGTTGTTCAGGAAACGAACTTCAGGCATCATCAACTTGGGCACCAACCCAGCTAAGTTGGACAAGAATATACTGCAATTCCTATAACAATGAATAAGCAATGATTGACATATTCTCCAAGGAGATGACCTATTCTATATTGTATTTGGATGTTCATATACAGTTTCCATTGTCACAGGCATGTTGCCAAATACGACCGTAGCAGTTCCTTTAGAAGTTATGTAAACAGGTTCCATTTTCCTTCTGAAGAGAACTGTATAAACAAACTCCCACTTAATTACTCCAAAGACTGCGAAATATGAACAGGTACCAGGAGCAAAAGGTAAGCAATAATAGGATTAACTTTACATTCAGATGACTTATTTTCATATATACTTGTAAAACATTATTTCAAAGCAATATCCAGCACTGTAAGATACTTCCCTCCACAATATGGCAGTTTAGAAAAATACCTTAAAAGTCATACAGTCTAATAGTATAAGGTTGTTTGTGCTAGGTTTTTTATGTATACAAGGTGTTTCAGAAAAGTCCTATTGAATAATGCAAGCTTCCATCGTATGTCCTTCTCTCTCTTCATCCCACAACGTCAACGCGGGTGTTCCCCAGGGATCGGTCTTGACTCCGACTTTGTTCCCCTTACATACCAACAGCCTCCTGTTCTGTACAATCAAACCAATCCATAGCTTTGCTGATGACAGCACTCTATATGCAGGAATTCAGAGCGACAAGTCAATCTTTGCCAGTGAGCTGGAAAAAAGAACGACTTCCTCTCTGACGAGAGACCTGGAGGTTATCACTGGTTGGAGAAGCAACAATCTTGTACATTTTGATGCTTTTAAGGCACAGTACTGTACCTTGACGAACAAAAAGCGTTTTAGTTCGGCTGGTCGGAGTCCACATCACCGAGGACTTGATCTGGCACAAACACATCTCGTCAATAGCGGCATCAGCTGGGAAAAATCTAGGCTATTTGTTTAGGGCTAAGAAGCACTTTTCTCCGCATGACCTCCTCACTGTATGCAAGGCCCGGATAAGACCTAGCGTATTACTCACACGTTTGGGGTGCTGCCGCCCCGACTACGTTATTTATGCTCGGTGCTTTCCAGAGGACGGCTGTCCGACTGATCGATGACTCTTCTCTAACAGACAGTCTCGGGAACCTTTCGCACCGGCGGGCCGTCGGCGATCTAGCTCTCTTCTACCGCTGAACCAACGAGCTTTGCTCCTCAGAGCTCCCCTGCATCTCCGCGATGTGCCTTCCAGACAGACCCGCCCGACTTCGGCCTCCCATCCTAACTATGTCGAACTTTGTATATCCAGAACTGGCCGATACAACCGCTTCTTTGTCTCGAGGGTATCGAGATTATGAAACAATCTACAAGACGAGTCTTTTTCCAGTTCTACGAGCCTCAGGCAGTTCAAACATCGGATTAATAAAATGTCTTTGGGATGCTCATAGCAGCCTCAGTGTCCTGGCATTTAGGCTTCTGCCTGCTCGGTTGCTTTGTTGTTAAAAAAGTTTTTTTTACACGCAGAACTCTTTAACATATGTACAGAGTATTTTTTTCTAAATGTCCATAAGGAGGGAAATCAATTTATAGTGGAACATCTTGTTTAAAGTATCTGGCAAAAGTTACTTTCAGCAGGAAGTATCTATCAGTGCTGAATATTACCTTCTAATAATGTTTTACAAAGTATATTTAAAAATCAGTCATCAGAATTTTCACATTTTTTTACATAGTACCTGTAAATTAGCCCACTACCCTACTTACTAAGTATGCAGGTGTTCAAATTACATGTAAATGCTACTTCATGCCCCACATTTTGTCTTTCTTTCAGAAAATAAGTATTGTCTGGTACATCTGAGATCTTACTCTATTATTTTCACACAGCCTCAGCTGTCAATTGGATTGGCATCTTCTGGTGGAATATGTTAATCAATAAGCCAAGGTATACCATTAGGAATTCAGCAGTGGTTGATAAGGAAAAAAGTCACAAGCTAAAATACTATTCACTAAAGCGTACAGAATCATGCATCAACTGGCCTCCATTGGGCAGAGCACACATAACAGATTTTAGTTGTTTTCTAAGAATTCCCAATTAAGCACTGCCTCCATATCAATACCACCTATATCAGTAATTTCAGGAATCCAGAGGAACCAATCAGAATCTGCTGAGTACTGTGCTTATGTTCCAGACAGACAACATTTCCCAATTTATTATACAATGTATTTTTATTGATTTTGGATGTTGTTTTCCTCCTAGATTAATAACAAATTCTGAAACAGAGTTGTGACATTTGGGCAAGATAAAAACAGTGATACTGTTGTAAAAATACAATTAGTCATAATCACCTTTGAGGTGTTCAGAATAAGGATTGAAATATTGTCCTTGCCAACTTTTTGCTCAGGACAATTTTTCAGATTCTTCACCCTCACTCATTCTGCACAAAAAATTCTGAGTAAGTTTTTTTTTATCCAAGTTTTGAAACATAATTATTTGTTTTAACACCCTGATCCTGAAAATGCAAATATTTGCAGCTTTCATTGGAATGCAGTTCAAATATTATATATTAAAATGTTTACCCATCAATTTTGACCACTATTGATTTTAATTTTTTTTTTAAATTTGTTTTTCAAGTATGTAAGTAAATTTTATGGCTTCACAACTGAGAATCGGGTATTCAAGATCATGTCTTCTTATACTGATATTCTGAATTTCTCGTAAATTACTTGAGTGATGGTTTATCGACTGCAATATTACTAGGGTAGATTTCACAATTTTGATTACAAAAACTGAAGCTAATTTATATGTAATGTTTTAAAAATGTGTTAAGTTTGAACCACCAAAACATGTCTCTCTCCTTCCTCATATATGAACATAAATGCTCCAGTATTGTCTACATTTTTATAAATCATATTTAAATGGGTTGTTTAAAATGAATGTATACTTATGCTAAGTGGTGGAATAGCTGGGAGCTAAACTTTGCCTTAAATTAAAGTCCTTTATTATTATTATGATTACTTTTGTAATACTATAGAAATGAATATAATTCTTGAGAAAAGGAAAATAAGGAATAGAAAGTTTCTCTCTTAGGACTTATTGTCTTAGTTTTTAAGTATTGTAGCTATTTATAAATCTATATTGTTATCTTAAGCAGAAGTTTCCAGCATACTTAATACTTAAAAAAGTTATCAATTTGCATTCTTACTTAGAGCCTTGCATATCCTGAGTTTTCTCATCAGTCTGCCATTCTGTTAACTCCTCGATCAATTCATGCAATAAGCCTTTCACATTATAATCTTCTATGAGTTGTTTTATACCAGCAGGAGCACAAATAGATAAATGCTCATACATTTTTATAAGTTGTGTAAATCTTAATATAAAAGTAGATCCATAACTGTATGATGTTATTAGATGACCAAAGATGCAGAAAATGCTATGAATCTCATCTTTATCATTTTTTATTGCTGGGTTCTGCAAAAACTCATAGCAAATACTGGCTATCAGGTTTATAAATTTTTCTTCCACAACTGATTCCCAAAATAGAGAAATATCTCTTTGAATTATGTTGTTCAAACTAAGCAGAATAGCCTTCTTATTCAGTATACAGTCATCCTTCTGGCTTTTCTTTTTTGCCAACCGATCCTTTGTTGCAATGTTTCTATGTTCAATATTAGCAATGAGATGTGTATACAAATACAAAATCATCTTCATTATGTTAACGTATTTGGTTTTTGTTTCTTCATTTTCTTCCAGACTTTCCTTATCCTCGAGAAGGAAACCTATGGCTTTGTTTAATTCAAGTGTGGCATTATGCAAGTCTGTATAAGCGTACTGAAATATATCAGACGTCAAGGAATCAAAATGATTCAGCACGGAGAAATAGATATCAAAATTCGAGATTATATATTCGGCCCCTTCTTCTTTCAATGCAGTTCTGGCAATTTTTAAATCTGCAGGCAAAGCTTTAATTACTGATATATCACGAACTTCATAACTGCCGGTAGTATTGCTCAATAATTCGTGTCTATCAGAGGGTATATCAAAATTTATGTGGGCCATTATCTCTTGGATAATGCTAAAATTCACATAAAAGTTAAAAAATCCGGAGGTATGAAAAAATAACGAACTTTTATTCACAAAACATAAACAACACAAATAAACATTGACACGCATCATATTTTGAATTGCTGTCAGCCTGTCAGCTATCATTCGATAACTGTCAGCGACATATCGACAAAACAAAAAATATCCAAGATCACTTTCCTGAGTTTACAGGGGACTCAGGTTGGTGTCCTGGGGACCTGGGGTTTGGAGCGAGTATATATTTTGTGCTTTGGGCCACTGGAACATTCCGAGTTTAACAAAATTCGAACCTGTTTTTCAGTCAGTGTATATGTTTTGTGTTTTTCAGTCAGATTTCAGTTTACAATCGCCAACTGACATGAGCTCCTTTTGTAAACGGGTAATTTTAAATTCAACATGACTCTTTTTCAAGAGTTTTGAGACATTGTTTTCTCATATAAAACATTGCTTTGAACACGGTTAGTGACTGAAAGCGTATCATACGTTATCGTTCATATAGCTTGTTCTGTTCAACGTTTACTTTTCCAATTAATAACTAATTATCCGGCAGCTGCCGGCCATTTTCAAAGTTTCTGCGATCCTGCTATTTCCGATCGACTCAAACTGCTGTTCTCATTTATGAACTCTATCTGTCATTTTTGACAGATGTGTGATAAATGTCAAACGTTCAAAATTTTTCTCAACGAATTTTTGAATGTTGTTCTTAAAAAAGCGAGCTAAATTTGATTTTTAGACTTTTATGCATATCTTGATTTGTGTTAAATTTTCATTTTTCTGCCTAGTGCGTCTAAAATACGTTTTTCCGGATTTCATCAACTGAAATGCAGTGCTGATAGATAATCACAACCAGAATTAATTTATCTTGAAAAATGTTTATCAAATCGATTGTGTTGGACGGGTTCAAGTCCTATGGACAAAGAACTGAAGTTACAGGCTTCGATGAGCAATTCAATGCTATTACTGGGTTGAATGGTAGTGGAAAATCAAACATTCTTGATGCCATTTGTTTTGTCTTGGGTATCACCAATCTCACCCACGTAAGCAAAGCAGTTTTCTATGAATTGCCAAACATTGATAATACAAAGTCGCTTTATTAAATTTCAGGTCAGAGCAGCCAGTTTGCAGGATCTCATATTCAAGAGTGGCCAAGGAGGTGTCAATAAGGCAACTGTATCCATAACATTTGATAATACTAATAAATCACAATGTCCTCCTGGCTTTGAATGTTACTCGGAAATTGTTATAACACGTCAGGTGGTCATGGGTGGAAAAAACAAGTACCTGATGAATGGCACAAATGTACCAAATAAGAAAGTACAAGATCTCTTTTGTTCAATACAACTTAATGTAAACAATCCTCATTTCCTAATTATGCAGGGCAAAATTACCAAGGTCCTGAATATGAAGCCTCCAGAGGTAAAGTATTATTGCTATTACCTTATGTAATCCTTCTAAAATCCTCCCAAAGTGCTTTTAAATAATAAATAGTATTATAGCTTTTATGCATCTGACAGACTTCCAACCATTGGCAGGTATTTTATGCCATTTGGCAACTCCTTAGCATAGTTTAGGCTTTGTTTCATGTATGACAATGAATAAAAGCTGAACAAAGATCCTTCTAATAATGGTTGAAAACTTTATATAGGGGTTTTGAGAAGGTCATCTTTTTAAGGGGTGATAGTAACACTATTTGGGACACATTAAGCCACGTATACCTCATATATAGACCTGTGATCTAATAGAAAGTGACTAATAGTTATACCTATAAACAATTTAATATTAACCATCAATCAGTTTATCCAGCTGAGTCAATCAAAATTACATTTTCTTGTTTTTTGTTTCCCGGAAGAAGTTCGAAACATACACAACTGAAAACCTGTAATGTTTGTTGTGTTTTTGGTTACAAATCTGATAAGCAGTACCTGTTACATTGTGTCTCAAATGTGAATTATGAAATTTCACATGTAGTAATAACTATCTTGCTTGGGACCTTGAAGTACTGTAAGAATAAAGAACTTACATGTCTTGTTTGCAACGCATGCTTCAAATTAATTCATAAGAGTTGCCTCGATCGCAAAGAGTTCATGACTATTGATAAACACAAAATAATATGTGGCAATGGATGCTCAAAGATACATGAACTAGACATAACAAATATATTAATAGAAGAAATAGCAGAGCTCAAGCAGGAATTAATCAAAAAAATCCATTAATTGATAAACATGGGAGGCAATCCAAAGCATGTGAAGATGATGCAATGGAAATTGAAACACTATATTAACAGCAGCTTCAATCTCAGGATCTCAAAATTCAAACACTAGATCAAGATCTATTGAAAGAACAAAGTAAAGTCATAGAACTCCAGAAAAAGTATGAAGATATGAATCGGTAAAAAATTGTTAATACAAGAACTAGCATATGAAAGTCTTAAAAATAGAGGTACTAACAACCAACCAAACACAGTAAGCCATGAAACTTTTACTATGAACCTGCTAGATGAGTTAGAACAGACTGAAAATCATCCAGAACTTGTACTCTCATCTCAAATAGAAAATTGTAACAAATCTCCTGGAAGGAACTTCATCTAGATATCGAAATAAAAAATTGCCATGACTTCTACAAAAAATATTGATTGGAGGCGATCATGCAGAAAAGGATACCAGTTTAAGCCTTATAACAGTGTACGAATTATTAGAAATGCATCCTTTATATACCTTTAAAAAAATTGTAATCGTTTTGGGGTCACCCTCGAATCAATATTTACCTCTTTAATATGGCCACTAATCCATTCAATTGGTTTTTAATTTTTGATTGTACCATAGAAATGAAGAATGAAGTCTCTTCTTAAAACTTGGACCTGTTTCAACACATTTTTTGTTACAATAGCTGAAAGTTACAAAAACTTTATTAGATTTATTTTAATTTCACTATCAGCAACTTCCAGGAATTGCAATCCAAGAAGAAACATTAAAAAGGGGATTGTGTCTTCTGGCATAATATTCAATTTGTCTTGTTTTTTTACTAGATTCTGGCTATGGTAGAGGAAGCAGCTGGAACTAGAATGTATGAAGTAAAACGACAAGAATCCCAAAAAATGATGGAGAAAAAAGAGGCCAAGCTTGAAGAATTATCAGGGGTAAATATAACATTTGAATAAAATTAATCTGATATTTAACAATATTTAAAAAATTGAACTTGAATAGTTTAAAAACAAACAAAAAAAGGGGAAAATAAAATATGTGTTTCTTACATAATAAACGATCAATTTGTTGCATCCGACTGAAATTAGTATTTTAAACAAACCGATCATCAAACTGCAATTTTGGTCTTTAGTTTTGGCCATAAGCAAAACTTCTTGTCGAGGTCTTCTTATAGAAGTAATTCTTGATATCCTTATAATTCAGATGTTCTGAAAGATGTCTCCATAATATGATGAGGAAACGTTAGATCTGCAACAAAAAAACTTTATAGAACTGTCTTTCTTATATTTTTAATAATCAATGATCTCTTTGGCAAAAGAAATGTGGAGCATCTAAAGGGGCCATACTTGTGACCTGGCCATATATCTCGGATATATCTTGTCAATATTGTTTGCAATTGTAGAGGCATACCTGGTCAGAATTTATCATCAGGAGTACTACAAAATCAGACAAGAATGACTGATGAAGTTGTAACATGGCAGTTTATATTACTTACGTTATATTAAGTAGGTTCCCAATAATCTGGCAATCTGATACACTGACAGCACTACATGAGAATTAGTCGGAAATGTAAAAAGTATGGCTCCATTAGAACTGACCTAAGTTCCTAACATCTGTCAATGCCAAAAAGCTTATTGTACCAATAGAAGACAATAAAATTTTGTACAATTGTACAAAAAATTAATATTCGGATAGAAGATTATAGAAGGAAAAACGTAAAATATATAACAGAGCATTTGACTCTAAAAATTCATCCATTGCACATACTGGGACGAGTAAAGAACAAATTATAAAAAATATGCGATTCTTGATAATGGAGGGCAGTGCGTTCTGATTGGCTGATGAAGTCGTCCCACATAGTGTCTCAAAGTTGAGGTAATGAAAATTCATTTTTATTGTATTGTATAATGACATGCAGATTAAAGCTGAATATTGTGCAAAACACAATATTTGTACACAAAAAATACGAGCAAGGAAATAACGAAAGCGTCTAAATATCAGCCCGATCGCTTCCATAGGTGTCAGAAAACTTACGAACGTAGTTTAGATTCTCCTTCTGTGGATTTTCTGCCTAAACCGAAACTCGTATTTAGGGCCGAAACTGATACCTAAAGTTCGGTCGGACGTTATCAATTCAAAGCGGTCTCCGAAAAATTACTATAATTAACATGTTCTATTTATTATTTTAGATTTTGAATGAAGAAGTAGAACCGAAGTTGAAACGTTTACGAGAAGATCGTGAACAGTTTTTAGAATTCCAGCAAATTGAAAGAGAGTTAGCAAAACTATTAGTTCTGCATCAGTACTGGCAATATTTTCAGTCCAAAAAGGCACTAGTAAGTGCAGAGGAGAAGCTAGATGCGGGACAAGAAGCTAAAGAAAAAATGGAAGCACAAATTCAGGAATACAGTGACACAATTAAAAATTTGGAAGAAGATATAGAGAAGATTACTCAAAGCAAGGCTACAGTATGTACAAATGACACTGCATAAGTTTTCTAATATGAAAATACTATTCATTAGATAGATAGATAGATAGATATTTATTGTTCACATTTCAGTAAATTAATACATGTGACAAGTCAAAGAAGGAAAAAATGATTGATACATAAGACATACTAAAAATTACAATTATAAAAAAAGAAGTAATACCTACACATGATAATGACAATTTAAAATTTGTAAGATAATAATTCTTGTGCAGTATTGAAGCAGCTCTGGCATAGCAATTTCGTTACTTTGTGCTTAAACTCATTATAATTTGTGATATCCCTTAGACGTTGTCAGAAAATACGACAAAATGTCACTTTTTAAGATACGTAATACCCGTGCCGATTCCGCTATAATTCAATGCATTGTTAGCAATATTTAGCACAAAGATAAACCTTTCCATCACAAATTCACCAACAAAATGCTAAATACATATGGCCAGCAAAAAAATCTTTCTGACATACTCCCTTGAACGTCCCTCAAGGAAGCGTTATTGTTACCAAGATCATAGATCAACCTTCAAATGGTACTGAGCCATCAAGAGACCTCTATAAAACGGACTCTTGGACACTATAAATGAGATTGACACTTACACGGGATGCATAACCTACGCAACTAATTTATAAAAAAGCTTCGTGACATCAAGTAATATTTACCAAAGAACTACTGATCAATCTCTTTTATCTTGGTACGTTAGTGAAATTGGAGATATTGGTTGATAATCACTTACTGATATTTTGGCTGCTCCCTTCTGCAAAGTACAAAATAAAATATATAAATACGTTCTTCAATAATAACGGACCGATGTTGTGTTTGAGGTTTTATGGAAATTGTATTTTTTTATTCGAAAAATTCATGGTATGGAATATGACATGGATCAACTGCCCGCTTCCGCTTTGCTCTGTGGCATGGATTCACAAAGGTTGAGTTCGTAACGACTCTCTCATTCCCGTACCTGTATTAAGTAACTCAAAAAGTGGCATTGTATATACTTTGTATGACATTATGTAAGTTTTTTGACACTAGGGTTTCGTAAAAAATGTCACCTTTGAACTAGCTGACATTTACTTCATCGTCACTGGTAATAGGCGCGAAATGAACTAGAAGCACACCAGCGGCTACCTAGAGCACAGGCACAGGAGCAAGTTGACATTTTTCCAATTATTTTGACATTATAGATGTTTTTTACCTAAGAACCCTGCCGGATTCATCGCGGATAAAAGCATTTTGACTGTATTTCTGATACACTTATTACTTATCCTTTTTGCTTAGGATGCCGCTGATAAGTTGCATGAAATTGAAGATGAATTAAAAAAGAAGGAAAAAGAAGAGGCTAAAGCAAATGCTTCGTTGAAAACTATTAAAGACAACATAAACATGGAGGAAAAGAAAAAAAGTCAGCTGGAAAAAAATTTGAAAGATGACACTAAGAGTTTGCAAGAAAAAGAACAGGAACTGAGCAAAGATCAGTCTCTTTTTGAAACTCTGAAGGGTAATGATGAGAAGGATAATGAAGCTTTTGATCTGGCTCAAAAGAAGTTTGAGGCACTTAGTGCTGGTATGGAGGTCAATGAAGAAGGGGAAGCACAAACCTTGCAGGTAATTATAGGTCTGTAAAGGGGAAGGCTGAGCTACCAAACGGTGTCGAATAGGGTTGGTCACAGGGATGGACAGCAAAGAGATCCAGCTCAGCAATATAAGATTCCAACATGACTCAAAATTATGTGAACAAATATCATATTAAGGAATAAGACAGTTGCGATATTTCAGTTTTACTTCTTACGCAACTGGCAAAAAGTATTGTAGTCGCGAATATTATGTTACGACATGTACATATTTGTGTATCACGAAAAACCATGTCACTCCTTTCCGTCGGTCTGTCTGTACGCTAATCGTTGGCCCATCTATAACTTGGAAAGTACCGCCACGTTTACTACTATGCCAAAAGGACAAACACAAACTCCATTTTTTGACGTTTCAGATGCTACCGATTATACAGGGTGGCCCATCCATATGTGGACGGAATATTACTCATAAACAAATACATTTTGGGTAAATCTATTTATGGCGCGTTATACATGATATTTGAGAGCACATTTCTAAAATATTGGCAATTTTGATCTACATATCAAAGTTGTGATTTTTTTAAATGGAATGCCTCAAATTTTATTGCATATTTGGATAAACCAATCCAAAAGAAGAAGATTGATATAACATACTATGGGGTTTTGGTAGTTAGCTACTGAGATGTAAGGTGTTTTGTCCAGAAAAACCGTCCACTTCGGCAACCTCTCAATCCGCCATTTTGAAATTTGAAGTGCTGAATTTTGTATAAAAAAACTTACACACCTCAGCTTTTATCTTATTTGTTACTTTTTCGAATTTTCATTTTTGCTCATACAGGATGGTCAAACACGTGAATTGTCCTTTTTCTCAAAAATTTCAAGTGCATCAGCCTGTATATTTGTACATGTTCGGATTCGATTTTTTATGAGCTTTTTTTGGTATAAGGTTTGAAAATCACTAGATTTTGAGTTATTAAGCTTTTAATAGAACAACACACCAAAATTAAGGAAAAAATCACATCATCCATGGAAACAAAAGACAAACAGTGGGCTAGTTCCATATTGCCATTAAGAGTACAAATTTGACAGAAGTTCTGCATATATAAGTTTCTGCTCCAATTTGCCGTGCACTTGAATGGGGATTTTCCTGCAACTGTAATAGAACCTACAACTGATTCGCATGATTGGTGACACTTGGATTATTTATACATTTCTTACTATATTCCACTGCTCCTCTTGATACAAAACGTTCTCGTAGTGTGGAAAATGTTTCCGGCCTTGGATGTCGCATATTAGGGTACCGTTGCTTATAAATGCGAGATGCTAAGAAACTGTTTCATTGGGCTTCGCCCAAAACGAATACCATATTCACCATTTCTTCTTTAGAAAAATCATTTTCGAACACGTTTTTATTATAATGCTCACAAAGCTAATTTTGACAGTTTGTAACTAATCAACAATTTATTTGTCTCCAAGGATCATGCGATATTTTAAGGAATTAAGCCGTTCCAAAAAAGACGTGCTAATAACCGAAAAAATAGCTGTAAAAACCCTTATGTGTCTAGTATCAAAAAAAAAGGTTATAAAAAAGTTAATCCAAACTTGCACAAATATACAGGGTGATGCATTTGAAATTTTTGAAAAAAAGTACAATTTGCGTTTTTGACCACCCTGTATGAGCAAAAATGAAAAATCGAAAAAGTAACAAATAAGATAAAAGCTGAGTTGTGTAAGTTTATTTATACAAAATTCAGCAGTCCAAATTTCAAAATGACCGACTGAGGGGTTGCCGAAGTGGGGGGTTTTTCTAGACAAAACACCTTATATCTCAGTAGCTAATTACCAAAACCCCATATGCAATAAAATGTGAGGCATTCTGTTTGAAAAATCACAATTTTGAAATGTAGGTCGAAATTGGGACACCCTGTTTAATGGCCAATATTTTATAAATGTGCCCTCAAATGTCATGTATAACGTCCCATAAATAGATTTTCCTAAAATGTATTTGTTTATGAGTAATATTCCGTCCACACATGGATGGGCCACCCTGTATATGGAAAAAGAGTAGATGGACATATTTCATACATCATAGATTTCCCCGCGGATTTGCATTTAAAAGTTAAAGTGATATTGAAATGTCATAAATACATGCGTCCCACGCAACGTTTTTATGACGTTTCAAATGCTCATTATATTTGGAAAAAAATTAGATGTTAAAAATGGGGGGTTGTGTGGGTTGGAGGAGGGTATACCTCATTTTTTTGGCGCTAGTATACTTGTACACTTTCAGCTCCGGTAATTCTGCGCACTTATCAGGCATATTTCATACCTCATAGATATCCCCGCAGATTTGCCTTTCAAAGTTAAAATGATATTGAAATATTGTAAATACACGCGTCTGACCGATGTTTGAAGCATGTATTGATGGAGATGGAAGTGGCGAGTTTAGTCATGGCAACGTTGTCAGATGGTTTGTTCTGCCGGAAGGATAGGGGAGAAATTTTAAGATTGCAACATCTCAAATGGATGGGTACTATAGACTAATTGTATAGTCCTGATTGACTAACTCTATCTATTGAATTATTATTTTTTTATTGTTGTCACTTGAACGGATTATGCAGAATAGATGAAACAATTTATTCTACAAAATGTTGTTATAAGCTGTTAGTTTGAAGTTTCTCAGGAAATGACGCCTTCATGTCATTTTATTTGTCAACACTGACACTAGACAGCTGTTTTTTCTTTTTGCCAGATCCATTCATTTCACAGTCACCTAAAATATCTTACAGTAACAGCAGTTCCATTATTGATGTTGATTGGTGGATTAAAACACTTCCATTTTGAGTAATTTGAATTGCTCTTTACTGTTTATCCTCAAATAAAATAAAAATATTGAAGCGGCCCTTTATCAATAGTTTTCCAAGAGTTATCCACATATTTTCCATAAATTATGTTTTAATCTTTCATGCTGTTTACCATGTCATCTAATTTACAGGAACAACTGATGCAAGCAGAAGGTGAAGCTTCTAAAGTCAATACTGAGATCAAACAAGCCTTAATGCAGCTCGAGTTTTGTCAGTCCAAATTGAAGGATATGCAGAAAGAAGGTCGACAAAGTACAGGAGATTACCAAAAAGATGAAGCAGTTGCACAAAAAAAAGAAAAGGAACTGAACATTTTACAGGTGTGTGATTCTTAACTTATTTGTTAGTCTCTCAAAAATTGGGTAAAGTAAATTGGCTTAATATTATCCACGAGTTTTTATGAATCTATTTGAAATTTTAGGCCCCCAAAAAAGTTAAGCATCATTCGTAATGAGTGAGATATGAGAATTACTATATTTCAGAATTTGTCGCCGCCTTAATTTTTTTATGACACCCCACGGTGTCCGCGGACTCATATTTCTCATTTTTACCCATTATTTTTTCGCCTAGTAATTTTTTCCTGAAATGTTCATCTGTTTCATTGTTTTGGGATTTTTCACAATGCTGCTCAGTTCTATATAGTAGGGGGTAGGAGAGATTTTGGAATTTACTCGAGCGTGCTTAGTACCTCTTTCATATGGGTGTTTCGAATTCTCGCCATTAGGATCTCGTAAACAGTAAGATATGCGAAGTCGCTTGCATGGGGGCAAAGCTGCGCGTTTAGGTAACTAACAAAATGCCGCTTAGACAGCTTCGAAAGTACATACTTCCAGAGAGAGACAGAATTTTCCTAAAATCGTTTTAATGTTTTCCTGATTTTATCTGCAGCGGGATTTCATAATACATTGTAGATTAGCATTGCCACCTTTTCTCCTCTATAAGATGGCATAATTAGAATTTCAATATGACGTTTTGTCTCTTGTCCGCCAGCAACAACTTTATTTTTCCTTATGGATGCCATATTGGACTTATGCAATAGAGTTTAAAATCTTGATTCCAAAGATGTACAATATGTCATAAATTGACATTACCAAACCTTAGTTATTCAAGAAATACTGAGTTTCCTCGGTAGGTCTTGAAATCATCAGATAGTCATTTGTTTCATATACCAGACAAGAGCTCAAATTGAACATAGTAACAGACTCAGAAAAAGGTAAATGAACCGAGCAGTGAACAATGTGCCAGAAGGGTCATGTTTTACCTACAAAATAATGGGCAACATTTTGACCATCTGCTCATTTAGGATTATTATTATCATTTTGTGTTCAGGTTTCACCATACCTTTTTCTTTCATTTTAATTTTTGTTCCAACAACAAATTCATGGCCAACTAAGGAAATACAAACATTGAATTTATGACTGAAAACACCATTTAAATGTATAAAATTCCTATATAGTAGCATCCGTATGAAAAACAAAGTTGGTGATGGTAGTCGAAAGAAGAAACCTCAAATTGAAAATTTGATTATACCATCTTTTGTACAGGACAAGAAGTTGCAATTGCAAAATGCAATTTATTTTGAATCCCATCTCAAATAAAGACGGAAAAAAAAATAAAAAGGATTTTGCGATAAATCTGGTATGCGAACCAAAAATGGCTATCTGATAACTTCAAGGCCTGCCTAAGAAATTCTTTTTAAATAACTAAGGTTTGGAAATGTCATTGTATGACATAATGAAAAATAATATATATATATATATATATACATATAATGTAATTATAGTATAATACATTTTTTTTTTCGAAAAAAAACGGCATTTATAATTTTGAGGTTAGAGTTACGCCGCCCTAGTGGCCACTTTATGAAGCTGTAAATAAATTCTAGGAATCTCTCTTGGACACTTTTCTTATTAAGTTTTTAAACTGATAGCTCTAGGCTGGCTGATTTCCGAGATACAGCCGGCGTTCTTAATTAATGGCCCACCCGGTACAAACTTATCATACATCGATTATCAGTGTCAACTAGGACATACGGCACAACATCAATGTCATTTTTGACCACCACTAAAAACCCAATAGGTCCCTAAGATGCTGGAATAATTACCCATTTAGCCTCTTCCCCGGCTATTAAAGCGTTTCGATAAATCGAACAATAATATTTGGTATGTCCAGAGAGCTGGAAGCATCCTCCCATTTGATTTGTGATGAATACATTCGTTTTCAGAAGTGCTACTTGAGTTAATTTAATTTTCATTTATATCAGTGACATAACCGCAGAAATGCGTCAAAAAACTCATTTTGCCTTCATTTTTTTTTTGAGTTTTCCATCATGTGTCAACCTAATACACCCTATTGTCTTTTCCACGGTAGAATAACAGCTGATTATCCCATTGCGACGCGACACAATTCTGACGAATCCCTCAGCGCCAGGTAGACGTATTTTTTTTTGTTAAGCTACAGATTCATTTTGTACTTGCTAACAGCTCTTTTATTTAGAAAAGTTAATTTGCATACAGTAAACGCATTAAGCAAGATGTGCTAGATTTACACCCAACGTTACAAATACAAATATGTCAGCTGTTCACCTTAGTAGACGTCAAAGCGTGATGGGTATAAAGAGGCTGATGGTTATCTCATAGATATGGCGACGGAAATTTGTTTGTTTGTTTGTTGTAGATTTATTCTGCATTAATGCTACACTATCAATGTTACACAGTATATCACATTAAGTCTACATATTTTTATACAAAATTTCACTACTATGAGCTTTGGTTTTCCATGAAATATTTTTTCAATTTCCCTTGGCACACATCCTGATACCATTATTTATTAAATTCGTACAATACTTATTGAAATACTGATTTTTTTGTGATATTGCTACTACAATTTTGTAAATGAAAGTCGATACTCTAGTAGAATAATTGTGGTACTCATTGTTCAATTCAATAAAATTTTCTAAGTGATTTGGTAAAAGATGATTTTTTAACTTCAATATGAAAATGAAAACCAAGTAGGTTATGAAATTTTTGATATTTAACCATTGTTGTTCTTTCAGCATAAAATTTATACTGGTATATTTATTCTTATTTGTAATTTTGGAAATACAGTTTCGTTTGCAGTGAACAAAATAATCGAACAATATAACAAATGAGGATGTGTTGTACACAATTTTTTAGAATATACGCTAAGGCGATGGGAAATTTATTAAAAGTAATTTATCTTTTTGTATAACGTATTTTTGAAAGAATATATTCATAGTGTCCTTCAAATTTTAATTTACTATCTACGTATATGCAAAAATATTTAAATGATTCAATTGACTCATTTTTTTAATGATTAATCGTGAGATGAATCGTATTTTCATATAAAGATTTTCCTATAAGCATACATTTTGTTTTGTTTGTGTTTAATTTGAGTTTATTCACATTCAACCAATTAATTATGTTTTTCATATCATTATTTAACAGTTCTATTGCTGTTGTATATATATATATATATATATATATATATATATATATATATATATGTTAATGTATCATCAGCAAATATTTGAATTTTACAGTGTTGTTAAACATCGGGAATACCGTTAATATATAGTAATGGACCTAATTTGCCATCCTGTGGCACACCTACCGAAATTTTTTTAATGCTTGACAGTGTATTCCCAATTTTAGTTCTTTGACTTCTATTGATTAAATAATTTTGTAATATGTTGAAAACTGAACCTTTAAAACCATAGTAATGCAATGTCGTTAACAATAGCCTCAAATGCCCTCTTGAAATCTAAGAACAATGTTACTGTAAACCTTTTTGCATTCATATTTCGCATCCATTCTTCTACTACCATTTGAATTGCTGTTTCAGTAGATTTTTTTTCTGAATCCTGCTTGACATTTTGTCAATATGTTGGTTTCTTCAATATATCCAATGAATTGTTCACATATGATTCCTTCTAAGAGCTTCTCGACATCTGCCAGTACATTAATTGGCTGCATGTTTGTGTTTTACTCAGAATTTTGAACTTTTGGAACAGGACTACTAATCGTAGAACATTTTAATTTCGAAGGAAATTTGCTATACAGTAAACAGTGATTCACTAGCAATAATAACTTCTCTACAATAATATGGGAACATCCTTTTAGAACCATTTTCAAAAGATGTTCTTTAGGATTCCATTTGATTTTAATCTTGGAATAGCTTTTGAAAGATGGCCAATGTTTATTGCTTGGAATAAATAAATCAGTAAAATTAGCGACGTAAGATTTCGAACATTTTCATCTCATAGTTTCATATTGTACATTGTTTGTTTCCAGGCTAGGATAGGAACTTTGAACTATTCACAAGAAAAAATGGACGAGCTGGTGGGTAAAAGGCGAACACTGAATAACGAATTACGCAATCAAAGGGAGAGAGTTGATAATTTTTATGCAAGAAGACCATATATGAACTTTCAATACACTGATCCTGAACCGAATTTCAACAGGAAATCTGTGAAAGGTGTAGTTGCTCGACTTATTAATGTGGTGGACAAGAACGCCAGTTTGGCTCTTGAAACTGCTGCTGGAGGAAGGGTAAAATGTTATTTGATTTCGAATATTTAAGAAACTGATTAAAATTAACCATGATTGAGAAATTTGTGTACCTATACGTGCATGATATTTCTTTTTAACATATTTTTGAATCTTATATATCTAATTTACATTACTAATTATAGCTCTATAATGTTGTGGTGGATACAGAAGTGACCAGCAAGAAGTTACTACAGAAAGGCAATTTGCAACAAAGAACAACATTTATACCTCTAAATAAAATCAAAGGTAGTAAAATTGACCCCAGTGTTGTTCGTTATGCTCAGCAATTGGTATGTATCTCCAGCATAATAGTCGCATCCAAGTAAATCTCTTTTTGTGGTTTTCCAGGTGGGTGTTGAAAACTGCAGGCCCGCGCTGTCCCTAATAGAGTACGATAACGGTTTTCAGAATGTAATGGAGTATGTTTTCGGCAACGTGTTCATCTGCAAAGATCTTGATACGGCAAAGAAAGTGACGTTCCACGATAGAATCAGGAAACGGTGCGTGACTCTTGGAGGTGATGTCACGGATCCAGGAGGTACACTCAGTGGAGGTGCAACTCCAAAAGGCGGTTCAGTCCTTATGCAACTCGACGATATCAAACAGTTCGAGGCAAGTGATTGTTTTAATAACTTTCCCTAGCGTGTGCTCCAGTGCCTTAGGAAGTGTCACTGTCTATCAACTTAATCAATAATAATTTCCTTTCTTGTGAGGGATTAAAAACTGCCGCTGGCATAGATCCAACCACGAACATTTTAGATGTATTGGCAATGCTGTTAGTATGTGTACTAAAAAATTTACTAAATATCTTAATCTAATCCGAAGATATAATTTCTGTCTATTTCAAAAGTGTAACTTGAATTCCCTGTGACTCTATAATGGGGCTTGTGTATGAGAACTTTTCGTGTTTTTTAATCACCCTGTATAGGATATCTGACGGATTTTTGTGGTTAACAATCAGCTATTGTCTTTTCTACGAGCATCCATTACGGTAGAATGACAGCTGATTATCTAGTAATATTTCAAAATTCCCCATATCGGCAAACGAGACATAATTCTGACGGATCCGTAAACGCCAGTTAAACAGAGCCGTATTTTCTTTTGGTTTTTCTACTCTACAGATTCATTTTGTACTTGCTAACAGCTCTGTTTAGAAAAGTTCATTGGCATACAATAAACAAAACCCTACAAACAATCTTTACTAGACTTACATCCGATTCATGATTGTCAATGTTGCAGGCTAACACAAAAAATGTTACTCGCTGACCAGCTGTTCACCTCAGTAGCCGTCAAAGCGCGATGGATACCCGTGAAATAGGGTTTATGAAACTAACCTGTCAGTGTAAAAAACGTCATTTCGGCGGAGAAAATTGCATGTAAACTCATATATTCAGTCTGTTTCATTTTCATTGTAAATACTGATTAACTCCAGGTAAACATTCACGTAACCACAAGAATTTCCGGGTAGTTGTCGTGGAAAACAAGAGAGCAAACCACCAGCAAAGTGACAACCAACGCAATTAAACTTGACACTTCTAACGGCTCCTCAGCTAGGATGCTTCTACATACAGGACGAGTGTTTAATGAGTACGCGGAAAGTATTTCCGTTATTTTACACTCCTCCTTGGAAAATATGCCTCTCTCCACAGGGTAACTCATAAATAACTACATGACAACACAAACATACATTTTTTTAATGGATTATCCTTTTCTTATTCTTCGCTCATTCTAAACAAAAACTATACACATACCACAAATCAGAGCGGTCAACCTTAGAAAGAATTTCTAATTAATTATGTTTCCAAAAACTTCCATTCAAATGTTGATATGGGCTCAGAATAAAATCTGAGGGTCTATTGTTTGTTACTAAACAGCGGCGCTTTGTGACCCCAAAAAAAGTATCTTGCCTGGGGAAAAGATCACTGATGTGGCCGCCACCGCCACCTCCATGCCTCCAATCTTCAATTTTCAATCGCCCCTGGGCCCCTTGATATGATTTGCTTCAGGCTCCACGCTGACTTAATCCAGCACTGTTATCAAGATAGCAGACGTCCGAAACCTATAAAAAAGTGTAATTGCAATACTCACATTACGGGACTGTCCCTATTTGAGAAGTCGGTGTTGGGAACTATGGGTATGAAGCTCATTTTTTCAAAAAGTTTACAAGCTACTAAAGTTCAGTGTTTTGTCGTACAAAATATCCCGTAGCTCCAGAAGTAGCAGTACAAACTCTATATATGCGTATAACTGCTTACAATTTTTATAACTATTTTTGTAATTTAAAATATCGGAACTATAGACGGATCACACATTAAAGACGCGCCCTGTATGTAGAAGCATTCTTGTTGAGCAGCCGTTGTAAGAACTGTCAGGTTAGATTGCATTGTCTGTTAATTTGCTGCTGATGATTTGCTCTCGTTCTTTGTTTTTAGCAGTGTTTACATTGAAAATGCAATAGATTTATAATATTGCAGCAGCGTAGAATACATTGCAAAAGTAAATACTTTTCTGTTCCACCATTATAACCTTATTTTGAGTCTTTCTCATAAAAAACAGTAATCGATACTTTGTCGCTCCTTTTCTGACAAACATACTCATTTGTATTATTATTCACATAAACTACACTAGATGATATCAATATATCTGCGGCCGCTGGCATGATACGCGGCAACACCGGCTGTTGCCGAGCACTAAAACCTCTTTCATCGTTGTAGTAGGGGAATTTACATGTAATTTTCTTTGTCGGAATTGCGGCCGTTTTTGACACTGACATGAGAGTTTCCTAGCTGATTGTTATCTAAGCTGTCGTATAAGGACAGATGGACTAAGAGTACAATTGGCAGCTGCTACTTCTTACATAAAATGGGTACCAGAAGACTTTTGTCTTCATTTGCTTTCTAGGAATACTCTAATAAACTTAGCACAAAAGCTGTCCACCATGGTTCGCTAATTGAATTTCCAGTCTTTTTACTATGAGGGATGCTAGAAAAGAAATCTACCCAGCCATGAAACAAATGACGTACGATTTTTTCATTAATTTCATTTTTTCAATATAATCCTCCCCCCATAAATGCACTTCCAATCGACTTATGCCCTTATAACAAAATGTTTCCTCTTGACTCTCAAAAAAGTGGACGGCTGATTCTAGGTCATCATCTGAGTCAAATCGACGTTCTCGAAGATTTTTGTTTAGTAATGTAAAGAGATAAAAGTCAGACGGAGTAAAATCCGGACTATGAAGGTATGGTCTATCTCAACAAAGTTGCATTCATGTACAATTGGTCTAATTTTGGCATGGGTTCATTGTCATACAGCAGAATTTCTTCTCTATTGGAATAATCGCCTCTTGATTGATTTACGTAAACTTGTCAGCTTGATCGCATAGTCCGCATTCATTGTTGTCCTTTTTGGCATATATTCAATGAGAGTGATGCCCCTGATGTCACAAAAAACTGTTGCCATCAATTTTCCAGAAGAGGGTTGCGTCCATACGATTTTGGGGGACGGAGACCTTTTATGAACTACTGCTTGGATTCACTTCTCGCCTCAGGATCCCACTGATGCACCAAAGTCTCGTCGCCTGTCATAATTTGTGCCAAAAAGTCAGATACCTAGATTAAAGTTTACAAATGACTTTCCGAAATTTCCATTCTGCGCAATTTTTGACCAAATGCCAACATTCATAAAACCCACCTGGACCTCTATTCTTGAGTTTGAGGGAGTAGAAATTGTGAGAGAAAGTGGCAAAAAGTGGGGGTGGCCAAGAAATGCAGTATTCTTGAAATCAATTCTACCGAAAAGTGATAGAAATTAATTCACTTTAGGGAGTCGCGATTTCTCTTGGTACCGACCAATAGAAACTAGAAAAGTTAGTAGAAAATAGCGCTATATAACCTAAAAATTGACGTGTTTGACATTGTTATTGTCGTTCCTGCTAATCATATTGCAAAAAGTGGTTAATTTCAATCAATTGATGTACTGGAACGGTATTATCAACGAGGATATATAGGAAGCAGCTGAGGAATGGGAGATTGGGAGAGATATTCTGGGGCACCGAGATCCTTTCATAATTTCGGATCGAAAATTTGTACAGATGTTTAGATTGACCAACGATTTGGTGTATGAATTGCTGGTGGTATTGACTCCATTTAAACGTCCACCCCCACGAGCTTCTGCACTTTCGATTAAAACAAAGACAAGAGTCCTAGTTTCAGTCATTATAAAACAGTATCCTTTAACTGAGCAATTATCTCGAAACCAACAATTTAATAAATTCTCATCAATATGCTTTAGAACAGGCTTATCAACCATTACTGCAGTAAACAGTTTTATTGACATTGCACACGATGGAATTGAAAATAAGCAAGGTCTTCGATTGTGTACAGCATGATGTACTTCTTTCAAAGCTACCGTATTACTCAATCGATCCTTCTGCTGTAGTCCTCCTAAAATCCTATTTAGAGCAAATGCAACAGCTCGTCGAATACAATGGCTGCACATCGTCAGTCAGCACAGTTTTACATGGCGTGCCACAAGGATCTGTCCTTGGCCCTTTGTTATTCTTACTGTATATAAACGACCTACCACATTGTCGTCTTAATAGTATGAACAGTAAGCTCATTCTTTATGCTGATGACACCACTCTGATCTCAGCCCATGATTCATTTACAAACATCAACAGCAAAACAACGGCCAGTATATCTAGCATTCAGAATTGGTTTATAGCTAACAAATTTTGATGTTGTTGTTGGAGAGAACAGTACGCCCTGAACTCTACCACATTAAATTCAAACAAATCTCAATCCTTGACAATCATACTTCTAAATAATAATCAGAATGGTGACCACGCAAAGGTTGTGAAGTTTCTTGGTGTCTATATCGACTCCTCCTTGAACTGGTATGAACATATCAGTCATGTTACCAAATCTCTAACAAGCATAATTTATTTAATTCGCAATTTAAAACACTCAGTTTCACTAAACGTCCTGTTGATCAGTTACCATGGGTACTTCCATAGCAAAATGACATACGCCCTTCTGGCGTGGGGCCACTCTCCTCACATGTACAGAGTATTTGCCCTACAGAGAAGATGTATCCGATATATAGCAAATCTAAGATATAGAGATCCTTGCAGATCTGAGTTTATCAAACTAAAGATCATGACTTTGCCTGGCACATATATATTGAGCTGCCTCTTGCATGTCAAGTCAAATCGTGACCTTTATACAAGCCACCATGAAAGTCATTCATATAATACCCGGCACCGTGACAACTTGTACCCAAAACAACATAGACTTGCTAAAACAAGGAATGGAGTTAACTACCATGGCATAAAATTTTATAATATTTTACCTAAGGAACTAAGATCACTAGCATACAATGAATTAAGTAATGCTGTGAAAAAATTGCTCTTGTCTGCTGCTTTTTTCACCATTGACGAGTTCCTCAACCACAACTTCTCCACGGATACTCAATAGTTATATTTCAAGCTACATTTTCTTTTTTTGCTACTTATTCGAACCATGTATAAAATATTTATTTCAGTTCTATCTCTTATGCTATTTATTTATTGATTTTAACGTAGTTTGTAATAATTTTATCTTTTATACTTTTATTGTCATCCTCTTAACCATATTTAAGTGTGTGTAATCTGTACTGTTTGTAATTATATGTATTGTTTGTCATTTATTTTCTTCTTGTAACTGAGCGCTTCTATTATATTGATTGTGTAAGCACGTTCTGTGCAATAGCACCAATAAACCATTATTATTATTATTATTATTATTATTATTATTATTATTATTATTATTATTATTATTAATCTATGATTGAGTTTTCCCTGGTGCATTTGGGACTGCTCTCGTAGAAATTAAATCATTTTGTCTTTTTGTTCATTTGTAATGTGCTTTTTTAAAGTTTTCGGCTCCATAGATAAAATTGTAAGGATGAAATATTGACCAAAATCTTTGGTAAGTTTTTGACTGCCAAAATGATCTCCATTTTGATTGGTTTAACACGTTTACTCAAACCTGGCAATCCTGTGTCTTTTCTATTGAGCCCTTTCAAGAATACAGTATTTTCGAATTGATGGAAAACCGGGGAGTAGAAAAAGAGTGGGAGTGTGATTTTCTATTGAAGTCAAGAATAGAGAATAGGGACACTGGCTGACATCTTCTCATATTCAAATTGTCGTGCAAGATGGCTATTACGCTTTCTTCCGATATATTCAATGTCATACTAATAAAAGAGTCCTTAACACGACAATCTTCGAGAGCCATGGCTTCAACTTTTTGAGTCATTTCATTTGTTGCGGTTTTGGATCTTCCACTCCTGGGAACGTCTCATTTTTCCTCCAAATTCAATTTATAAATGGTAAAAAACTATCAAAATTAACTCAAATTTTCCAAGTAAGGTTAGAACACATTGTTTAAGGTTTTTTGATTCACGACGTTTCGATTGATGTGGTCTTCAATCGTCATCAGGTGAGCTGGCGAACATGCTCCTTTCTTCCTCATTTCAACCAACCAACCAGAACGAGGGACGAGGGACATGTCACAACCAACAACCAGGCGAGCTTTTCGCTAGGTCACTTGATGACGATTGAAGATCACATCAATTGAAACGTCGAGAATGAAAAAACCTTATAGGCAATGGTAGACTAAGAAATAACATATAAAACCGCCAAAATCGGTGTAAAGTATTTTCTTTATTTTTTAAGAAAGTAATATTACTGCTCTAATGCATTTCTTTAGGACCAGTTGAGTGTGAAAGAAAAAGAATTGGTCAAAATAGAAAACGAAATCCAAAGAATGAGCAGTACCCAAGAAAGTTACACAACCTTACAACAGCAGATAGATATGACGGAACATGAGTTGCGTCTTGTGAATCAGAGACTGCAGAATACATCACATCACAGACATCGGGAAGAAATGAATAATCTCAAAGTTCAAATAGGTAACATATATATTTTCCCATTGAAATCAATACCATACTACATAAAGTTAAATTAACTGGAATTTTACTTTTGTTACAGATGAGTTACAACAACAAATATCGGCATGCAAAGATACAGAAGCAAAGTGCAGGCAAAAAGCAAAAGAACTAAAAGATAAGATGAAAGATTCTAAAGGTTATAAAGAAAAACAACTGAAAGAGGCTGAAAAAGAGATGAAAGCACTTAAACAGAAAGCGGACAAGAGTAGGAAGGCATTTAAACAGCGAGAACAAGACTATGCTACTTTGACCTTGGAAATTTCTGAATTAAAAAAAGGCCTGGACAGTATAAGAGAGCAGATCAAGGCTTGTGAAGAAGCTATAGAGAAGTATAAACAGGAATATGCAGAAAATTCTACTGGTATCACTGAACTCAAGGTATGGGAACATTAGAAAGACCGCCGTGATGCCAGAAACGTCAGTAAAAAGAAATTTATACATATGTGGTTTCATTTGGCCAAAAAATTAGTTTTATCAGCATAAAAATAAGTTTCAGGTGTTACATTATGAGGAGATCGTAGGTTATTATTTACTAGCATAAAATTTTGATTCAGCTGCTAGGCTAAAATTACAATTATGTCAAAGAGAGCATCAACATATTGTTTATGATTCATTAGAATTTAAGTTTTATACTCATAATACATTTGGTCAATCAAATTATTCTCAAAATTCTTTAATCTGGTTATTACAAATGCTTTTTTTTCAAGGAAACAGTCAAGACTTTACAGTCTGAAGTGAAGAAAGCCAAGGCTGCCATAGCTGAGAAGAATAAAGATATACAAAGGAAAAACCATGAAAAAGAAAAGTTACAATCAAAGATTACAGAACTAGAATTGAAAATAAAGGAACATGGACACGAATTCAAAAGCTTACAGGATGCTCATAAAAATGCCAAAAGAAGGGTATGTCGTTTTTCGTATATGCTATTTTTGTAGTTCAGGAATTATGTTAATTGTTGAAATCTACGTTTCGTAGGAAGAAGAACTTTTGAAGAAAATAAAGACAGATCATACGAATTATCAAAAAGCTGCGGAGATGTCTTCAAAAGAGGGCTTAGAGTTAGAATCTAAGATCAAAAGTAATCAAGAGAGAAAGCAAAAGTTATCCAGAATCGTGAATACTAAGGCTCAAAGCATGTTTGAAGAAGAAGAGAAAGTGGTACGCAGTCGTTTATTTCTCAAATGACCATCAATGGGGTGTTTTCCACTGAGACAAACTTGCATTTGTAGTAGTTGAAGTAGATTGTGTGCGTCCTTCTTTGAACTAATCTAGGAAAGGCCAATTACGTCAGGGAAACTTACGAAGTTCGTTTTATTGTGAAAATGAACGTTTGAGGTTTGACTGAAAAATTTTGCGCTTTCTCTTTAAGGAATACAGTGAAAACACTCAGATTATAATTACTTTTAGGTACAAAAGGTTTGTTATTTTTCCATCACAGTAATTTTTAATTTCCAGTACAATGAGCTGAAGAAAAAGATGAGGCTGACTGAAAAAGATCGCGATTCTATCAGAGATACGATAAAAGATATGGACCAGCAAAAAGAAAATGCTTTAAATGTTGCTTACAAACAAGTGTCAAAAGATTTTGGGTCAATATTCAGCACATTGTTACCTGGAGCTAACGCTAAATTGGTACCTCCTCCTGGGAAATCGATTTTGCAAGGATTGGAGGTATGGATAAGTTCATATACTAGATTGAATGCATGCCATGCGGAATATCCAAAAAGTTCCGGTTTGACTGAATTTCTTATAAAACGTAAGTCGCAAAGACAAACGAGTTCGGCCTTGTTCTCCAGGTTCATACAAAGGTGCAGCACGTATGTCGAATGACAGCCTACATTTTTATCCCAGAAATAAATACCATTTACAGAGCAAAAAGCAGTAGTATAGCTTACATGGTAGTTATAGCACTAAATGAAAATATCTTAGTAAAACAAAAGAAAAAACAGAAATAGAAAAGACATAGAAAACTTGACCAAAATCCATCAGAGATGGGCTCGAGATTTATTCTTTGACTCACAGACATTGCAGTGCAAAATAACACATACATTTGAAATTTTGTTGGCATTTCGACACATAAAATCAATCGGAGCCTTCAATAGTAAGTTAGTTTGAGCTCGTTTGCACAGGAAAGTATTAAATTGTCTAGATTTTATTCTAGGAACCAGAATATCTACCTGAGCTAACAACACAGGACAACCTATTTTTCCATTCAAAGCTTGTGCAAGAAAAGTACAGATAACTACGCTTTTCCAAAGACTGATAACTACAGCCTCTTGGTGGATACACACCATCGATTTTAGGAGCTATGGATTTCAAAAATTTCTTTTGTGCTTTTTCAATGGCAACGATGCATTGGCTATATATAGGACTCCATTTGAGTGAGCTGTATTCCAGTTTGGCTCTTACTAGACTGAAATACAGAGACGATAATGCTGAGGTGTCATTGAAATTCGTGCAATTCCTAACAATAAAACCGTATGTGCGATAAGCACTCGGCGCTGTTTGGCTTACATGAAAATTAAATGTCAACTGATTATCAAAATAGATACCTAAATCTCTAATGCAATCAGTTCTTTCAAACATGCCTAAATTTTTTATAGACTGGTACATGTACAAGTATATCATGTAACTAGATATTAATATAATAATATGGTGTTATAGAATGGTGTTCAGTTATATGATTAAACACTTAAATAGCATGATTTTGTTTTAAAAGCTTCCATGTTGAATGGAGAATCGATCCTAAACAGATTCGACATAATTCACAATTCAAAAATGTGTACGCTCAAAATAAACCCATTATTTGGACATAGAGAATAAACTAACGCATATTCAAATATGCATCTATTCAAGGAATTGGTGTAACATATTGGCAACGCGGCAGATTGTCGGGTCACCGTTGCTGGGTAGCGCGGTGATGAGTTTCGCTTTGCTTTGCGTCGTTCGTGCGACTGCCGAAAGCATCACTTTCCGCACTTGTTGTGTAAATAATAATTTTCCAACAATATAAAAAACGTTATTTTTAGAATAAATGAAACCATGCATATGCTTCCTCCACAACTAACATAGAAATCGTGTCCATGGTTACTCTGACGCAACAATGCACATCACCATTGTTACCTGATACTTTTTGTTGAAATGTAGGCCAAAATTATGACACAATTACGTCAATCTTTCAAGCTTTAAATAATCAATTGATGAACTTTGCAACAGAATTTGCCCGTCCGGCATTGGTGTCCTGTATTGCCCCCATTACCAGTCACAATATGCTACCGTTCTTATAAACATCTCGAATCAAATAGTAGAGCATCTCTTAAGCGATCCACTTTATGAGAAAAAAAAGATTAGTGAAAAATTATTGCTGAAACGATTTGCTCCAGAATGACAAGAATACATGTTTTCTCAAGGATGTACCATTTTTCAGATATACCACCTCAAAAGTAGTCTTATGTAAATAACAAACTTCTAGTTTAAGTTTAAGTATACAGTGGAGGATAAGTGACGTCTAGTGAACTGTTTCATATAGGCAGCAGCGGTGGCCGCAGTAGTAGACTCTTCGGTCTCCTGATCAGTTGCCGTGCGCTGTGCGGGTTCGAGTCCCGTCCCAGGAGAAATTTTTCTCTTGGCTATGGATGTTGTGATTGTCCCTAGGTGGTAGACGGTCTCTGACTGTCGAACGTGGAGGTACCACCCGGCGGATCTCGTAGGTAGAGCCAGAATGTGTGCATGTCGCATGCACACGTGTTCCCTCGCCAGAGTCCGTGTGGCGTTCCCCCTTTCCGTTGTATCCCCTATAGCCCCACGGTACCCAATGGGTGTTTAGGCTTTAGGCCTTCGTGGTAGTTGGAGTATAAAAAAAAATCGTTGGAGCTTAGAGTAACTGTAAAACATTCACCTTAAAGTACAATTCTAACTCAAATACAATATTGTCTTATTTTTGTGACTTAATCTATATCATATAACAACGAACTACAGTTTATTATAGGTTTTTAATATATTTTTATGAGAATTTTTATACGTTGATATTATAATGATAATGGTTATACCATTGGAACCGCTAGGTCAAGGTGTCCCTCGGAGGTGTGTGGAAAGAAAGTCTGACGGAGCTGAGTGGAGGTCAGAGGTCACTAGCAGCGTTAAGTCTAATTCTAGCGATGTTGTTGTTCAAACCAGCACCACTGTATATTCTGGACGAAGTCGATGCTGCTTTGGATCTGTCGCATACACAGAACATTGGTAACATGCTGAAAAGCCACTTCAAAAAGAGTCAGGTATGGTGGTACCATCTTCATTCATAATGCAACTGTTTCTAGTATTACCCAGGTCCACATTTGATCTGAGAGTTACCATTGAACCCCATAGGGATATCCTAAGGTTTTTTGTTGAGCTCGATTGACCTTTATCACGTCAAGATCAAGGCCATTTGAAGGTCAACTTTTGGAAAAAAATAGTTTCCGTTTTTTAGGTCACTGAATCCAAAAGTTGGTTCAAGCGAACGATGGATTAATACAGCGGTTATGCCCTAGCTCCTCCCTGGTTCAGATACCTTTACGTCAAAAATTTACCAAAACGATGCGCTTAAAATCGGTTGGTCGAGCCATTACTATGAAATGTCTTTGCTGTCAAAATATTTCTTTTGAGGTTAAAAAAATGAGTAATAGTAAGCTCCTCCTTCTGACAATACGACGTTTAATCATTGGAGACGTTTGGCCTATCACAATATGGACCTTCATACAAAGATATTTTCGTAGGTCACGATGGAGACTATAGTTATGCAAGAACATTCAATGACTTCAAAACTTCGTCTTATGCCTCAATGGCTCACAGATTCAAACAATATTTACTCCAGATCCACAAAAATACTTCAGAGGATTACAAAAATTTTCGATTGATAACAAAAACTAGTAAAAAATCTAAAAAAGTAGGACCCCGACCACAGAGAGCTTTGTTTGGGTTTTAAACGATGACAAATTGCATGTGGAGGGGATAAAAAAAACTCTAGGGCTATAATCAAATCCAAGCGAATAACCAAAATTTCTGTGTTATGAGCCGCGGTTATAATATGGTTCAAGATGACACACGGGTTGGTGACGTCAGTTACACCAATCGCTTGAACGCGTTGGTTTTAACCGCGGTTTTGTTGCACGTTGTTTATTTTAAAAAAGTGCGTATCTAATCTCTGATTATTTTATTATCGCTTAACTAAAACAAAATTTTAGTGGAGGCGCAAGCAGGCTTTCGAAAAAAATATTCCACAGAAACAGCTTTCCAGTTGGTAACTGAGAATTGGAGAAGAGCCATAGACTCAGAAGAAGTTGTCATAGCAGTATTTTTGGATTTGAAGAGGGCATTTGAAACGATTGATAGAGATATTTTGTTAGGTAAATTGAAGGCATATGGTATAACAGGAAGTGTTTTAGATTGGTTTAGAAATTATTTGTCTAAAAGGATGAAAGTTACAAAAGTTAATGACACTATTTCATCAAAAATTGAAAATACGTTGGGTGTTCCACAGGGCAGTATCCTGGGACCACTTCTTTTTATTTTATACATAAATGATTTACCTGCCATAGTCAAAAAATGCAAAATTCAAATTTTCGCCGATGACACTATGATTTATATAAGTACTAAAAATATTCAGTCTGGTATCTCTTATATAAATGAAGACTTGAAGCTTGTCTCAAAATGGTTAGCATCTAACAGACTAAAATTAAATGCAAGTAAAACGAAAGCCTTGTTAATCGGAAAAAAACAATGTACAAATGTTCAACTGAATATTGATGGTGAAGATATTGAATTCGTAGAAAATTTTAAATACCTGGGAGTTTTTGTTGACTCTCGATTAATTTTTGATATTCATTATGAAAAAGTTATAAATAAGATTAGTAGTAAAGTGGGATATTTATCGAGAGTTTCTGGATGTCTGAGTTCATATAGCAGAAAAATTATCTATAATACCATCATTCTTCCAAATTTCTTGTACTGTTCGACTATTCTATATTTAGCAAATAATTCCATTTTTGAAAGACTGCAAATTTTACAAAATAAGTGCATGAGAATAATACTAAATAAAGATAAATATACTCCAATTAGGCAAATGCTTAGAAAATTAAAATGGCTCAATGTAAAAAATTTTATCAAATATCTTGTAATGATGTTCATTTATAAAGTAAAAAATAATATATTTCCATCAAGTCTAACTAATTTAACATCATCAAATGTCGACCATCATTTACATAATACCAGAAATAAAGATGACTTCCATTTAATGACCAAAAAGTATAACATATGCTACAAATCTGTATTCCATCAAGGGTTGATTGAATATAATAAATTATACTCGGAGATAAAAGACCAGAAAACTTTGACAAAATTTAAAGTAAAATTGAGAAATCACTTGTTAAATCTACAATTATAGGTTGCCCAGCATTTACATCATACACCATATAGCTTGAATTTACTAGTTCTAAGTTGTTTACAATTGTTCTGTTTATGTAGCCAAATGTGCTAAATAAATCTTTCTACTACTACTAACTACTACTACAACGGTGTATGGAAAGTTTAAATAAGAAACCTTTCATAATATTCGTGGGAGAAATGTTCTTTTTTTCAGAAAACATTTTTTAATGATGGAACCATGGTTTTGTAGGTATGATAACTTTCAATTCTCTAAAGCTTTCCGCAGGTCAAAGAAAACATTTATTGATTTAACAGAAATGTTGAAAAATCGATGAGATAAACATATTAGCAAAACCGTATACAGGTGGACATCATCCAGTGAGTTAAATGTCCATATTTTAATATTCTTGTGGTATATGTCTACACAGGATACTTTGTTAAACATAGGAACTAGATTGAAAGTGTTCCCAACAACAGTAGTGAGTATAACTAGTAAGGTGCTCCACTTTATGCTAACACTGAAGTCAGCCTGTATCAAGTTTCCCAAAAATGAAGCTGAAGTACAATAACAATAATCAAATTCAAGCGGATAACCAAATGGAAATGGTATTTACCATTTTGGGTTGGTATTTACCGATCCGTTCAAGCGAGTGTAGTTATCAGTTTGGTTATAAGATCCGTGACGTCACGAATCAGCTGTTATATGTCATAGTTATCACCGCAAAATTGTGGTATTTACCCAACTCAAGAGTAGTTTTATATTTCTGGTTATTATTTGAAATGTGACAAGTTAGAATTTTGGCGGGTATTGGATATTGTTATTGTACTTCAGCTTCATTTTTGAGAAAATTGATACAGGCTGACTTCAGTTTTACCATAAAGTGGAGCACCTTATTAGTTATACTCATTACGGTTGTTGGGGACACTTTAAATGTAGTTCCTATGCTTAACAAAGTATCCTGTGTAGCCATATACCACAAGAATATTAAAATATGGCCATATAAACTCACTAGATGATATCTACCTGTATACGGTTTTGCTAATTTCTTTTGTAATCATTTCTGCTGAATCAATAAATGTTTTCTTTGACATGCGGAAAAATTTAGAGAATTGAAAGTTATCATAGCTACAAAGCCATGGTTCCATCATTAAAAAAAGAATCTGAAAAAAACATTTCTCCCATGAATATTATGAAAGGGTTCTTATTTAAACTTTCCATACCCAGTTGTAGACGAAAAAGCACCGATTATTAAGTGATAATAAAAATAATCAGAGATTATATGCACTATTCTTAAATAAACAACTTGCAACAAAACCGCGGTTAAAACTAACGCGTTCAAGCGATTCGTGTAACTGACGTCATCAACCCGTGTGTCATCTTGAACCATATTATAACCGCGGCACATAACACAGAAATTTTGGTTATTCGCTTGGATTTGATTAATATCCAATACCCGGCAAAATCCTAACTTGTCACATTGAAATAATAACCAGAAATATAAAACTACTCCTGAGTTGGGTAAATACCACAATTTTCCGGTGATAACTATGACATATAACAGCTGATTCATGACGTCACGGATCTTATAACCAAACTGATAACCACACTCGCTTGAACGGATCGGTAAATACCAACCCAAAATGGTAAATACCATTTTCATTTGGTTATCCGCTTGAATTTGATTTATGTAAATACCGCGGTCATTTGAACTGTCAAACAGTGATTGATAAAGGCTACTTTATGACGTCACACAATGTAAATTTCCGCTTAAACGGTATTAGTAAATAACAACGATGACCAATCCTGAATGGTAACTACCTGTGATTTGCTTGAATCAATCTCAAATCTTGCGGTGTTTGTTTTAGGTCAGGCCAGTTTAGGCCAAAGGTTAATAATTAAAGGTCAAGATTAAATCTATCTGAAAATCAAAGTTTGTAAAAGTTTTCCAGGCAGACAAACATGGGGGATGTTTGAATCTATTTGAGAACCTCTTCTTTAGGTCTCTGAATCCAAATCTGGCATTTGTTTATGGGAGGTTATCTAGATGTTATTTCATGATTGTTCCGTATGAGTGTCCGAATCAAAACTTACATTTTCAAGGTCGCTGATTCTGAATATGGTATTTGTTTTACCAGGTGAGGTCATTTCAGAGTACTTTCAATATCAGATTATGGTCATTTCAAGATCAACAAATACACAATACAATTTGACATTAAAATGACCTTAGATTTGACGTGATAGAGGTCAACCAGCCATAGCATTGATTTTAGCGACCCCAAAAAATCCAAGATACCTCTACGGGGTCCGGTGATAACTCTTCACGAACATTGGTGAATCTTTTAAGCATGTTTCTTTGTACATTTGGAGGCCTGGACTGGTCCATCATATGAAATTTAGCTAAATCATGTGATTGCAAATTCCATTCTTTGGGTAATAGTTTTTAATATTTGCATGTTTAATTCATAAGACAAAGTTTGTATATTTAATTTTTACACATTCCTTCACACATGAAATGCTTGCTATCAAGCACATGATGATGATGACCTTGTATAATTACTATCAAAGCTGCTCGACTTTAGTAGTAAGATTGTATTCTAAATGTATGGATTACTTTCAGTTTATCATCGTATCTTTAAAAGACGGAATGTTCAACAATGCAAACGTATTATTCAGAACAAAATTCATCGATGGAGTATCCACAGTCGCCAGAACTGTCAACAGATCAAGATGAACAATAGATCTCTGAGCATCATTATCGGTTTTCCATTCCAATCACTGGTAATTTATAAATGTCTTTGATAATAAGCCAGAAGTGTTTTATTGCATTTGATAATTAAATTTTGTATTTTCAATATATATTTTAAGTACGTATATATAATCAGATTTTATTGCATTTTATTGCTATAATAGTTTCTACTTTAGTCCAGATCACAAAACTATGTGAGTGACTAAAACGGGCAACAGACATTGACTACAACATATCGACCGAAAAAGGTTAATAAAAGGATATGTTTATTGTTCAAATATTTATTATAAATGTCCATATACATATGATAAATAGGGCAATAACAAAAATAAGTGTAGCATACAAGGTGTAAATATAAGATGCTTCTAGACGAAAATACAATCGTATGCTTATAATTACGTGAATTTGCAGAAACATGTCAACCGTCGTGTATTTGGTAGCTTTACTTAACGAAATATATGTAAACTTCCTGTGCTCATCCTTTCTTGGCGACATAATATCAAACATCAGAACTTGAGGTCTTTGATTACTTGAGGTAGGTCTGGCAGTTTCATCTCCTTGATTTGCTGTGGGATATTCATATTTTTCATTGCTGAAACAGCCCTCGCCGGGGCTGCAGCGATTCCAGCCTGCAAAAAAAGAGTTTTCTTTTAAACGCACACGCTGCATTGACAGTTGCTAGCATTTGTTTTTAGCTGCTTGTAATAATTTGGCTTTTTTCAATAGTGCTAGAATTTTGAAATTTGGATAGGAATAATACCAGCAAGCAAAAAGTACAACCAGTTAATCTTTTATGTAACATCTGAAACTTATCCTGTAGTTTTCATGTCGATAATCCCCCATGTTTGTATGGCCAACAGACCCACATATATTTGACATTCTTTTTCTACAGCAAATAATTTCAGATATATGTGATTTCATTTGCCAGACATACATGGGGATTATCAGTTAAACTCTGTCATCAAAATGAAACAATATGTTCGAAAGTCATGCTTACAACTGTCCCGTTTTTCATGTTCCTATGCAATTATACGTGCTAGCCACTGTATTTATGTTAGTACTGTAATTGAATTGTTAAAAATTGTTTACTTATGAGGCTAGATTTCATGGTGAAGACCAAAACGCTTAGCACTTTGAAGACGCTAAGTGTTTTTGGAGAAATAGGGTCTAGTGGATGCCTAGTGTCATAAGTAAATGAAAAATAGGGTAAACCCACAAGCGTTATGATAAACATATAGTATTTTCTTTAAACTATCAAATAGTTATATAAATATAAGCTAATAGAATAAATTCCTGAACATACCTTCTTGATATCACTTAAGAAAATATACAATAATAACAAAAAAAGAACAAAGCTGTACATCGTATAATTCACATTTTTGTGAAAAATTAAACATTTTATTATTTATTTTCTTAACAAACCATTTTGTTTCATTGTATATATACATATTCGTTTATATTTGTATATTTTTTCAGCGATATTCTCTTATTGGTATTACTGTATATGTGAAGTGATTTTCCCCAAACATGACACTATACGAGTACATGCTCTTAAAATCGTATATAATATCCCCTATCTCATAGGTTTTTAACAAAACAATGTTGTGTAAGAGAAAAAATGATTTGTATAAGAGTTAGTTATTTGTATGCCTGATTTGGATCAAACAACTGTATTAGGCGCAAACTGGCGCGTTAGGGTTTACAATCACACATGTGAACTACTTAAATGAATTGTGATCGTTCCAGTTGTATCAGTACTGATATGGTTAGTTCAACAATTTTGCGGCAGATTGTGGACGATGCTTAACAAACGCCATTGCTATCGCGACAGTTACGTCTTGCTAGACGTTCAAATGTTCAAATCACGTGTTCTGTCTCTCAATACTATATTCAAATCTCATTTACAAACAAGTGTTTACATCTTCATGTCGAACATTAGACAATTGACACTGTCGCGAGGCATAAATGGCGAGGCTGTAGGCAACATGAATGTATAATGTGTAAACTGATGTCATGAGCTCTACCACTGCCCCACATTGTGTCCCTGTGTATCATTTAAACTACAGGGATGGCCCAACTACATTTTGAATCGATTTATCTACAATCTGGGGATCAACTGATATGGAATTTTCGCTGATGCCGATAAATAATCGGTCGATATCGATATACCAAAGGGCTATAATATTAGTGAATCTGCCATTCATCTTTCCCTGGAATATATTGGCTACAGCGCATCTATACGTCTATAAGTCATTGCGCTGACACAGGAGGAACCCGTTTCGTGAAACTAACTTTTTCATGAAACATTTTCAAGATCAGTATGTTGTAGCTTATCAACTCGGCAGTGTACCTATATACGTAGTCATGCCATAAGTTCTGTCCCTCGTTTTCAAACAAGTGTAGACCTGTTAATACTTGTCCGATTGTTTACATTGTGGTGTCAGTTGATTAAGCGCTTTTCGGGTAATTACATATACCTCAGTTTGTATTGATCTCTCGAAGCATAACGATGGAGTGGGGCAAGGCAGAGAACCGTATTGCAGTGATAGCTTTACATAAGTGTAATCACAGTGCTAGTCAGATTTTTGAACTCTTACGCGGCCTTCAAATATCGCGTAAATTTGTGTCTAGGACCATTCAGCGGTACAATGAGACGTCCTCTGTTGATGACAGGCCAAGAAGCGGAAGACCTCGTCAAGTAAGGACTCCAGCAGCCATCAAAGCCGTAAAAGCCAGGATTCAAAGGAATCCACTCCGGAAGCAGAAGATCCTATCCAGGGAAATGAAGATTCCTGTCCGGACGATGTCGCGCATCATTAAACAAGACCTAGGGCTAGGGGCTTACCGGAGACGTACGGGCCAGCGACTTACGGCCACCTTGCGACACATCAGGGCGACAAGATCCAAGAAGCTCTTGGAGAGGTACGCAGCTGGGGGATTCCGAAAGATTTTGTTCACGGATGAGAAAATCTTCACCATAGAAGAAAAATTCAACCGACAAAATGACAAAGTGTATGCAAGAAGTTCACAGGAAGCTTCGGAGATCATTCCGAGAGTTGAGAGAGGCCACCACCCTGCGTCAGTCATGGTTTGGTGGGGGGTGTCCTACGAAGGGGTCACTCAGCTCCATTTCTGTAAACAGGGCGTGAAAACAAAAGCGGCAAATTATCAGAGCGACATACTGGATCCTATCGTCAAGCCTTTAAGTGGTACATTGTTTGCCAACCAACACTGGGTCTACCAGCAGGATTCCGCCCCCGCTCACAAGGCTAAGAGTACGCAGCGCTGGCTGGAAAGCAATGTGCCAGAGTTCATTGCTGCGGAAGATTGGCCCTCAGGGAGTCCGGACCTCAATCCTTTAGACTACAAGTTGTGGGACCTGCTAGAGCAGTTGGCCTGCTCCAAAGCCCACCGTAATATCGAGTCCCTGAAAGCGGATTTGATCCGATCAGCGGCAGCTATTCCTTTGGAAGCTGTGCGTGCAGTGATAGATGAGTGGCCCGCGAGATTGAAGCAGTGTGTGAAGGCCAAGGGGGGACATTTTGAATAAAACTGTTTGATTATGAATTCTAAAAATGTTGTCGAATAAATAATATCTTTCATATAAATATATCTTATCTTGTTTCATTTTTATCATGAGATTATCATGGGACAGAACTTATGGCACGACTACGTAATATAAGAATTTCTTCAGAGTATGATCAAGGCTTCATTTTTCTTCTAACAGCTGTGAAAACCTCCAATATGGTCATACTGAATTAAAATTAGATATTATCACTTGAAACATGAAACTGGGGTTGCAGGAAACAATTATCCCAAGTTTCATGCAATTCAGTTTAATTAATTTGCTTTTTATGAAACGCAGTACACAGAGCCCTAAACTATTTATTATCTCTTCATGTTGTTGTTGTTGAAGATTTATTTAGCATTAATGCTACAATGTCAATTTTGTATAATGCTTCGGTTACATAATTTTCTTCAATCCATTTTCTGTAATTTTACATTCTTATCAATTAAAATTACGTCACCATTTATTTTGATTATTCATAAAGTGATTTTTTAATTTCACCTTAAACATTTTTAAATTCGAACTCTGTTTAATATCATTATTCAGTTTATTATATGCAAATGCTCCCTTTGAAATATAGATTTACTAGTTATGCTACTATACTAAGTGACATATAAATCCGAACACCCAGTTTAAATGGTTTTATTTTAATAAAAGTTGGTGAATGTATTTATCTTACTGTAAATAACAAGTGAAAAAATTTTCACCCTTATCAGTTGGACATTCCGGTTTTTATACTGCTTTTTTTTAATTCACTAACGCTCTAAAAATGAATATTTCAGCCGCAGTAAAGAATCAACGTTGGCGGATTTTGGTTCTTGACATCCTTTACGATCGGTTACGATGCCTAGAGTACGGAGACCTGTACGATTTCGTCAACTTAGTGAGTTTGATAGGAGCCGTATAGTGGGACTTCGGGAAGCTGGACTTTCTTTTCGGGCAATTGCAGTTAGAGTGCAAAGAAGTGTAGACACTGTGGTTAGGTGTTGTCAGGCATGGCTTCGAGAAGGCCGTACACAAAGAGCAAGGGGCACTGGACGCCGCCGTAGAACAACAGACCGTGAAGATCGCCGCCTAAGATTATTGGCCTTAAGGGACCGTTTCTCCACTAGCAGGTCCATTGCAAATGAATGGTTTGCAGAACACGATTTTGTTTAGTCATGCACGATGGTCGTGCCAGGGTTAGAAGGTGACGTGGTGAAAGGAGGAATCCACAGTTTTTTGTTGAAAGACATGTTCATCACACTGTTGGAGTTATGGTTTGGGGTGCTATAGCTTATGGTTCCAGGTCACCTTTAATCTTCATCAGAGGTAACATGAACGCGCAGCGTTATATCCACGAAGTTCTAGAACCCCATCTTTTACCCTATCTTGACACCCTGGCAGATCCAACTTTCCAACAAGATAATGCCCGACCACATGTTGCAAGAGTCACAATAGACTTCTTTCAACATAATGATGTCACATTGTTACCATGGCCACCAAGATCTCCCGACTTATCCCCAATTGAGCACGTGTGGGATATGATGGGTAGGAGATTGCTCAATTTGCAACGTCCTCCTCAGACTCTAGAAGCACTTCGAGAGGAGTTGGTGGTTGCCTGGAATGAGATACCACAGGAGGACATTGACACATTATTAAAGGTCAAAGGGCTTTAAAGCAGTGCAATCATTTTGAAATTTTTATCATTTACTTATTATGCTTCATTAAGTACAAAATTTTATTAAAATAAAACCTTTTAAACTGGGTGTTCGGATTTATATGTCACTTAGTATATTACAATTTTGCAGATGAAAATCAATACTGCCTCTAGTTTCGTAGTTAAGATAATGACTATTTAATTTTGTTTTCTTGTTTTGTTTTCTAAATGTGGTGGTAATAAATGATTTTTTAATTTGAATATGAAAACGAGAACTAAATAATATATGAAATTTTTCACATCCAAAATATGTTTTCATTTGCTGTAAACAAGATGGTTGAACACTATAATAAAATGGGAAAGAATTATAGTGTTATACACATTTTTTTTTTGGAATACATACTAAGATTATGGGAAACTCTATAGAAGTAATTTATCTTTTTCGATATTTTTGAAATAATGTATTCAGAATGTTCGTGACACAGTAGCTTACTATCCACATATACAGGGTTATCCAAATTAAGTGTCCACCATTAGTAACTTTGTTATTAGTGAAAATACAAAGTTGTTTGAATTAGCAAACTAGTAGCATTTTTAACGCTGGTAAAAATGAGAAATAAAAAAAAAACAATTGAGAGTCGTTATTTTGATTTTTTTCAGTAAAATAACATTTTTTTAAATGGAAACCCCTGTATATTATATTTTTTTCTGTTAAAGCATCAAATTTTAAACAAAAAAGTTCATAATGACTTTTCCGCTAAAGTCAAAAATAAAGTCAAAATAACGATAAATATTTTTAATTATTTGCAGTATTATAATATTAAGACGGCTATGAAAACAACATGGCGTTCGCGATTTGACAGCATTAAGATAAGCGACAAATTGTTAAACTGGACATACTCGCAACTAGAAGGCTTTGGAAAACAATGATAAAATCAAATAATGTCAAACATTAGTGTAAATACTTGTTTATAAGCTTTATTGTGTCATTAATTTAAAGAAAAATGTTCTCCCATGAAGAAAAGTGTGATATGTTAGAATGCTATTTAGTGTGCAGAAAATCCTCCTTGAGAGCAAGAGAATACTACAGTGAATTATATCCCGCTCGCATTCAACCGTATGACCGATATTTTCTGAGACTTTATCGAAAATTTAGGGGCAACGAAAATGTTTTTGCTAAAACAAGGGCAAAAAAAGAATTCATAATAAGCGAGGCCACGGAAATTGCAGTTATTGGATATTTTGAAGCTTATCGTGAGAATTCAATAGCAGATATTCTCAAGGACTCTAATTTCAGTTATGGTACTGTTCAAAGGATTTTAAAAAAATACAAATTTATTCCGTATAAGTACCGACCAGTTCAAACGCTTTTGGCAGGGGATCCAGAGAGAAGACTTGTTTTTTGCCATTGGTATCTTAGCTTCTGTCACCAAAATGTAAATAACTTTCGTTACCTTTTATGGACAGATGAATCAAATTTTTCAAATTCTGGAATGTTTAATAGAAAAAACCACCATTATTGGTCAAGAGAAAATCTTTTGTTAGTACATCCAAGAGGCCCACAAGTCCGTTTCAGTTTCAACGTTTGGTGCGGTATAATTGGTTCAAAAATTGTAGGCCCGTTCTTTTATGAGGGAACCCTAACTGGTGAAAGATATGTGGAATTTATGTCAGAAATTCTGACTAATTTCTTAGACGAATTGGATCTTATAAGTAGACATCATCTGCATTTTCAGCAAGATGGCGCACCTGCCCACAACTCCAGAGGTACTTATCATTTTCTAAGTACTACTTTTAATGATCAGTCGATAGGAACAAATGGCCCAATACAGTGACCTCCCAGATCACCAGATCTAAACCCACTTGATTACTTCTTGTGGGGTTACTTAAAGAACCAAATTTACAAGCGAAGGTACGATAACCTTGACGCGTTAAAGACTGCAGTTATGGAAAAGATAACCCAGATAGATGGTAGGACCATACTTAAGACAGTTCGAGCAGTTGAAAAACGTGCCCAAAAATGTATTGAAGAACAAGGTGGTGTTTTCGAGCATCTTCTTTAAAAAAAATTGTTATTGTATTTTGTAAGATGTTGAAAATAAAGTTTGTCGATACAATTTAATTGTTTCAGATTGGAGGCCATAACTTCAACAATTTGTAACCTAGGAGAAAAGTTATTGTAAGCTTTTTTGTTTAAAATTTGATGCTTTAACAGAAAAAAAATATAATATACAGGGGTTTCCATTTAAAAAAATGTTATTTTACTGAAAAAAATCAAAATAACGACTCTCAATTGTTTTTTTTTATTTCTCATTTTTACCAGCGTTAAAAATGCTACTAGTTTGCTAATTCAAACAACTTTGTATTTTCACTAATAACAAAGTTACTAATGGTGGACACTTAATTTGGATAACCCTGTATACAAAGATATTTAAATGACTCGACTACCTCAATTTTTTCATCATTAAGCATGAGCCTAATTGTATTGTCACCCATCGTCCGCAAATATTTGAATTTTGCAGTGTTCTAAAATGTCAGAGATACCATTTATATAAATATAATAAATAGTAAGTAGTAGTTTACTCCCCTGTGAAAAGCCTACTGATATATTTTGAACACTTGACATAATATTTCCAACTCTAGTTTTTTTACTTCTATTTACTAAATTATTTTGTAAAATGTGTAATACGGATCCTTTAAAGCCCTATTGACGCAATTTCATTAACAATGTTTCCCTCTCTATAGTCTCAAATACCCTTTTGAAGTCTAAAATTACTGTTACAATATATTCTTTCTTATCTATACTTCTTCTCCAGTCTTCCACCACCATTTGGATTTCTGTTTCTGTGGAACATTATTTTCTAAATCCGGCTTGATTTTTTGTATAAATTTTGGTTTCTTCAAGGAATTAATTCTATAATTTGTTCGTATATTATCCATTCGAACAGCTTCTCGACATTCTGCAAGACATTAATCGGTCGCATATTTGTATACAGCTGAGAATTTTGAACTTTTGGCACAGGAGTAATGGTGGAACACTTTAATTTTGATAGGAATTCACCATGTACTAAACAATGATTCACCAATAATAATAATTTCTCTCCAATTATATTGAAACAAACATTTATAAATTTTTTTGAGAGATTCTCACTTGGATTTTTATTAGATTTCAATTTTAAGATAGCTTTTTTTAGATTGTTGATGTTAATTAATTAAATTGCTTCATTGATGAATTCTGACATACTTGCAATGGGCATAAGTTTGGATCAATGTATTCGCTATTTGATTTACACTTTATATAAAATAAGTGTTCATTCTTTCTGATATAATTAATTTGTCTGTCTACCCCATCTTTGAAACGCATTTTAGATAATTCAGTCTTTCTAGTAGGAGAAACAATATTCTTTATGGTTTTCCACATCATTTTAGAATTATTTTTATTGCTATCGATCTTCTTATCATAGTATTTTTTATTTTCCCCCCTAAGAACTGCTACACACTCATTTCTTGATTTTGTATATTGTTTCCAATCATTTTCACTTTGGGTTACTGAAAATTTTCTGTAGTCAGTATCGCGTTTTAATTTAGACTCCTTGAATATCTGTGAAAACAGAGTGTTGGGTTCACTCTTTCACATATTATTTTCTTGACCATAGCTTCACTAATATATTTATCCATATTATTCATAATTTGTTTGAAGTAGTTGTCGGCATTATCGATAATTTCAGGTATATTGTGTTGTAAAAGTGTTTCTCGTAATTTTGTGAATTCAATGACTGTAATTTTTTTCATTTTATTTCCATTGAACATATTTCCCACTTCGAAATATATCCATGAGTGATCGGTTATCTTTGAGGTATGCTTAACTTCAGCAATTAGTTATGAGCAAATCTATTTTTGTTTTCGAAAAGTTCGTAATCCTTGTATAGTCATTTATTTGCTGCCATAATCCATGGAAGTTAAGTACTTGTTTAAATTTTCTAACATACAAATATGTGGCAAACAACTTCTCGTATAATGAAACCCGTTTTATGAAACCCATTTTTCCAGTGTAGTTAGCGACTTCCTTGATCTGGTTTAATTGTATTTTTATTGTATAAAAATGACGATGCAAGAAATCAGCGCAGTCTAGTAATTATTTCGCCAAAATTTTCAATAAAAAAATTTTGACGTTTGTCCTACGCAAGCAACAAAAAAGAGGTTACTTTGATATGGCTATTAAAAAGTAGTGCTTATTTAACTGAACAATTTTATATATCAGTAACTTTTTTGTATTGTTAGGCATTTATTGGCATATGGCTGATTCATTAATTGGCAAAATAGGCCCATATTACCGATATAAATAACTATCGGTCAAATCTCGTACAATCCAAACTATACGAGAAGTTCCTACTTCATGTTTGTTAACCTCCCACTTGATAGAGGATAAATATAGACGTACATACATAGCTGTTCTGAGCCCAAAGCGATTTTTGTATAATTTGCTAAGAAACTTACTAACAAAAATGACCAGCATAGTATAAATTTACATCAACGTCTGTCCAATTACCATATTTTGGTAGCTAGAAAAGGCATTTGTGAAAGTTCCAAAAACATATTACATACAATATAATTTTGCTATTAATTGAAATTACTCCATTTTTTAAAGGACTGTAGCAACGTTCATTTGAAAAATGATTCGGTCAAAATCATATTCAAAGACTAGATAAAGTATCCCTCCAGATACCATCAACATAGTAGCTAAATGAATACCTCTTGCTTCTCCAACTTATTTTGTTCTTCTATCCTAGTCAATATTTCAGTCATATTGGTCTCTAGAACCATACCTCCCATGACTAGCTCATTCAGAATATAATGTACTTTGTCCACATGGAATATTAGGTCTAACTCACAAACATTTTCAAAACACTTGTCTAATGTCTCAACAAAGACTTGAATGAGATCTAAAATTCCAAGTTCACTTTCTGAGGAGTCCACACAGAAGACGAAGTATAGAGTCGCATAGTGACGGTATATCAGCTTGTAATCACTGCCGCCTATTAAGCTGAAAAAAATAAGCATATTAATATGACAAGCACTTTATTTCTATAGAACCATCATCGCAGGTTCTAAATGGCGCGGCCAATTTTTAACTGATAAAGTGGATATCCAGACCACCGAATTCAGACTAGGTAGAAGGAGCCAGTCAAGGATTTGTTTGCCTCCTTGTTCTTATACTTTGTAGTGAGGATCAATGTGCACTTGACAGTTCTATTATTCAATTCGTAGTTTTAGTATTATTTTTACAAGATGCGAGAGTTAGAAGATAATTGATCAAGACGTGCTAATTCTTAGACAATTTGCAAAGAGCAGCACAAACCTAATGAAGGTGGATATGTTTACACCACGCCGGTAAGTATTATTATTTTTAAGTTAATACTACTTTGGTACATATTGGTAGACAACTGAGTAAAAAGTATGCACTAAAACTACGCAATTTTGGCGACAAACAATGCAATGTAAACATATAGGCTTGGCTCCTTCTAATCTACATATTTGAATTCGTTGATACAGACGATGTTGCACTCAACAATTCAGTCTCTCTAGGCTTTTGCAAGGTTTTTGACGGATCACAGTAAAACTGTAGGAATAAATGTTGTGCATCATCTCCCTCACATATACATATGCAATCGGCCCCTATGCGGGGATGCGTTGATTAACGTATTCTACCTGAAGATAGCTAACCAGTTGAGAGTTGAGACGGAGGTTTGTTTATGCAAGCTCACACACGTACGTTTTTTAATTCTGTCTCCTTGAAGATTCACTCTTCAGCGAATGAGTATTCTACATTGATGCTCGTGGCTGTCAGCATGACAACTTGTTCGATATGAACCTGCATCTTTTTGTTAATTGTTCGATATAAAACATAGGAACGCTTGAAGATACAACGGCAATGTTGTTAGTCTGTGTTAAATTTATTGGAGTACTTTCAGAAAGTGAACGAATATAACGGCTCTTCATGACCCAGTTACCCAGTGCATTTACGTGTGTGTGCAAGAGCGAGTAGCAGCTGTGTTAACGATCATGTTGTACTATGGGAGGTTAAACCCTGCACATGCGTACAGTTAGCCAATCTGTTTACTTTCATAGGACTGTGAAGCAACCGCCAAGAACTATAGATTCATGAAGAGATTTAGGTTATGGTTGTGTCATATTAGACATGATGGAGCAATCATGAATGGCGAGTTCAATACACTGGCCATTATGTCAAGCTACAGGGTCATCATATTAGTTATCCAAATATTGTGTCTATAGTAACCACCCTTATGATGTAATGCAAACCCGCGCATTTATCTTATGTGTAACATTAATAAATTACCACTGTTCTCTGTGCATTTGTGAAACATTTCACTTACACGGACGCCAATTGGTTTGTTCGAACAGTGGTCGGTAACTTGTCGGTGACAGTGTCAGGTATCCGGCCGTATGAATTTCGTGTAGTGGGATCTTGGACATGATCTCTGACAGGGTGGTAACAGCTGTGCGAACAGGGCTAATATCGTGAAGAACATTTTGATGTTATGCCAGTAAGGGAATACCAATGCCTTTCTGTCAAGCCTACTCAGTTGCAAAAATAAAGTTTTGTAGGTACGCTCATTGAATCCCTTGATTTGGTGGAAAAAAATTCATTATTTAATTAAATACAGGTGTAGCTAATGTATCTTCTAAAACTTATCATGTGATTGTCTTTCTAATTTATTTGCTTGTTTCACTAGCTGTTAAATGAAACCACTTACATAGAATGTAAAAAAATACATCCAAGATTACTACCAAGCCAAGAATGAAAAAGCTTTGTAGTTTTTGAAACAATTCAGTGTCGGCGGAGCTAGATACAACATACGAAGGAGATAATAAAAATCGCCCAAACTTCGTTTTTTGACGTTTCAAAGACTTAATTATTTTTGAAGTTTGATGGTTGTATATTTATATACTTCTACCCTAGTAATTCTCCACACCTATTAGTAATAATTTACAGATAGATTTTCCCCTATATTTGCCCTTAAAACTTGAGTAGAATGATTTTCGATAGCAAGAAATGGGTGAATAGCTGTGCTGGTGACTGGGCAGCTGTCTGTTTCCATCAGTGTTGCCGAACCGAAGAAGATGAAATCGGTTAGATAGTGCCGTTGAAATTCGGCAGATTCGTGGACGAAATCGGTAGGAGAAAAAAATCAGAGCCGACGCAAGGTCAACGGTGGTTCAAGAGCCTTTGCGTTACGCAGCGCCGCTTATGAAAAAAAAATGTTTTTGCTTTGCGCGCTCATACAAAACACAGGTTTTTGAGGTCATCTTTTCCTAAAAAAATGTTGACTTATTTATTACAATGAGCATGCTGGTCAGCGGCGGTTCCACTGTAGGAGCACATGAGCACGTGCACCCCCAAAATAAATAATAATAAATATGTATAACATCCATTTAATAATTTCTCAAATAAAGTCTGAGCCTCCCTGATATTTAATCCTATAAAATCAAAGATCTAGTAGCTCTCCACTGGTGAGTCACCACTCTTCCCGCTGCGCTGCCTGATTCGGGCGATTCCGACTTGTGATTTGGTCTGGCCCGATCCGACTGCCGCCGACGGGTGACGGCGGATGACGACGAATAGTCGCATATGCGATCATGTACGCGGGATTAGTGTGTTTCTCACCAAGCTGTTCTGGTTGCGGGGTATAGCGGGGTTATGGCAATTTTAGTTGGAGAAGGCGCACACTTCTGGAGTGCGCCATTGTCCGTTGCGCGTGCATTTTATGCAGTAATCGGAGGTGTGTTCGAATTTTTATGTTCGTAGCAGTGTTTTACTAAAATATTGAGTTAAAATGAATGGTTTCACTGTGGAATATTTGAAACATAACTTCAGTTCATTGAGTTTGGAGCAAAAAATTGAAATAAAAAATGCGGGAAGACCTACACCAGAAATTAACTTAACTCAGACCACAAAGGGTAAATCTAGAGACTTTATTAGAAAGTTTAAAATGGAAATATATGAAAAGAATAACTGGATTTGTGGATGCAGCACAACAAACCGTTTGTTTTGTTTTTCCTGTTTGTTGTTTGGTCACGGGGTTGCAGAGCCTGCCTGGACAAAAAATGGAATAGCCGACTTAGGACATTTAGCACAAAAAATTAAGAAACATGAAAACACTCAAGTCCATATCAATGCGCAACTGGAAATGCAGCTTTTGGGAAAAGTAGATATACGGCAGCAGTTGGACAGTGCATATAGGCGCAGTATTCAACAGCAAAATGAACAAGTTAGAAAGAATAGGTATGTGCTTTCAAAAATTATTGATTGCATAAAATTTTGCGGAGCTTTTGAATTAGCCCTCCGCGGTCACGACGAAAAAGATGGTTCATCAAATCCTGGTATTTTTAGAGGTTTAATAAATTTCACTGCCGAATTAGATATAGCACTTAAAGATCATTTTGAAAAATCGACAGTATTCAAAGGGGTATCAAAAATCATTCAAAACGAATTGTTAGATTGCATGTTACAAGTGGCTCAGGAAAATATAAGGAAAGAAATTTTGGAAGCTGAATTTGTTGCTGTTATGGCTGACGAAACAACGGATGTAGCTAATTGTTATCAAATGACTACAGTATTTAGGTACATTCTACCAGATGGAAGGCCAGTTGAACGTTTTTGGAATTTTGTTACCCCCCCTGACCACGATGCAGTTAGTCTCTCAGAATGTGTGAGAACTAATTTAATACAAGTGCTAGACAAACCAGAGAAACTGATAGCTCAAAGTTATGACGGCGCTAGTGTAATGAGTGGACGTCGTGGAGGTGTTCAAGCTCTTATCCAACGCGATTATATTTATGCTTATTTCATTCATTGTTATGCCCACCAGCTAAATTTGATTTTATTGCAAGCTACAAGCCAAAATCAAGAAGTACGGGTATTTTTTTCAAATTTAAGCGATATTTCAACTTTTTTTTCTCATTCTCCACAACGAGTTGCAGTTTTGGATGACATTGTTGGTGCAAGAGTTCCTAGGTCTTCTGTTACAAGATGGAATTTTAAAAGCAGATCTATAAATACAGTATATGAATATCGCGAATTGTTAATAGAATGCATGGAAAAAATAGAAGCTACTTCAAAACAAACTGTTACCATCAATCAAGCCACTGGTATTGGCCGTATGCTACAAGATTCTAAGTTTGTGTTCTGGCTAACTGTATTTCATCGAATATTGCCACATGCTGATATTTTATATAATCAGTTACAAAAAACAGTGACTGACCCAGTGCAAATTCAGACTGCCATAAAGTGTTTTGAAAACTGCATCCAAAAAGAGAGAGACTGCTTGGAAACAATTGAAACTGAAATTTCTGAAGATACCACTACTACTCAAACTAAAAAGCGTCGTGCAAATGAAGACCAGCATATTTGCAGAGCTGTTGCAGCCAAGGAAGTTTGTGATACCATAATTACACATGTAACAGATAGATTTTCTTTTACAAAACATTTAAATGCAGCTATTCTTCTTTCTTCTGACAAATTTCCACAATTTGAAAAGCATTTTCCATTGCAATATTTGGAAACTGTAGTAGAAGCATATTCGTTTTTAGATAAAGTTCGTCTCCAGACTGAATTGGAATTAATTTACCGGCGACCTGACTTCAGGAATATGACTGGTGCCATTAGTTTGTTACAGTTTTTTATAGAAAATAATCTTCAGAGCATATTTTCTGCCACCTTTACACTTTTACAAATAATTGTTACCATACCAATGACTACGGCCGAAAGTGAAAGATGCTTTTCGACATTGAAGAGAATAAAAACATTTTTGCGAAGTTCTATGAATGAAGAAAGACTGTCAGCGCTAGCAATGCTATCTATCGAGAAAAAATGTATAGCGGGTATTCCAAACTTTAACGAGTTAGTTATTGATAAATTTTCTGCAAATAAAATCAGGAGAATGGACTTTACGTTTAAACACTGTACTCATTAAAAAAATTGTATTTTTTATAAATGTATTTTCTTGTGTATAATAAAAAAAATAACAAAAAATGTGTCCTTGATGATTGTTTTAGTACTCTTATTGCCTTCTACGTCACGCATTACATAAAAATTTTGGTGGTGGTAAAAAAAATTATTTTATACCACTTGTGAACCCCCTGTATCATAGACCACGAGCCGCCGCTGATGCTGGTCGCTCTTCAAACCACCCTGGGAACTCCTTTCTCCATTCTTGGTTATAAGATTGTGAATATTATTGTTTTACCCCTGACCTTGAAGCTTCGTCACGTGACATATTGTAATATTTATACCAAGTTTCTCAATTATTTATGTCGCTCATGTGCCCAACTGCCTAAGTGTACACATTGTATATGATTGGTATGGAGCAAAAAACTATCTAGGCTATGGTGAATGTCTCATAGCCAGTCTTATAGCAATGATGGCATTGCTTGTCCAATGGCTGAGAACTGTCTAAAGGTCTATTCACACTCAGCCGTGACGTGACAGTGGGGTGACGTGCCAGTGATTCTCGCTGACGTGAGCTCACAGTATTTTCAATTCACACCAGTCAGTATTTTTCTCCGTGCTCTGACAGTGCAGTTGTGTTCACGTGAGGTCGAGATGGCAAAATTTTCAGAGGATAAACTTGCAATTATTGCATTAATTCTGGATTTTTTTAAACTCCAACTACCACGAAGGCCTAAACACCCATGGGTACCGCGGTGCTATAGTGGGAAACACAGGGGAAAGGGGGGACGCCACACGGACTCTGGCGAGGGAACACGTGTGCATGCAACATGCACACATTCTGGCCCCGCCTACGAGATCCGCAGGGTGGTACCTTCGCGTTCGACAGTCAGAGACCGTCTACCACCTACGAAAGATGAAGCAGAAGAAACGAGAAGAAAAAGGAAGACCTTGTATTTTGAATTTGACTGGTTCTATAGCACGGGATGTACGCGTGCAATTTCAATTATTTCTTCATCATTCATGTTTTTGACCAATACAGGGTTTGTCCGGAAAATTTTCTTCCGCCATGACTGTCCTTCGAAGCGTGCGCGCACCGACTGGATTCGGTAGAGGGCGTTCCTAGCTAACGAATGAGCGGCTGGTCAATTGTCTCCGAGCACTTGGAGAGTCAGGACAGGTATTTTCGCGCGACGTGTTTCTGTGAGTGGTGCAAGGCGAAAATGCAGCGTTCGTTAGAGCAGAGGTACGCGATTAAATTCTGTGTGAAACTCGGTAAATCTGCGACAGAGACGTTTGATATGATGAAAAAAGGGAAGAATGAGCAAATCCAAGTTGAAAACGATGCTCACTGTCTTTTCTGGCATCGTCCACCATGAATTTGTTCCTCCTGGACAAACCGTCAACGCCAAGTTTTACGTGGAAGTGCTCAGGAGACTCAAACGAAGGGTCAGTCGGGTCCGACAAGACATCGCAGCCGACTGGAAGTTGCACCACGACAACGCCCCGGCTCAGACCGCCTTTCTTGTGAACAGCTACCTGACCAAGGCCGGCATCCCAACACTTTCGCGGCCGCCCTACAGCCCAGATGTGGCCCCCCAGGACTTTTTTGTTTCCTTGCCTGAAAAGGCCAATCAAAGGCAAGCATTTTGAGACGACAGAGGGGATCCAAGCAGCATGCACCGCGGCTCTCAAGGCTATTCTGGAGAATGCCTTCCGTGACGCCTTCAATGCTTGGAAATCGCGCTGGCAGCACTGCATCGACGCAGAAGAAGCCTATTTTGAAAGTTTTTAAAGAATGGTAACGATTGGCGCAATATTTTTTTTTAAATCGGGCAAACCCTGTATATCAAAATATTCACCAAATTACATAAAAACACGGCCGTGAAAATCGAAAAATATCGTTCCAAAACTATGCGATGATCACGGTACGAATGAGGGCACTGAGAACACGGCCACTTCCACCTGCCGGTCTAGTGTGAATCAGTTCCAAATTCCAGGAAGAATGTTTTTAGTTTCGCCGGGCGGATCACGTGCCGGTCACAGCACTGTCACGTCACGGCTGAGTATTAAGAGGCCTTTAGAATTTGTTTTGGCCTACTTGACCTGTTTGACTCATTTGTCATACATGTTCATTGTTGACTTTTTTTGGAGGGGGGCTAACTCTACCAAATTAAAAGTATTTTTGTTTCATTTAGCACAATACATTTTGATGTCGAGTATGGTAAACAGCTAGCAGCAAATGACATCTTTGTGTTAGTGTAAGTCTCCAAAACATAGAGAAGTCATCACATGAGTATTATTGGAAAGTATGTTTAGTACACCTACAACAGAATCTAGCCACAGAAGATCCTCTCCTCTTAATATGACTCTATATACAGATCTGTCAGGATGACAAGCACCATTAAGACTAAACTAGTATGTTTCTGAAAATGTATAGAACAGGCGAATTCAGGGATGTTATATATGAATGATGAGATAGTATTTTCAATAATGAGGCTACATTGTTCTATTACATTCATATATTTCACATATTTTCAGCAACATACTGATTTTGTTTTGAATACTCTTGGTTGATCTTGACATCCTCAGACTTGTCACTTGATGATATGGGGTGCTTCAAATGTTACTAGATAACCGGTAATTCTCTACTGTAACTACATCAGACGTTTTGATGAAGACATGATTTCAGCCCCTAATTTTTGGGTGTATATGAAAGAAATGGGACCAAAAATGACTGCAAACATGAAAGTTCTGAAATATTTTACTATATAATAGGTTTTTATTGAATGTTTGTTTTCAAAGACTGTGCAATATTGCCAGATGTCATTACTTCATAGGTTTTCGTGTTGATGGATATTCTTAATAATTAAATTTGTACGTATGCCTTTGAACTCCACACAACCCTACATAAAGTCTAATGCACTAGCGACTCAAGGGAGAACAAATTCTAGATTAAATGAAGAGCTGCTATGCGTGGAAATATGTATTTTCGTTAATTTCTTTATATTTCTTCAATGAGGCAACAACGCGGAATGTATTGGATCCCTTCCGTTCTGCAAATGTTGTGATTAAGAAGGTAATTATACTGTTTAAAACCCAGATAATATCAACAATATTCTGTAACTAACCCATCTACAGGCATTTTTTATCTCATTTCCATCATTTACAACCCAAACCTAGTGTCTACTCAGAAGGAGAATAAAAAAATGCTGGTATAGCTAGAGAATTACCTGATAACCTGCTGAAAAATATAATAGACAATGCAGTTAATATGCCTGTATTAAAAAATTATATGAATTTTAGATATGGCCAGCTTAAATTTCTATCAATAAGCAGTTCTAAGATTTTGCTTATAATTAGACTGAAATGTTGTTAATCTAGATATCAATAGTGTTTATTTGACTTGGTTGTGTTATACATTTCTGGAAGAGACCTTAACTTTGATTAAACATACCTTCCACCTTCTAAGAAGTTGCACACATTGTCATCTCTCTTGGATACCAATTGGAATGTTTCTTTAATGATTTGTTGTTGCATATCTTCTGGCTAAATTATGGAAGATTATCATCAGTAATGCAATTTTACTCAAATGTTTATATCATACTAGGGAAGTGTATTTATTTACTTACAAAATGCTGATAGAATTTGGATAGCCTGGGTTTACCATGATTATTAAACACCAAAATTGCCTTAATCATTTTTAATACGTATACAATCTAATAAGAAATATTAATGAATTTCAATAGATTTTATAAACATTTTTTGAATTATTGGCATAAACATTGCACGTCATTATTTGTCAAAACTTGAAGGTTTAAGGTTAGATAACAACACGATCACAAAACAATACACGGGTTAGACCACGGGCAGTGGGCACTCACTGATATCAAAAGCTGTCAATAGCATTGGAACTCAGAACAAATAAGTGCCAGAATAAAGTACACTACTCAAGTGACAACTGTTTTCGTGGTCATTTTCTTCCCACGATATCTGGGCGATGATTAATAATGCTTACGAGGCTGTGAAGCATTTATTTCTTTTAGCACTTTGAACTCGTATTTATAATCATAGACGTCATTTCAACCTGCGTTTATTGTGATTTGTGGTCAGAACTGGTAGATAGGGATACTTGTCTTTCTTACTACCCATAGAAACCTTGACGTTTCATTCCAACACATTTTTCATCTGTGAACTGACGTGTTCTTGGAACAGCTGTGATAAGTGAGTGATATCAAGGGTTAGAGGTTAGGATTGTGTTTTGTTTTCAAGGTTTTATGAAGTCTATTTTCATAAATTTTGTGATTGTACTTGGTGAGACACAATTTTTATCAATCAATCATGATTAGGCACGTGCTAAAATTAGTCATAGTGTAATTACATAGCGCAAAACACGCCTACACAATAACTTTATTCTGCAAGTAAAAAGTCTAGAACTCTTCTATGCAGATTTGTTATAAGGTCAGCCTTGCGAATTGGCATTTGAGCACATCAATAGGAATAGTATAGTTGAAATAAAATGATGTCATCACCAAATATATGCTCATAAATCTATATCTATAACACTTGTAAGAAATGGAGAAGTTAGGAAGGCTTCTTCTTGATAAATTTGCAACATATTTCCTGGATGATTTGGATAATACACAACTAAAACTAGCCTGGAGTGGTAAGTCATATGTGCTCTTTTCAAGTCTTGGGTTGTGTTATGATTTTCTAATTTCTTTTGTAGGAGCTGCTGAACTAACCAATGTTGTGATCAAACCATCCATTTTGGAGGACTTGAATCTACCTGTTCAAGTTATACATGGTTCTATAGGTAATTAATGCATGTTAGGTCTCATATTTCTAAAATAATCTCCCTAAATAAAGTACTTCTGATTATTATTAGGATTATACATTTTTTCCTATATAAATTGTGTCATTCCATGAATCTTAAATTTCTAATTCCATTAATGATCAAAATATCTCAGATCTGAATTTCCATTACATTATTCAAGATTTCAATCTTAGGAGGAGTAACAGTTAGTTTAATCAGAACACCTTAACCTTATTGAACTACATGAGAGAGATACTTACAGTAAATTTGCTTGACATCATTTCTATAAAAGGCACAATATCATTCATGAGTTCTGTGTGCATGACCCTTGATCAGAATTTTCTGTTGTACTATTTGGGACAGTTTGGTTCAATTTAGATAAAAGTTTAAATAGAGAAACTCACAAAAGTCTAATATGTTTGATGACATCAATTGTGCTAATTACATTTATCTAATGCCCATATGCATCGTTTGACACTTAATCCCGATCAGGAACGGCAGATTCAAATATGATGCACGGACCACTTTCTAATCTTAATTACCTAATCGTTGAACAAAACGTGGCAATATTGCAAATTTGTTGATTGTGGGAAGTAATAAAAATCTTATCTTTGAACATCAAAGGCAAATGAAAGGATATCTTTTAAGTATGTCTAATAGGTGTGATTTAAATTAGTCCCCTAAACAAAATCTATTTTTTTATTTCTTGATCATAATTTTGTCGCCATTGAACAAAGTGAGGCTGCAAAGCTTTTTTATTACATACCACAATGGTATAGTTGTAGTCACCGTTCTTGGCAGTTACTTCATCAATGCCATATGAAATAAGTAAACAGATCGAGTCTCCCTACCAGGGGCGGATCTTAATTTTCCTAACTGATTATAAAATAATTTTCATAACCCATGTTTTCATTGTCTTCCTGGAAATACTCTAATATATTTAGCACAATCTGTCGGCCTATTGAAGATTGATAACATGACAACTCAAATTGCACACCGATGTCAAATAAGTTGTCACTCTGACAAATATGATTGAAGGGCACTCATACGTTACACACACAACTAAAAAACGTATGTCTTTGAACTTACCAAACAACCGTTCACACACAAGGGTAGGTTGCATGTGTATGTATGAGGGAGACGGAGATATATAAAGGGATACTATATGTAATAAATGTCAAAACTTCATAAAAATTTAAATTATATTGTTTAAGTAATGTAGGGACCAATAATTACTGAACAGGGAGACAAATAGATGGAAATTGAATGATTTTCTGAGATAGTAATGGCATGTGGCATGCAAAAGATATATATTGAATTTGAAATTATTTGTGATTACAGTGACAATGTGACAAGTAAACGTTATACAATTATTTTATAAAAAGTCCCTCTCCACCATACTTATAGTTCTGAAGATGCAAAGCTGTGAAGTTGAGATTTGGGCCAATTAAATTGATATATATATATCAATGTATCTATACTTTGACATAGAAATAGCAGATGAAAATTCCAAGATGGCCGTTAACAGGCAGTGGAATTGAGGGTTCTGATACCTCACTTTGAAGCTTCCTAACAGTTCATTATAACTATAAAATATATATTAACTACCTTTGAAAATGGTAGAGTGGCAGATTGCCAAGTTCAATGTATATTCTAGGGTTATAAGGTGCTCACAAGGAGCTCCAAAATGAGGTTTCACATGACCCCTCATTCTATTTAAAAAATGTTCCAACATGACGTCCAGCCACCATTTTAATTTTTTATTTGTTATTTACACACTAAAATGTGGTATCCATGGACATTCATTCATCAATATTATTACACTGAATTTCAGCTTGATAACTTCACTTGTAAAAAAATAAGATGGGGAGACCATTTTGAAAAACACTGTATGAATAAAATATTGAACCATAAATAGACAAGACTAAAATTTGAATTAAATCATAATAACTTTGATTATTTATAAAATTTCTATATATGATGTTACAGCAGCTAAAAGCATCATATTTATTTTTGTGTATCTTATCCAGTATGGAGATAAATTTAATTATTAATTCCTATCATTTACACGATTTTAAAAATATGACTGATTAAGGAACATTGGAGACATACTATAATTAATAAAATAGCCTGAAGTGCCTTACTGATTATCTGATGTTACTTGATATATATTTTTTAAGTAGATTAGTATAAAACTAGCATCTAGACTTTTCATAAATGTTTGTGTTTGGTGGATATGCTGGGTGGCATATTCTTGTGTGAGTGGGCATTCCTAACACACAGATTTCATAGGGAATAGTTGTTAGATCATTATTGATGTTTCAGAATGCATTATAAAAATATTCCCAATAAATACGAAAGAATATGCCTATCATTGCCATACAAGGGTAAACTTATCTTCCAAGAATTAGCTGAAATAGGCATTATTGCTGATTCCTGGAAGTTTCTCATTTTATTTAAGTACAACATTGATGATTGAAAAAGTGACAAAAATTGTTCATTGTGTATCGTATGTAACCGTAGATTCAACAACAAAAGGATATTTTAAACCATACTCAATGAGAAAAATATTGAAAATTTATGACAGTATTTATTATTATTGGTTAACATGATCTTCGTGAGGATAGCTAACATAATGCTATATTCATGCATCCAAAAAATTATCCCGGATAAAATGAGATTTGGTAATCAACAACTTGAGAGAAAGGAAAAATGGTGGGACTCGTACCCGCATCTCCTCCATTCCATAGAGCCGACTTGACCAAGTATTCTACAGCACCAGCTGCTAACCAACTTTCAGGAACGACTGTTAGGGGCAAATCCAATCCTACCTACGCCACTGTTCCTTTGATCTTCCAAGCTGCTTAATGCCCCATCTGGCGGCGACCTAGGAATTCGAGATCTTACTAAGGATCATGCCTCCATAAGTTCTCCTCATAAAGCAAAATTGAGCACCATATCAGTCATAACCCGCCTTCCAGAGTCATGAAAATTACTTATTTTGATCCAAAATATAGAAATTTGGATCCAGATGCCTATGCCACCAATTATAGGCCTGAGTACAAAATTCCATTTATATACGGGAAGAGGTTGCTCCATCTTTTTTACGAATTTTTTTTGCATATTTTGATCCGTAAGACATTCGAATTGGCAGTTCAATAAACTGGTAAAAAATTTCGAAAAAAACACTACCGAACGAATCACCATACCACAATTTGGAAGTCATATTTGACTTCCCTGAACAATTTTACTTTGGAATAATCAAATATTATGGGGCCTAATGCTGTCAGTTTTTATTGTACCATATAGGGTGTTTCAAATTCGACTATCACCATTGTGATCTCGAAAACGGTAAAAGATACGAAGTCGGCTAAATGAGTGCATATTTGCGCATTTAGGTAAATAAAAAAGGAGTTAAATAACAGAAACTGAATTTTCCCAGAATCGTTTTATTTTTTTTTTGCTTTAATTGAGATGGTATTTCAAAATAAAAAATACATCAATATTGCCACTTTGTGCCCTCTACAAGGTGGCATAATTAGAATTTCCATATTACTTTTCGTCTCTTGTCCTCAATTATCAACTTTATTTTTTATTATGGACGCCATATTCAAAGATTTCAAAAATGTATAATATGTCCTTCATTGTCATTGTCAAACCTATATGTTTTCAAAAAAACTAATATTCTCATGGATGGCCTTAAAATGTTTCAGTTTATGAGAAGCGCGTTCAAAGGATATTCTGATAATTGGACCATTTATCTACTATAACAAGCGTTATCTCAGCACGATGGAGGCGCTCTATACGATACCGCAGAGCTAGATTAATAGTACTTGAATGCAAGTGTGAGCATCTGCTTAGACATGGTGGATATGAAATGTGTTTAGGAAGCGGCAACATAGTGGAAACTTCCATTTACCCTAAAATGTTTCTATCAGTTACATAAAGTAATGTTGGGTGTAATGTTTTCAATACTACCCTTAAATAAAATGTAAACAAGTTTTAGCAATGAATTGTTCTTTATTCGATGAGCCAAGACCTACTGACCAACTATAGGAAGAATACCTTTTTAACATTTGAAGTTTATTGTCATTATTAATATCTGAAATAGAGACTGTACAGTGTACACCTCAGCTTAGTTCATAAAAATGAAGGAACATTTCTCTGATAAAGAGTTTTTAGTACTCGTCTAGCTGTCTCGTTATGATCTTCCTTATTTCGATTTAGAATAAGCTTATTTCATAAGGTTACATTTTCCTTATCCAGAGCTGTTGCAGGAATTTGTAATGCTACATAAGCCTAATTAAAATAGTTTCAGGTTATAAAAACACATTGTTTATAATAGAAATATGAGCTTTAGATCACAGATAAGAATAAATGCAAGAAATATACAGTTCTAAATAAATTGAATTGTCCTGATCTTTGTTATACACTGAGAACCAACTTTGTCTGACGGCTTTAGCTCAATGTGTGCGAAAGAGAAGTATGTAAAAAGTATTTATAGACACATGTTATAAAGATATAGAAGCCGCCTGGATAGCGACGCTCATCACCGCGTTGCCTAGCAACGCGGACGCGGTATTCTGCCGCGTTGTCAATATGTTACACCAGTTCCTTGTATTAAGATGCATAATGAAAATTGTGAATTATATTGAATCTGTTTAGGATTGATTCCCGATCGGTCCCAACGGCGCTCCATTTTAGAACACAATGAAATGTCAGGATTACCACAAAATATGCACCATTGCATCATTGGTCCGTTTATTAACACCACTTCTTGAACATTCCAGACCAAGGTTTCCACCTCCATGAACATACTTGAACGATTTTGGTTGGTACTCATCTAGCCCTCGTAGGGAAGTGTGACATTCAGCTGCATAAACGCAGACAGTGATAATTTGTATTGCGTAACGGTATTTGTTACATTTTCCAACCGCAGCGCTGTCGTAAAGTGTAACAATAACTCATGTTGTGTTGATTTGATCACTATCGATGGAAATAAAAGATAATTCAATAATAAACTAAAACACTAAGTCGCATCAAAATTGAAATGAATAATTCTAATCAAAATGAAGACGAAATATTAAATTAAATGTTCCTTCTTGGGTTTGGCGGTAACCTAACCTATTGTAGCAGCCTGTGTGAATATTTTCTGGTGTAACACATTGGCAACGCGGCAGAATGCACGACCTTCTGCGTCATCGTTGCTAGGCACTTTGGTGATGGCCTTCACTCTTCACTCCACTTCTATCTCTTTCTAACATGTGTAGATATACACTTCTCGCGCTTCTCTCTCGTATACATTGAACTCAAGCCGTCAAAAAAAATTCGTTTTCCCAGTATATGCAATATGGCAAGGTAGCCTTTTATTGTAGTTCTGCTAGTTTTGCGGTCACTTGTCCTTCTGTGGTTCTATGATTCTGAACCTCCGTCCGATTTGACACAAATATTACCGAAGCTTTACTATGTAAAAAAATTAACAAGGTTTTTAATTTTTGGGATTAGTTACATGAACATCGAAAAAAATAAGCAATCTGTCAGTAGTGAATATTGTCAAATTACGTCGGTCCACTTTTGTGGTCATAAAAGCTCTTTTGTCGTCGAGATTATTTATTTGCTGTCGCTGTCAAAAATAACGTAACGCAATACTTAACGATTCCTAATTTTTGAAATAACTAAGTTTGGAAATATCAGTTTGACATAAATATGATACATTTTTGGAATCGGAATAAAAAATTCTACTTAAATGTATAAAAATCCAATATGGCGTCTATAAGAAAAAATAAAGTTGATGATCGTGGACAGGAGACAAGTTTGAGTTAAAAATTAATAAAAGCAGAACATACTTTAATTCATGAATAAGCACCATCTGCGTCGCACATGCTTATGATAAGATATTTTAACTAGTGGTCAAGGGAGGGAAGGGAATCGAAAATCTCTGGGTTTCCTTTATACATAAGCAAATAAGAGTATGTGTACTGGAGCGCTGTGAAGCGACGTGTTAACTTTTGCGGTATGAAAATGATAAATGCCGCTCTGGTTTCCTTTTCATCGTTGCGCCACACTGTGCCTGAATGTTTATGCTCATACCATAAAGTTATACTCTAAGCTCCAATTGAGACGAATCCAAATTATTCGGTATTCTTTTTCTAACTAGAGCCCATGTTTCTGAACCAGACCAAATTATCTTTCGACAATGCAGTAGAAACTGGCGCTCCTGCTTGGAATATTCAGTGCTGGTATGGGTGATTCTTGAACTTCAGAATTCTCTTTTCATAAACTCAATGTTCTCATATACAGACTCAAACAAGGAATACTATAAGACCAGATTCTATTTGATTGCAGGACCAGTAGCCCAATAATAATTATTATAATCAGTTATGCTCGTAATTGTAATACATATTATCTGATGTTAAAGGGAAACTTGCATTGAAAATACCATGGCATTCAATTTATACATCACCAACTACAGTGCTGATAGAGAATGTGTATCTGGTGGTTGCACCCAATCAACAGGTGGCATACGACCCTGTTAAAGCAGAAAAATTGATGCTACAGGTAAAGCAGGCTGAATTAAGGAAGATTGAAGAAGCTGAGAAAATGGAGGAAGAAAAAGGTATTTTTCTATTTCTGTCTAATAATTTAATCGGTGTAGAAAGTCTTGTAGCGCCAAACTATCCATAATTGTGCTTTCTACCTCGGCAAACTTGCATGTTTAGTAAATAAAATAGATTGTTGTACATGAAATCCGTACATTCCAAAACGTTATCTAAACCCTCGATGTTGGCCATTGGAGGAATTATCCAAAATGATTTTTTATTATTATGTATGTAGATAGAGTGGGAATATTTATTTCATGTCAAACGCTTCTAACTTGTATTACGTATCTGTGCTCAAAGTCTAAACTCAATGACAAGGGTAAGGTTGCACTCCGAAAACAGCGCGAAAAACTTATTATCATCAGAGTTTTGTCGCAAAAATGTATGTTCGAGTTTTGGATGAGTAGTTTTTCTCTGTTTTCGTTCATTGAAAAACATGAACATAATTTGCTTTTTTCCCAAAAAGACCCGGTAAAATATTGATTATCCATGGAAAAACATTTGGGAAATACACCGTTTCACATGTACATTTGATATTTTATCTTACTATTTTGCACTCAACCAACACCTTTTCAGGATTTTTAGCGGCTATGTCACAATATCATACGAATTAAGTAAACAGATTGACTAGACGCTCAAGTCTGCAAATTTTTTTGTTCAACAAAATGGTATATATCGCGGTATCTTAGTGTAAAATGACCTTGTACTTGAATCGTAAGATGTGCGCTCTTTAATTTTGTTGAATGTATTAATAACGAAATTAGAGGCATACTGGCCGGTGCATAGGCCACATAAACGGGCCCTTATGCACCCCTACGTTTCTTAAGCCTCAAGCTCCGCCCTTGTAGCAAAGTTGAGTATAGCCCTGAGTCCCAGCTACGTAACATTCTGGCGTCGAAAGTGTTGGACTCCAGTGTAGTCTGCCTGTAGTAGAGCAGAGCCTCACAGCGATACAGAACATGCGCCGAGGGCTCTTCTTCTACCCGCAGCGCTTACACATGCGATCCTTAGCCACCCCCATCACATGCATGTGGCACCTCATTGTGTTATGGCCTGACAACAGTCCCACTAACAACCTAAGGTTGGCTCTATACAAAGATAAGCAAAAGCGCCCATCCTCAGTACTGGGCCCTACAATGAGCTCCCGTGCCTGACGGAGATGTCTAGAGAAGCTTTTCGATTTCTAAGAGTGTTGTCTAGCAATAAACATGTCCATTTTCCTCCTGACTCTTTGCGCGGGCACTCCTAGGGCTGGCTCTTGCTCGCTGATCCTGCTTTCGCAAGAGCCATATCATTGCCTTTTATCCACACTAACGATACCGGATGCCTCGCTTAGTGCCTTCATCGCAGCCTGGCTGTCGGAGAAGATTGTTATTCTTCTGCTAAGCCCTTCCCCTTCCAAAATGCGAGACACGCAAGCCTGAATCGCGTAGATTTTCGCCTGGAAAATAGTGATGTACCCGCCGAGAGGCAGAGCCCTCTTCAGTAACCGAGCCGTTTGTGTTCCAGATCTACCCACTTCATTCGGAGACCATCCGGCTTCCGGAGTCCCACTACGAGCTCGCCGGATACTCCACATTAAACTTGCAGTTGAAGCGATATTCTGGGGTGATCAGATCACCCCTACTCAGAAGGACAGGATCCTCCCTTTGCAATTGATTGTGTGCGACAACTCTCGCCTCTTCGCGGATCACTAGATCCAACGTTGGGAGATCCAACACAGCTTCCAATGCACTCAATGGTATTGTCCGCACTGCGGTTGTAATACTGGTACAAGCCAAACGCTGAATTTTATTGAGTTTGGCCCTAGTTGTCTCGGTTCCAATGCAAGGCCACCAAACCAGGGGGCCATACAAAAGAGATGAACGTATAGAGCCCCCCACCGTATTTGTAATATGTATATATGCCCAAACCAAATTGGATTCATATAAGTGCATAGTACTCAGCATTTCGTTTTGTTTTAATTCCAGACCAGCCTCAGCAAGACCCTAATCTTGCGCAACGGTTTTTGTTTGCAATGATAAGAAACATACAGTTGACTATCAAGAATGTCCATATTCGATATGAAGACAAAGTTACCAGCCCATCTTCCCCGTTCTCTTTTGGCTTTACTCTGGGCAATTTGCTAGTGGAAAGTACCGATCAGAATTGGAAAGTTTGTTTCATCGATTCAAAGGATCTTAAAGAACCTGTCTCTAGATTTTATAAGGTAACATGTATGATATTTGAAAAAGTATTTTATACATTCTACATATTTTTCTAGACTACACAATTGGATAGCTTAGCTATGTACTGGAATAGCCACTCTGAGACATATAGCCATTTGCCAATGGCTGAAATGCATAAGCATCTGAGTAAAATTGCTAAACAAAACTCGAAGCCTGACAACTACAGATACAGTAAGTATCATAGCCCAACTAAATAAGGGATTAACCTTGGAATAAAACATGATAACCTGAAAGTTTGCACCTATACCCTATTTCACGAGTATCCATCATGCTTTAACATCTACTGAGGTGAACAGCTGATCAGCAAGTGACATTTTTGTGTTAGTCTGCGACTTTGGCAATAACGAATTATGTGTAAATCTAGTAAAACGTGTTTGTAGCGTTTTGTTTTTGTATGCACATGAAGTTTTCTAAATAAAGAAGCTTTTAGCAAATACAAAATGAATCTGTCGCGTACAAAAAACAAAACAAAATATAGCTCTGACTACCTGGCATTGACGAATTGGTCAGAATTATGTCGATATGGAGAAATTTGAGATATTACTAGATAATCAGCTGTCTTTCTACTATAATGGACACTCGTGAAAAATACCCTACCTTAGTTGACGAAATCTTGTTGCTGCATGTATCTTATTCCATATGCGCTAAATGTCATTGGACCTATGTACTTGCTAGAAATGTTATACAATACAAAGCTGCCAGTGACATTTTCTGTATGAAAGTACAGTGGAAATTACAAAATAACAAATTTAAAGTATTTGCTGAAAGCAATTACTCTTCACAGTTCCTCTTTTTCTATACAGTTTTGGGCCCTATGAATCTATCAGCAAGAATGCGAGTGAATTTAAACCCAGAGCGCGATGAACCAAAGTTTAGTTACCCTAAGCTCCATCTGAACGTAGAGATCAGCAAATTGTATCTTGGCATCACAAAGAATCAGTATCGGGATCTGATAGCATTAACAGACTCAATGGGCAGGATGGCCAAAGGCGAGCCTTATAGGAAGTATAGGCCTAATGTAACCAGTTACCATGGTATGACATATGAATAAAAACCAGTTATTTAAGTACTATTCAATTTCTCTGTGACAGTCGCCCTAGATAAGAAAAATTATACATGGCAACAGCATAAGTTTCCCAAGTTATGTACCAGAGAGAGTGCCGAAGCATTGGAAGTAAAAATGAATGAAAAATATCTGTTAAGATAATTGGTTTCAAAGAAAAGCTAATTCCGATTATATGAACGCTACTTATTTTCAAAAATGGGTTCTTTGGATTATAGTATACAAAAGAGTAATAAGTCAATTTTTAAATAAAATTATATTTTATAATGCGAACATACCACGGTTATAATTCTTATATTTTGATCATTCAGGACATTATGCACAATGGTGGCGTTTTGCTTACACATCTATCTTGGAAGAGCATGTTCGGAAGAAACGTCGAGAATGGAATTGGGAAAATATTCTAAAATACAGGAATATGTGTAGAAAATACAAGGAATTGTACCAAAAAAGCAAGACGGAGAAAAACGTGAGTAATATTAGTGCTGTTTCATTTCAAGTTTGTTTTGAACTGAGCCATTAGTTTAATCTTAGTTGTTGTTTTTGTAGTAAAAAAGGAAATAACGCCTATAACTGCGCTGTTTCCATGGATAATAAGTTATTCTGTCTGACTATTTTTCTTGTTTTTTTTTTCATCACCCCATCATCATATGTTTGAGAAGTACCATATAGTTTTTATGTAAAAGCTGTCTCAATAGATACTTTAATTTTAAATAAAAACCAACAATTTTGCAAAAATAACATGAATTTTGGAAATTACGTTTCATGAATGTGCCATTCTCAGCTGTTTTTACAGAAGACCATTATTCGACTAAAACTTTTAGTAACTAATAGTCACAATTTTTGCTAGCTACTCTATACAGCTAGATAATACACGAGAAGTATTGCTCGTTTAGAAGTGCCATTGATTGCCTTTATTTGAAATATATTGTTTTGTAGATGAAGCCAGAAGAGAAGAAAACATTGGAAGATTGCGAAAAGAAGATGAATGTTATAAATATAGTTGTAACAAGAAAACAAGTGGAGGTAGAATTGAAAAAAATGGCGGAAGAGGCGGGTAAACAATCTTTCTTTAGTAGATGGTGGGGAAGTTCTGGAAGCGATTCAACACATGGTGGGAAAAAGACATCTCTTGGTAAGTAATACGAAAAAGCAATTGAATCAGTCATATTAAAAGCCCATTTTTCCTTCCTTGTAAAATATTACCACATAATACACGTTCAGCCAGTTTTGTTGTTGAAAAAAAACATTTTCATGCCTGGTAGTGAAGTAGGCGACTAGACTTTTCTATAACCGATTGCCCATTATTGAAGAAAGCTAAACTAAAGTCTTCTACTCTCACTTTTTAATGATGATCAATTCATAGTTTGGATGTTAAAAGGTCAATTCGTTTTTCTGAGGTGTTCGCTTTTCCCTATGTACTTTGAAAATATCAAAACAATAAAAATTCAAACATGTGGCATGTGAATAAGTTAATACTTGATTGTAATTTTCAATAATAAGCGACGAAAAATATTAATATAATTCTTTAGTTTATTTACCACTAATCCTGTTGAAACAATGTAAGTCTGTAGCAGTTTTTGGACTTTCTCCGTTATTATTATTATTAATAATAAACTGTGAAGATAATCCGAAATTTCAATTTCAGAACTCAAATATTATATTAAGCTTAAAAAGTACTTGAAAACTGGTATATTTGTCAGTGACAGATCCTATTGTCCCCTAAAAATTTAGACATCTCTGATAAACTATTGTTAAATATAGATATAGACAATACATATTTTGTACTTTGTTGACATAAAAAAATGTTTGCATGAAAAACAGATTTAATTTACCGATAGTTTGAGCTTAATTAATTTTTCAACAATAATGAAAAGTAACATATGACGCAAATATCCTGTCCAACTATGCTACTTTAGAAAAAGTAAAACGCAAATATTTATCTTTGTGTGTTCTTTCAGTGAAGGAAATCGAGGACGCAATGACTCCAGAAGAAAAACAAAAGCTATACAAAGCGGTTGGTGTCACCGAAGACGGAAAACAAATTGTAAATTATCCTGAAACATACATCAGTATTTCTTGCGCATTTGTGCTGAAATCGTTTGAAGTCGAAATGAAAGATGAAGAAACAGCAGTGAATAGGGTGCTTTTCACTACGTTGAACACTGTCAGATGCAAAGTAGAGATGAGACCATACAACTCTGGACTGAAGTAAGGTCACTTTATACTAGAGTAACATCATTATCTTACAAGGCGAGGTCACAGCTTAAAAAAATGACCTTGCGTAATTATAGGTGGCAGTAAATGTATTTATTTGGTACATGGAACTTCTTGAAAATGGTCAATCGTTTACGAGATAAAATGTGCCAAATTGTACAGGACGCGCATGCCTTCAATTTATTACTGAAAGGCTCAAAGTTGCATGCTTGGAAGACATTTTCCTTCTTAGAAAACGTTTCTAGACACAACTGCAAACCACGTACCCGTCAAGTACGCCTTCCTAGATCATTTCATTACCAACATATAGCAGGTACATTTTAACCTATTTTATCTCACAATCGATTGGCCATTTTGACTGTATTCATGTATCAGGTAAACACACTTAATCTACTTATCATTGCACAAAGACCTTGCCTTGTTAGTTAAGACTATGCAATGTACAGTTTGCATAACGATCTCACTGGATGAAAATTTTCCGTCTTAGAACTGAGTTATACAACAGTTTATAATCGCAGTATCTTGTTTCCAGAGTACTCGCTCAGATAGATGATTTGGAAACAATTGGCATGAAGCAGCCAGGTGATTTCATACCCAAACTAATAACGAAATCAACAGGACAAAAAGGACTATTGGATGTAGTTTTTGAAATGAATCCCATAGATGAGAGTTGTGATCAAAGAATCGACGTTTCCACTCAGCCATTGAAAATTACCTACGATGCAGAGACTATCAACAAAGTCGTGGAGATATTCAAACTGCCGTCTGATACGTCACTAGATCAGTAATTGAACTTACTAATAACGCCATTGTACTTACCTGCTGTTTGGCGTGCTATCCACTAATAATAACGGATCACTTGCAAAATCCCTTTTATTTTATGAAACCCCGTATCAAATGGATACAAATCAAAGATACTTTAATTTATATACAACTAACAAAAAAAAAATATTAGGAGTATATTAAAATTAACTCTTAATGTGAGGAATGAAATTAATTAATCAAAAATTTCAACTTTATCGTACTGACATTTATTGCAAATACTATTGCGATATTTTTACGCTGAAGCAGCCGCTCAGGCTGGCATTTATGCCAGGAAACCATGCACGGCTGTTATGAGGATCCCAATGAAACTTTATTAATCCGATTTCAGAATTGCCTGAGATTAGTAGACCTGGGAAAAGCCTCCGCTTGCAGATTGTTCCACAATCTCGAGACCCTAGGGACAAAGGAGCGGTCGTATCGGCAAGTTCGACACGGTTAGGATGGGAGGCCGAATTCAGGCGGGTCTGTCTGATAGGCACATTACGCGGCGGCATCATGGAGGAAAGCTCTGAGGAGCAAAGCCCGTTGGTGTAGCGGTAGACCCGAGACCGTCCGTTATAAAAGAGTCCTCGATTAGTCGAACAGCCCTCCTCGGGTGTGCACCCCAAACGTGAGAGCAAAGCAAAGCTTCTCTGGCAGGCCATAGGATGGAGGTTTGCGTAGATGGACAGCATGCCACAGATGGATTCATCAGATATCAGAAAGAGACTCGAAAGAACTGAAGCAAGCTCCACTGCACACCTCTTCAATACAACGGCAGGGATCAACTCCGGACCAAAAGCTTTGTTGCATGTCGAGCGACAATAGCACCCGTCTTATGGTCTTATGTCTGGAAGCTACTTCCCGCATAGTGTAGGGAACCCCTTGAATCGGCGGCATTCGGGCTTTGAGGGATGTTTCTGGTAGAGTTTGGAGCAAACATCTTGGCAAGCTCTTCCGCATTAGCCTTTGAGTCGTTCCATCCTGACACGTACATATGTGGTGTGAAGTTCCTTTCAATCTGCTTGGTCAGCGTCCAGAAAGACCGACTGCCATTGCGCTGCGACATTACCGTATGCCTAACTTTTATATTGTGCTGGTATTTGGAATTGCAGACCGCTTCGTTATATTTGTTTACAATGGGATTTTATGAGAAGGTTTTGTTTGCCTTGATCTTCTGGTGACGAACACTATCGCACGAATTGTTGAACCAGCCGTTGGGCTCTAATTTAGTCACTTACGCTGTATGAGGGATGTATTCCTATATCCCAACGTACATAATTTCGGTAAGATCTATCAAAAGTAAAAAATCCCCAGTCATTGATGAAATTTCTTTAAATGTTATAGCTAATATTTCACTTGATGCTTTTGATACCCTCTCAAAACTTATAAATATTTCTCGTAACACAGGTGTTTACCCTGAATTTTTAGAAACAACAGTAGTTATTCCTATTTATAAAGAAGGCCTAAGTGATTTACCAGAAAATTATAGACCCATAAGTTTAATTATTGTTAGATAATAGAAAAATAGTCCAAAATAGATTAAGAGACTTTCTAAAAATCAACAAAATTATAACAACCAATTTGAATTTCAAAAACAAAAAATACCATGGATGCTATTTTCACATTACTCCAACAGTTATACTCAAATTTAAATAGCTTTTTGTGATTTTTCGAAGGCTTTTGAATGTGCAAATCATGATATTCTATTATAAAAATTGAACAAATATGGTTGTACTGGAACTTCAGTCAGTTGGTTTAAAACATATTTAAGTAATCGAAGTGTAAAATTATTTCAAATAAATATAAGCACAGGGGTACCTCAAGGATCAGTATTAGATTCGATTCTATCCTTTGTCAATATCAACCATTTATTAAACTTAAGCATATAATTCGTAGTTTTTGCTGACGATACCACAATACTTTAGCAAGACAAAGATATAAATGAAATTAAGACAAAAATTGATAGTGATATACATTCGATCAAAAAATGGTGTGACAACAATTACTTGACTTTCAATTAATAAGACTAAATTTATGACATTTAAAAGCTCCCTTGATTTTATAAATTTAAATAATGCATTGATACACAAAACAGACACCATCAAATGTTTGGGACTGACCATTGATCATAAATTATTAGATTGAGATATAGTCCCTTTTTATGTCTGCTTATTCTACAAAAACAAACTATTAAATATATAACTAAAAGCAGTCCTAGAGTTGGAGGCACGCTTTTATTGGAAAATACTAAAATAAATCTAAATTTAAAACATTAAATATAAGTGACAATATTAGACGAAATCAAGGTCTTAAATTAGTAGTAACTAAAACAACACTTGTGGAAGACTCAATAATATATAATGGTCTGAAAATTTACATGAGTCTCCATGATGCTATCAAAGGATATAACAATTTAAAGATATCCCGCCATGAACTTAAACACTTTTTAATAGGTAAACCATATTATACATTGTGTAATCTATTCACCTACTTAAGGTCCATGTACGTTATTATATTATAGTTTGGTTTTAAGTTATCGTTGCCATTAAGAATGATTGTATTCTTCAGACAATAAAGCATATTTATCTATCAATAATTGCTCTATGTCCGATAATTGTATGAGACTATATGCATTTCTGGGGTAGACTGACTTTTGTATTTAAGTAACAATAGAGACATTCTTATTACTTATTATTTAAAATATATACCAGATTATTTTAATGTTATGAGTCAAAAAAAGGTACAGAATACAATTTATTTCTTTTGCAGAATCCAAATAGCTGCTGAAAACAGATTGAATAAAATGAAGGAGATGACAACTACTGGTCTCGCACATGCTATTGACAAACAAATCTGCCTTAATGTTAACATTGATATACAAGCGCCTTATATAATTATTCCTTACGGAGGAAAATATACTGGATCTGAAAATGTCTTGGTCGCTAACTTAGGTAATATTGCTATTTGTATGTTGTTCGAGGCAATAGAGAATAATTTTTGCTTTAATTGAATGAATGCATTAGTGTTAATATCTTGATGCAACTTTCTGTATTAAACTACGATTATTATAGGTCACCTGAAAATATTCTCTTTTGGGAAAAGATCTTCAACAGCAGATCTGAAGCGATTACATGAAGAAGGAAAAACACAGACAGAAATTATGGAGCACTTGGTGAAGCATGCCTATGATAACTTTAAGCTTGAATTTAAGAATCTGCAAATATTAATGGCTCAGGTATGAATACCTACGGTGCTGTTTTCTGATGTTATATATCTTTTTGTTAGAGGTATCAAACTGGGTATTTAGAGTCCTTGAAAACGCCTCAGATGTTTTGTACATTATGTAGGCAAAAGTTTTCCTGTCATAGTCATCCCTGAAAATCAAGCAATATCTTGCTCCACTCCAAGATGTTATTATGTTAACGGTTTGTTTTCCTTCTCATGCAATGTTGGCAATAATGAATCGGGTGTAAATCTAGTAAAACTTGTTTGTTGCGTTTTGTTTTCTGAATGCAAATGTACTTTTCTAAATAAAACCGCTTTTAGCAAGTAAAAAATGAATCTGTAGCGTACAAAAAACCAAAACAAAATATGGTTCTGTCTACCTGGCATTGACGGATCCGACAGAATTATATGTCCTTTTCCGATGTGAGTAATTTTGGAATATACTAGAAATCAGCTGTCATTCTACCATAATAGATACCCGTGAAAAATACTATTCACATTGCCAGTGGGGCTCTTGTAATCAACCATTAATTGAATATAGTCTATGAATTCCACATTTCCTTTAACTGAAAATCCATCATTATTAAGTATTAAAAATCTGGAATTTTTGTATTAAAAACGACATTAGCAGAAACAATGGCTACATACAAGAAATCTATTTTCTGAAAATCCAAAGGTAAACTTCAATAACACCTTACCAACTCCTTTAATCTCGGTATTGTCAGCTACAAAAACCAGTGAATTTACATCAGAATTCATACCAAACATGATGTGATGTTTCACTGGAGTTGATTAGCCATGATGATGGAAAAAGTATTATCAAGAGATCTTGTTAACAATATCGTATTCTTCGCAGTATGTCTTTTGTTTTCACTTGCTTTCCTGTTTCACCACATTAGTAACAGTTGAAGTTATGTATTTGTTTCAATAAAAGTTCAGTTTTTGACACTCAATCTCCCTCTTTTACTCCCCTTCATTCACTTTCACCTAGTAAAGCGACTTTCTATCTTCGGAAATAGTATCTTCTTTCAATTGGTGATTTAGATTAGCAATAAAGCTTTCATAGTCATCAGATACGCCATTTCTCATAAAAGATATCCATTTATCCTGCCTTCTCATCTATATCCGCGAGATAAATAGTAGTGAGGATTTCGTTCAAATAATCTAGCAAGCCCAAACTTTGTAGCCTAGAACTACAAGAAGCTTCATAGGCTTTATTCAGGTTAATCCATGCTTCGAGGGAAGTTTTAGCTGTATGAACGTTCACAATTGTATTTAACTGACAAACAAATCTTCGCCAATGCATTTTGGTTTTTGAGCACATCAGTTCTTTTTGTAGATCATTTTGGGCTTGAAGTACCACGGGAAGTGGCTATAGCCGACCGCGTGGTTGTGGTTAGATGTAGCCTTGGAATTCTTCTGGCCATTATACTACAATGTGTAGGTTGGATATTGTTGGTGACTTCGTGTGTCGTTATGTTCTCTTTCCGTCTTCGTTTCGTCAGGTTACACCCGTCTCCGGATGTATGTTCATGTGTGTCTGCTTTTGTAGTTGCATATGTGCATTCATTTCGGGCCTGATGAAGCCAACAAGCAGAAATACGTATTTCTTGGATTACGTATCCTATTTTATGTTCAAATCAACTTTCCTTCTTTTTACGGTTTTTGCCCATTATTGTTTCTATGTGCGATATAGCTTTGACATCGTTCTTCAATGACACAGTAAAATGTTTGGTTAACCAAGGCGATCACACCCATCTCCGAATTTACAAAAAATCACAGTTATGCAGTGTACTGACAATATCCTGATGTACAAGATCAGGAATCAGTGTCACTTATCAATACTTGCCAATAAAGTCAGGAGACAGCCATATATCAAGCATTGTTGACTAATACTGTCGCGGGACTCAAGTCGTGTGCATAACTAGATGCTTACAGTAACAGTTTATGGAATATCACTACTTTCTAATATTCACTACTATTTTTATTTCAGAGCGACGAAAATTGGGATGCAGCGATCAAAAATTCCATGTCAACTGACATGCATCTGCTGAATCCATTGTCAATATCTTTCACGTACTCCAAATGTGTGATTTCTGACGATCCTAAGTTACCCCATGGAAAAGTGAAGGGGCAGTTGCCTTCCATAGATGTCAAGTTATCAGAAGCTAGAATTCTGATGTTATTTTCGCTCATTTTCAGTATCACTTGGCCTTCCAGTGAGGTTCAGTCAAATGAAATAGAAGCAATTACGGTATGTAAACAATTAGATCTTATCAACTGTGTATATTCAGATAGAAAACGCACTACTCAGTAATTGCATGAGATTGCGTGTAATTCCATCTCATGCCCATAATCTATAAAGTGCTAGAAATTTAGTCGTCCGCCTGTAACTACTACCTGGTACAAACTACCCTACTATCTGTACTAAGCATTGAATCTGCCTGATACTTTTACCTTCCGTAACTTTCATCGGTGCATCGAATCAACATGATTGATATTAAATCTAAATGAAATTCTGATAGGTGATTTGACTACCTATTGATAATAACTGCTAGACCAGGGACCAATAATTCCAGCTGAGGAAATTGTACACCACACTGTGACTTTAGGTGAACACAAAGCTCTTCGATACAATTCTCGAGGATTGCAGCCCAGTAGCGCATGTTTTGTCTGTTGACTGATTCACATAAATGAAAGTGAGCTTCATCATTAAGAAAACAAAAGCGACCTCAGAAACGACTTCGAGAAGACGAGCACACGCGTTCATCCGACAATTGAAGTCAGGTTCAAAAATTTCCTACACAATTGCGATCTTGTAAGAATGGAAATAAAGGTCATGAAGAATTCTCCACACAGAACGATCGGGAAGTCCAAGGATAGACTCGTGTTTGCGCGCAGAACACCGTGATGATCGCAACATTGAGGCTATCAGTGCCTCAATGCTTTCAGATGATCTAATGGGCCGACGGACTCCAGTTCTTTGTCTTGTCGCACTTGCAGTTTGTCTGAATGTAGTGACCCACATAACTGTTGATTTCCGGTCCGAGGCGGTGGCCAACGGGGCTAAATTAAAGCGATTCCAAAAGGCGCGCTGGGTTGCGATCACAGAACATCTGTTCAAAAAATAGACCTCGACGGCAAAAGCACGCTCCTTACCTTTTCAACGCATGATGGCGACTGAACTATGTCGGAACAAGACTTTACAGTCCCGCCTCTCGAACGAGACCACTATCACTCCGCTACGACATCAACCGACTGATGGCGATAAGGAAGTTATGCTGCCACACTCTGTATGAAAGATTATTATTTGGTGAAAAATAAGAAAAAACGTGCTTGTCATAAGATGTAAATATAGCTATTTGTACCAGGGTTTCTCATTTTGCACTTGTCAGAGAGGCAACAACGCGACTTATCTTGTATTGTCGTCTATAGACACTAAACAAATACCGAGTAGAAACTACCGGGTGCATATAAGGTCACGGGAATTACAGGTATTGAAAAGTACCGATCTTTGTCACCGCCAGACTCCACAATATGAGGCTTCTACATAAGTACACATACATACCCATGATATTTGCTAATTATTCTGCAGCTTCAGAGATCTAGATATTTCGTCTTTTACAAAGGATATAATAACAAAAACGTGGAGTTTTAGTAAAACTGATTTGAGCAATTCAGGAAGAATATTTTCAAAATGGTGGCACTTCTGGTTACACCGGGAGTAGATGCCAACACGCTTATTTTAAATAGAACTTTATGTTATTCAATTTTTAGGTACATTTTGTGTATATCATAATAATATGCATAAGTCATTGAGTTATCTCAAGTTTTCTGTAAAAAATTATACATGCAGGCAGATAATCATTATTTTTCCTGTATTTCTTGCCAAAGAATTTGTCACGGTTTCCCTAAAGGAAATTTACTTTTTGTTCGATATTCAGAATTGCAATAACACATGGCAATTAAAAAAAGACAATGAAAATTATGTTCTGAAAACCCCAAAAAAAATTTTTTTTTAATTGAAATCGCTTATTTGTTTAGGATAGTTTTGTAAAAGAATGTCTTCCAACTAACAATTATCACTAATATTAGAGTTGCAAGAACGATTATACAGTATTCCTTAGACAGCATTATATGCTGTAAGTACATTGGTAAAACGCTCTTAGAACAGCTATACAAGCGTAATGGGCATACAAGTGTAAACCTCTTGCAGTCGCTATAGAACATTTGCGTCAGTGCAAGATTCAGTTTTTGTCAACTATTCAACTATTCTGTTACACGATTCTACTTTATTGCAACCAAACTATTTCTTATGTATTGTATAGGCGAAGTGAAGAATATATAACACATTACAGTCAACTTGTTTACTTACATATCGGCCATTGTGGATTCCATACACAGGTACATATATGATAAACTTCTAAACTGTGATATAAGGATATTGAATTACTTGCGCAACAAATTTTATTGTGATTATCGTGCAAAGGAGTTTCTACGGGCTTTGTATTTGATTCAAATGATGAAAAACTAAACTTATCTGCATTAAATCTTCCACAAATCCTATATTTAGACTCAATTACACTAATGTTTATTATTTTATATCTATAATGTGGAACTGAAACATAATTATTTAATTTTCAATAGAGGAATATATTTTTGTCTAAAACGGCGGATGGTTATGTATAATCAATATACTCACGGCATCGTTTATGTTGTCTTTGGATTATTAGAAAATTTTTGGTGTTGTCTGCAGGTGTTATAAAGGGTTGACCAATAGGGACGCAGGAAAGTAAACGTCAATTTGACATAGACGACATCTTTGTTTTCTGTCACCGACATGTCATTTTGTTAGTTGAATATTTACCATTGATCGCTATGGAGTCGTATTCGATTGAAGACCGCATTAAAGTTGTTCAAGAGCACTACAAAAATGGTGCAAAAATAAAAAACACGTTTCGCGCGCTTCGTGAACATTTCGGTCGCAACAACCGCCCAAACGAAACAACCATCGGTCGTCTGGTGCGTAAATTCGAGGCAACAGGTTCTTTGGCAAATCTGCCAGGCTCTGGCCCGCCATGGAGCGATCGCACACCGGAAAATATTGCTGTTGTGAAGGAGAGTGTGAGAGACGATCTGAAACAATCAACAACGCGTCCATCCCAAGAATTGGGCATTTCGAGAACCAGTTTGCTCCGCATTCTCCACAAGGCATTTGAATGTACACGCCTACAAGATCCAATTGACGCAAGAGCTGCGTCGGACCGACCATTTTTCGCGCCGAACGTTCTCAGATTGGCTCCTTGAACACCGCTAAATTGATGCCAATTTTTCATCAAAAATCATGTTCAGCGACGAAGCGCATTTCACTTTGAATGGGACGGTAAACAAGCAAAACTGCCGCATCTGGGCGAACGAAAATCCCCGAATCAAGAGCAGCCGATGCATCCTCAAAAAGTGACTGTGTGGTGTGCATTGTGGTCAAAAGGCATCATCGGACCTTACTTTTTCGAAAATGCGGCCGGGGACACCGTTAACGTCAATTCCGAGCGATATCACGTGACGATAGAGGACTATTTTTTGCCGCAACTTGAAGGAATGGATATGGACGATGTTTATTTCCAGCAAGACGGTGTAACATGCCACACAACCAACGTCAATATCCATCGATTGCAGTCCTTCTTCGGTGATCGCGTGATTTCGCGCAGAGAAAATGTGCCATGGCCACCAAGATCGTGCGATTTGACTCGCTTGGACTTCTTTTTATGGGGATATTTGAAAAGCAAAGTCTACGTCATTAAACCAGCCACCCTCCAAGAACTCAAAAACATCATCGTTGCCGAAATAAATGCCATAGATCCGACCATGTTGCAAAATGTCATTGAAAATTTCGACCATCGCGTGGACGTCTGTAAATCCAGTCGTGGTGAACATTTGAGCGATATTATTTTTCATACATAAATGGTATAAATGAACCTTCAAAATAAAGTACCCAACTTGATTTGAATATCAATCTTTCTTGTTTTAATATGCGTTTACTTTCCTGCGTCCGTGTTGGTTGTCCATTATAACAATTTGACAAATCTCTGACATGAAATACGGACAGTCGAATGATTTACCCAGAATTTGTACCAGATCTATATCCTCTGTTTGACAAAGCCTTTTAAACCAATATGCATGCGTTGTTTGTCTAAAATATTGGTTAGGGCATTTTAACTAAAAAGATGACAGCAGAAAGTTAGGTTATGGTGAAGTTGTATACTAACATATTTAGCAAGAAATGTATGCCGAGTACAGCAATTTTGTACTATTTGTAATATTGTTGTAGTTGTACAGCCTTTAACAGTTAGTAAACGACAGTTGTACAAGTGCTTCCGTTGGGAGCAATCTGTTGGCTAAAGTAGTAAAGTTGCACACCAAAACAAGGCTCGGGATTGTCGTATAAACGTTACTATGGGTGCCACAACACAACTATTTTGACTACCGCGCAAATATACCGTATAAAATAGTTGTATAAACGTTTATGCAACAGTTCTAAATTTGTCCTATAAGGTGTTGTATAACTATGCTCTAAGAATATTTTAAATACCAGATTTTAGAACAAATATGATGCAGAAAGCTAATTTGCATTCCACACAACATTAAGCCAGCATTTTGGAGTTCAGGCAACAACAATAGAGAGCTTTTACGGCTGAATAGTTCTTTTACCAAAAGCTTATAACTCTACTTTTTTAGTTGGGCTACTTCTCAAATTAGTAGTTTCTGGATTATTTATGGGTCCGAACTAAAATTCCATGACCTGGCTTGGCAGATCATATCTCAAATCAGGCACAATTTTTTGCCTGGGCAGTGGAGGCAGGAGGCTTTGTAAAATTTATGTCTGCTAGGTAGAACGTCATCTTCATTCTTTTGAGAGTCCTATATTATTTAAACATCAAAGAAACCTTACTAAATTGTCTCTCTTTAAGGAAATCGTATGGCAAATAGTATTCCAAAGACACAAAATAGTACAAATTGATTATTATACTAAATGACATAGAAAATGCAATACCGACTAGGAGTGCTGTAATTTTGAGCATACTTTTACAAGTTTTAGGTCTACGGATAAATAGAAAGTGATTAAAATTTTAACTCGAAATTTTCCAAAATAACTGAGATATCCCATCCCACCTTAATGTTAATAATGTGTTGAAGCTCCTCTGTTCGCTACACATTCGTTAAGTCATCGCGGCATTGATTGGATTGGGTGATTGATGTCTTTATGGTGTATTGTATCCCAGGACATCTAAATTTGGTTTCGTAGAGCCTCCAATGTTTCTGGAGGTTGCGGTGAATTTTGCAACCTTCTTCCCATCATGTTCCATACATGTTCAATGGGGGAAAGGTCTGGTGATCGAGGAGGCCACTGATGCAGATTAACTCCGAATTCTTCCAAAAAGTCTAAACTCACACGTGCGACATGAGGTCGTGCATTGTCCTGCTTGCAATGGTTCCAAAAGGGGAAGCAGATGTGGTTGTATAACTTCGTAGATATAGCGCTGGGTAGTCATGCTACCTCGAATGAACACTAATCGTGACCTGCTGGCGTAAGCAGTGGTACCCCATTTCATAACACCCACACGCGATGAATATGCCGTTCGATGGAGTATTGGTCTTCTTACACCACGTCTCCTCCTTACTCTTGCTCGGCCAGCATTTTGTACCCAAACAGAATCTGGACTCATCGCTGAACACGACTGAGTTCCATTCAAGTCTCTCCCTACTCCATACCAATCGTTGCCGACGATGCTGTGGGGTCAGAGGTAGTACAAGATGGGGACGGTACGACAACAGTCCAAAAAACCTTATTCGGCGATAGTGCCCTTCCGACAGCATCAAACCAGTGGTTCGCAACTGCCCTTGTTGTGGAAAATCGATCTCTAAGTGCTAGTTTCCTCAAATAACGATCCTGTCGCTCTGTAGTCTGTCTTTGACGTCCAGTACCTTTAACTCGTCGATTTCGGCCTTCTTGGAACCGCGCTCGACAACATCTCATTACAGTAGCTCCGTTTCGATTCACCCGATTAGCAATTTCTCTAAAAGAAAATCCGACACCTCTAGGCGTGATAATTTAATGAAACAAATCGAACCAGCACAGAAAAATCACTGAATATTAATATTATTCGGATCCGGATATGACAAAAACGCCTTTACAAAAAAAGTACGGCTCGGAATGCCTTCAACATTTTATCAGCGTATCCTTCCATGATAGCAAATATGTTTTCAAGTCTTTATCAAAATTCAATAAATAATTCTTTGTGTTGCATTTTATATGTCATTTGGTATATTTATCAGCCTGCATTTGTCATTTTTTTCACAAAATTTGAAACGACTCGAAAGCAGTTAAACATGAAATGTGCATGATACCCATCCAGAATCCAAAAACTGAATAATATACAGTGTGTCCAATTTAAAATAAACAAGTTGGTGTCTTCCTCCGGTGTAATATACTGCAATTCTTCGTGGGAGATCCTGCATATACCTATATGTTTTGGCAGAGACAATAACTGTCATTGGCATTAATTGCCCATGCAAGGGGGGGGTTCTAGATAGTATGACTTTGTACCCTGTTTTGGGCAGCATCTAACGATGTAGGTTGACTCTGCACTTCCGACGCAACGCTGTTATCAGATCATAAATCATCACAAACCAAACCATCTGCCAGTCAGTCAAACAGATCCAGTCAATTAGTCCATAGACATTCTTTCCTCGCTCTACCGGTAGTGCATCTGTATACTCCGTTCTGACGTAGCAACACGGTCAGACCATATGACAAACTATGGCTGTGGCGTGGTAGAAATACGTGTAATACCATACTAGAAAAACAGCACACCACAAGGCTGGCGGCAGCCGCGTCCGCTAGGTACGCGATCCGTCTGCTGATAGTCTGTTCTATAAGTTTTAAGGGCTAATGTAGGGAGAAGTCTATGATGTGTGAAATATGTCTAATGGGTACGTGGAATTACCAAGGTTGGGGGCAAATAAATGTACTAACATCAAAAAATTGAGATAAAACGTTCTCACCTACCTACTACTCGCACCCCCAAGTTGTAGATCTATTTTTTTTTAAATGTTCAGAATCGTCTGAAACGTCAAAAACTAACTTTAAGCGACTTTTATTTTCTTCTTTCGTTTTTGGCCTTGTTCTCTGCCACCACTGGAATGATTGTCAAAAACAAAGATTTTGCGTCCTTGCCATAGTAATAACATTGTGTAAAAATTTCATCGAAATCCGAGCGGTACTTCTCAAGTTAGGTTATAAGATCAGCGGACAGACATACGGACGGAAATGAGTGATACGGTTTTTCATGATTTACATGTCATATAACATTCAGAAATCATAATATCTCATTTTCGAAAATTATCGTGGCGTCACTGTTTGAAATATCAAGAGCATTATTGTTAATTGCAAATAGTCAGACGATTCAAAAAACAGAAATATCAGAATTTCGTAGCTGTCTAGTATGTGTGAAAGTGATGAAACAGTATCAGGCAAGTCTTGTATAAGAAATTAAAAGGTTATATTGTTATTTCGTGCAAGGAAGAATTGTGTGCAACGGGGAGAGATTATAGTTTCACGAAACTAAAAGGTATTTTTGATTGAACATTGCTGTGACTCTAGTGCCCGGAAAGTAGCTGTCCTGAATGTCTGTGGGGGAAGCTATAGTGACATGAGCAATAAGAGTATTCTACTCATGAAGCGAGCGTGGTAGAACAGAGCTGTTTCCTGTAAAAAAAATTATGGTTTTCTTGAGATGGCGTTGACTTTAAAATGTCTCAACTACCACTGCCTCTATAAACAATATATGAAACATGATAAAACATTGTGTATAACATAAACTTATGTTCCACTATATCATTATTGACTGCTGCTAGAGCGGCTTCATTTGTCGTCCAACGATGTCAACAGCGTGCTTGTATTATATTCTTTTCAATATTTTCCAACTTTGTTGGGTCTTAACGTCATTGTCCAGGCAATAATGTTACGAGGGATGTCTTTTACGTTTTGCATATAGAAACATAGTAGGCCGCGCGGATCGAACGTCAGTACTGAATCTTAACCTCACTCTTTATTAAACTTAAATTCAAAGTTTCACAACGATACGTGCAGTGTTCTCTCTACACTGAATTTTTAAGTGTCACCAAGTCATTAGAAAAAATGGAACTCAACCGAGAACATTTTCGCGCCATAATTTATTACAACTTTCAGATACAATTATCGCAACAAGAATGCAATACTGAGTTACTGTCTGTTTTCGGCAACGAAGCGCCATATCAGTCGAAAATTTCCCGTTGGTATGGAGAATTCAAACGTGGACGGGTCAGTCTTAGCGACGATCCCAGGGTGGGTGCACCAAAAACGGCTGTCACCCAGGAAAAAGTCGATGCTGTGCGCAAACTCATCATCGAAGATAGACATGTGACATATCGCTAGATTGAGGCGTCCCTGAAGATCTCAAAGACCTCAATTCAAAAAATTTTACATGAAGAATTAGGAGTTAGAAAATTAGTTTGTCGTTGGATACCCCACATGTTGACTGAAGAGCAGAAAGCATCCAGGGTTAATTGGTATCAAAAAACGCTTGACCGTTTCAATTTCGGAAACTCAAAAAATGTGTACAGCATTGTTAGTGGTGATGAATAGTGGATTTACTGTTATGCACCAGAAAATAAACGACAGTCGGCTGTTTGGGTGTTCCAAGGTGAAGAAAAGCCAACAAAAGTCATCCGTTCTCGAAGTGTTTCGAAAACGGTGGTCGCGACATTTGTGTCAAAAGCGGGTCATATTGCAACAATTCCTCTTAATGAGCAAAGAACTGTTACTGCGAATTGGCTTACCACCATTTGTTTGCCAAAAGTCAACACCGATCTTCGAAAAATCAACCCCGAAAGAAGAATCATCCCCCACCAAGACAATGCAAGCTCACACACAGCCCAAAAAACAAGGGAGTATTTAACGGAAGAAAACGTGGAATTATTGGACCATCCTCCATATAGTCCCGATCTAAGTCCTAACGATTTCTTTACTTTCCCGAAAATTAAAAACAGACTGCGTGGTCAAAGGTTCTAGTCACCAGAAGAAGCAGTTGACGCATTCAAAAATGCCGTTTTGGATCTGCCAGCAAACGAGTGGAATAAGTGCTTCGAAAATTGGTTCGAGCGCATGCAGATGTGTATTAATCTTCGTGGAGAATACTTCGAAAGACAATAAAGTCATTTAAAACTGCCTACCGTGTTGTTTTATTTCCATATGCAAAACTTAAAAGACATCCCCGTATTCTCCGATTTTATCTTTATTGCGTGTATATCGACGAAATGCCGAACTAATTTGCCACACATACAATATATGCAATTGTTTTCCTTTCAGAAATTTAAGAGAAGAACGTCTAGCACGATGCTCAATAAATATAAAGAATTGCAAGATAGGGCTAAGAAGACGCAGAACTTGATTCAGAAACTACCAAGATCGGCCTCCCAACAAGAAATGATTCAGTTTACAACAATAGAAGCAGTTTTTGAAATGGCAGGTAAAATAATGCAACTAATATTGTAATTGCCAGTTACCGCTACCCGTTTCCAATATCTTTTTGATTGGTCAAGTTGCAGTAGCTAAACTAATGTTTTCAAGTATGGGCCTGATCGTTGCTATTTTTCCAGAGATTACATTGAGGTTGAACAAGCAAGAATCTGTAGCTTCAGATGTTTCTGAGCTAGCAACTTTCAAACTAAATTCACTGATATGTAGTTTGACTATGAAGACCTTTGAGACGTCGGTATCTCTGCAAGTGGGTAACATAATAATGCAACAACCCAGAGCTGAAGACAGGGTAGTTAGAATGATTGATTCGCCCATTCCAGCAGCAAAGGATGAATATTTGTTTAAAGTAGAGTTTACTCAGGTAAAACTATGATTTTTGAGTAAGTCGGTTTAATACGAAGGTATTTCTCTTATGTCAAAAACGGATTATCCAAATTTGGTGGATATGGGTCCGGTACTTTCACAGATATTCCACCATTTTCATACTACAACGCAGCTACTCGTATTACTAGCCGATCGAGAAATTTGGGAGGATATCGGCGTACTGCTTCCGGAGGTGCTCAAGGGGAAGCGGTCTAGGTAACTGGCAACCATGTCAAGTACACCGACGGCGACGATTGGACAAGTAATCATTTGATGTTAGAAATAATTCGAATTGATATACGTTTCTTCTGTGTTACCAAACTAAATCGTGTCATATTCCGCGTAGGGTCCTAAAAGATAAATAACTTTGGGATGACATAATACAGGTTTTGAGAATAATTTCTGCTTTCATAAAGTTATAAACCACATTTTTCGCGAGTGCTTTCTGCTTTATGGAAACAAAATTTATTCTCAAAACCTGTATGTCACCCCATTGGGGCCCTACGCGGAATATTACACTATTCAGTTTAGTAACAAAACTGCATGATTGCAATTCAACATCAAATTGCGTATCGTAATCGTCGGTGTATTTGACAGGTTGTCAGTAATCTAGACAGACTTTCCTTAACAGCACACTTTCAACAATGTTGCCTCTATATACTCTATACTCAGAGATTATAATAACAGGTGTCAGAAGATTTATTTCATATAAAAAGATACTCTTCCAATGAAACTTAGAAAAGCAGTTTTACGTCCGGTAACCGTAAATCCGAGGAGTAAGCCGCACCCAGAAATCTGTACAATACCGGGGAATCTTTCCCCGTAATTCCTATCAATGCCCAATAATTCCCCTTGTTTTAGGTAATTCCCGCATAATTCCCTCTAATGCGCCATAATTCCCTCGTAATTTCCGCAAATTCACCAAAATTCCTGTCAGGAATTACTGAGAATTAAGGGAATAAAATCTTTTGTCAGCTGCTTGTATCATAAAAACTGTTTTATATGATTAGTTCAATCACTATAATTCAGCTTTTTAGATTCTAATATACATACATGAATTGAAACCTAGTTTAACTATAAATGTTTCTAATGATAAAAAAATACGACACTGTGCTAAATTAAAGTATACATGTTTTATCATTATTATAAATTAAATAAATACTTCCCTTATAAGTATATGGTTCCACTATTATAGAGAGCAGATCATATGGCCAGTGTATGTCTATTAAATGATGACTAAAATCGTCTTTATGAGTATTCAGGGCCATTCATTAGATATATACTAATATTTCAAGGTTTGATTCTTCCAGTCATTTCATTGAAACTAACTTTTTTATAGGACCTTCTAGAAGGAAAAGTTTTATATTGAAGTTATACAGTCCAATATGAAGTAGTTCATGTAATACGTTTTTTTGTATACCGAGTGTCTAGGAACAGTGCTATCGAATAAAGTTGTAAAGGATGGGCTATCTTGTGGTTTCTTCTTGAATCATAGGTTATGTCGACACTGGCTGTTCGCTCTTGCTCGCCATATTAAAAAAAAGTCAGTATCATACCTCCGTGCCATAAAATGAATCGTTTTACGCTTGTTACAACGTTAGAAAATATTGAAGGTTTATTTCCAAAGTCTGTGCAGTGTAGCTCAGTGTACATTTTGAAATGAAATTTCAGCCGAAAGCAGGCACCCACTGCGCCTGCTGCACGCAAATTTGTGCAAAAAGTTCGTGAGAAGGGCATGCTCGTCGACAATACTCTCGGTCCACGTACTCCTACGGTGTGCACAGTCGACAATGTGAATGCTGTAGCCGAAAGTGTGCGACTTCCCAGAACATCAACTCGCCATCGTTCGCAACAACTCGACATTAGTCGCACCAACCTGAGGAGAATTTTACACAAAGACCTTGGATTATTCGCTTACAAGGTCCAATTAACCCAACAATTGACATTCCAAGACCATTTGTAGAGTGGTGGCATCGTTGGGCCATTTTTCTTCGAGAATGAGGTTGGCAACGCCGCGACAAGTCAATGGAGAGCGCTACCGAGGCCTGCTTACCGACTTTTTATGGCCAGAAATTGGTAACGTGGTCAGAGACGACCTTTCGTTTCGACAAGATGGAGCCACATGCCACACATCCAATCAAACGATCGATCTTTGGTAATCGTGTAATTAGCCGTTGGACTTTGTGGGGCACGGTAAAAGATCAATGTTATGTGGACAACCCACAAACGATTCAGACCCTTAAGTTGAATATACTCAAGTGTTCGATGAGCTGTGGCACGCTGCTTTCTTAAGCAAACTTCCATCCTATGGCCTCCCAGAAAAGCTTTGCAGATGAGTGGCTGACTTTATCTCTGGCCGCCAGATATCCGTCGTAATTGACGGGTTCTCCTCTTCATCCCACAACATCAACGCGGGTCTTCCCAGGGATCGGTTTTGGCTCCGACACTGTTCCTCTTGCATCTCAACGATCTCCTTTCCTGCACGATCAACCCAATCCACAGCTTCGCTGATGACAGCACTCTGCATGCAGAAATTCAGAGTGACAAGCCGGTCACTGCCGCTGAGCTGGAAGAAAGAAGACTATCGACGACTTCCTCTCTGATAAGAGACCTGGAGGTTATCACTGCTTGGAGACGCAACAATCTTGTACTGTTTAATGCTTCCAAAACACAGTACTGTACTTTGACGAACAAAAAGCTTCCTATCGCTGATCCGATCCCCCCCCCCCTTCCGCCGCGCGATGTACCTGCCAGAGAGGCAGCAGCGGTGGCCGCAATAGTAGACTCCTCGGTCTCCTGATTAGTCGCCATGCGCTGTGCGGGTTCGAATCCCGTCCCACGAGAAATTTTTCTCTTGGCTATGGATGTTGTGATTGTCCGTAGCTGGTAGACGGTCTCTGACTGTCGAACGCGGAGGTACCAGCCGGCGGAGCCAAAATGTTGCGTGCACACGTCTTTCCTCGCCAGAGTCCATATGGCGTTCCCCCTTTCCCCTGTATCCCCTTATAGCCCCACGGTACCCAATGGGTTTTTAGGCCTTAGGCTTTCGTGGTAGTTGGAGTATAAAAAAAATCTGGCACGAACACATCTCGCCAATAGCGGCAGCTGCTGGGAAAAAGCTAGGCTATTTGTTTAGGGCTAAGAAGTGGTTTTTTCCGCATGACCTTCTCACTGTATACAAGGCACAGATAAGGCCTAGCCTCAATTATTGCTCAAACATTTGGGGTGATGGCGCCCCGACTACATTATTTATGCTCGATGCTGTCCAGAGGAGGGCGGTCCGACTGATCGATGACTCTTCTCTAACAGACAGTCTCGGGACCGGCGGCCGTCAGCGATCTAGGTCTTTTCTACCGCTACACCAACGGGTTTTGCTCCTCAGAGCTCTCTTTCGTGATTCCGCCGCGCGATGTACCTGCCTGACAGACCCGCCTGACTTTGGCGTCCCATCCTAACCACGTCGAACTTCGTACATCCTGAACCGGCCGATACGACCGCTCCTTTGTCCCGAGGGTGTCGAGATTGTGGAACAATCTACAAGAGGAGTTCTACTAAGCTTAGGCAGTTCAAAAATCATATTAACAAAATGTCATTGGGATCATCATAGCAGCCGCGCTGTCCTGGCATTTTGGCTGCTTCGGTATAAAAAAAATTCAGCTAGTCATTCGTCAGATAGGGCCCGACACTGTCAACAACGTCTTGAAAAATTGGATCGACAGGATTCGCTACTGCGAATGTAGCAGAAGGAGCCATATAGATGAAATCGTGTTCCATAAATAACGGGAATGTTTGTTCTTTCCAATAAAGCCAAATAATTGAAAAACAAAGTTTTTATTAATTTTAATACATTATAAAAAAATTCTATTTGGCCCGCCCTTTATTTTTTTATAGATCAAACTTATATATTTTCAGGGAAAGTGATAGTTCCTTTTTTTCTGATTCAAAATATGTATGGCTTATCATACTTATTTCCTTAGTTTGGCCAACAACCTAAAACTTGTTTGTCATTTCCTGTATAACCGAGTTCGAACCAGTTTGCATCTAGCCACCTACGCAATCTGGTATAGGGCCGGAATACATATTTTGATTAAGTAAAACATAAACTTCACGTGTTAAATGAGCTTAACAAATAATATATATCTGGAATCAGAAAAAAGGGACTATCATTCTCACTGAAAATATACAGGGTATTCTATACAAAAAATTCATTAGATATCACTTTTCTGAGACACGCACAAGGCGGCGCGACTAGAAACTTGTTGTAACGGTGTTGCCAAATTTACTAGGTGTACTTTCGCAGACATAAATAACATGTGTCCTTAAGAAGGAACTAGTATTAAGCAACAGGCATTTGTCTCATTCACATCATACAGCTCATATTAAGCAGTTTCAGCTTCGGAGATTTGGAAAATGCTTTCATTTGTTCGCGTAATTTCCCACAATTCCCAATCATTCACAGTGATGCTCTGTAATTCCCAATGATTCCCCTTAATTCTTCGCAATTATTGTTAATTTCCCGTAATTCCTTATGCGTACAACTAATTCCCCAGCGAATGTCTGTGAATCTAACAACAACGAAGACGATCAGATGTTTATCAATTCTCCATTTCAAATTTTGTTTAACATCGGCCCTTCAGTTTCCGATATAATCGTTTCCAAACTTTTAGATAGCCATGTATATTACCAAGCGGGTTTATTCAGGTTTAAACAAAACTTTATTGTAGGTGGATCCTGCATCTCCAGGGCTGCACTCGGTTCACAAGTCCGTTGAATCTTGTTTATCTTTGAATCTTGGACAGTTGTATTTGACATTGCATCAAGAAGCAGTATTGTCGCTCCTGGAATTCAGCACTATAATCCAAGAAGAAATGGCGAGATTAAGGGAACAAAATAGGAGAGATCGATATGCTACAACTAAAAAAACAATGTCGGTAATTAGTGAACGCTTTGAGAATGCACAAAAAGTAGTGGGAGCACATTCCAATCGTAAGTATTGGAAATAGTTCCATCTCATGCTTTTGATTGGAATTTCCTCAGTTATTTGACAATAATTCCATAAGCTGTTCCTCCATAAATCACTGAGCAGGCAGTGACAATTGAATAGAAGCAGCGATCGAGTATTCTTGTTGGTTGTGAATCGGAGTGAATAAAGTTTGAATAGCGGACAATTACACGTCTTCAGCCGTACTATACGTTCCGGATCGCCCAATTCCGAAATGCGCCAACAGCATCACTTTTCAAGTGTCAGAAATCAATGTTACGTCTTTTTTAGCTATAAAAAGATTGTAAAGGACCCGCTTACATTTTTCAAGCGTTCCTTACGTTGTTCATATCCAAGTGAAGTGAAATGCTGTAGCCGACCTAGTTTATTTTAGGAAAAACAAAGGTTACGTTTTTCCTCCGGGAAATAATTGTATTTAAGGATGCCGACGTCATTAATATATATTTTTGTTGTTTTATATCCTGTCTCATGACATTTTTCTCACATCTAACCCTGGGTCTAACCTTATGCCAAACAGTAGTTATATCAAGAGAAGACACTTGGACACGTGGAATGCCTTTATAATTCGGCAGTCGGCCTCGTTGACCTTGGGAGCTATCTGCTTTATAGTCGTCTGACTTTATAAATCGTCGTTCCTTCACCGAAACAATGATAAACCGTTTTTTTTTGCAAACGACCGAATTAACAACATTCTGTTCAGTGACGAGGTGCATTTTCACCTTTCAGGCGCAGTTAATAAGCAAAAATATCGCTATTGAGCACCAAAGAATCCAAGGCAAAAACACGAAAGGCCCCTACATAGCCCATAAGTAACTGTGTGGTGTGCAATATCGGCTTCAGGAATTATCAGACCCCTCTTTTTTGAGAAACAACGTTGCATAGCCCAAACTGTAACTAGCGATGGAAAATTTTTAATCCGAAACGGAAATGAATATTTCTTTTATTTAAAACGTAGAAACGGTATAATCTACACTCTGTGGAGAAAAATACCAAATTCCTTGTTGCAAAAATGAGTTTTTGTGAACGGGTTCATTACTTTGTCTTTTCGTAAAGTTGTATGGATCCATGCTACTAAACTTTTGTTTCTTTTCTGAATCTCAGGTAAAAAGAAGAGTGCACACGTCGAAACAATAAAATTCAAACTGATCGTTCATTTGAATGAGTTGACTTTACAGTTTGAGACTGATAAGAGTAACATCTCTTCTTGTTCTGTGCAAGGCATCAACACAACTATAATCTTGAAAGAGAGTTACACGGAAGTTGAAGCAAAGTTGATGGATGTTGTCATTATAGATCTGGATCCTAATACTCTCCATCCGTTGGTAAGAATTCAAACATTTTGTTAATAAAATGTGTTAAATACGATGCATCCTCAGTTTTATAGCAATAATCTAATTAAGAAACAGGATGGTTTTTAGTGATGCACCACTGTGTATTGTGTCAGAAATGTTTTGGTGAAATCGGATAAATTATTGTTGCCAATATAATGAAGAATTATCCTGCAACTGCAAATAGGTCATTTATAGTATTCGAGATCTTCAGCATTTAACTTTTTGTTTAAAAGCTGGCTTGCATTCAGTTAATACCGAATTTCTACAAATAACTACCTTTTTGGTCCAGGTTTGTTTTACTAGTCTCAGAAATAAGCATTCACTCCAACCAGTGCTATTCATGTCAAAGTCGACACTATGATGAAAACCCGTTCTGACGTTTAGCTTCGATACCCAAGTGGTCACTTGAGTAGCTCGTACTACAGGTTGGCTCATTGATTATATTGATGATACTGAACTATTCGAAAAAGTTGGTTAATTATTGGCAATTTTTATGTGGCATCATTGTTATTCGCACTCTGATGTTATTTATAAATTGTACTTTAATGGGGAGGTTCAGTTTTCGCAAATGTCAAAAATTAGCGTTTTATGGCTTTAAGACCAAAAAAGACAAGGATTGATGGTGATTAAATTTATTAATAACATGAACTGAATCCGAATTCATGGTCCAAGTCTCTCAAATGGCTCTAGTTTCCGAGACATACTAACCTAAAAGTGCAAAAATAGCGAGTTTTGCCTATATTTAGGTAGTAAGGCGAATTCATTTTTCAAAAATCATAGACATCATCTCAAAGCACAAGCCTTGCCCTTTCAAATGCTGTTGAGTTAGCTTAAATATCTTTTCTTTTTTGGCTGAGATATGGTACTTTGAAATATTATATTTTCTGAATTTCACTATATTTGATAGTCTACTCAATATGATTACGTGTTCATCAAAGTTGTGGTTTGGATTATAATGCACCAAAAATAATATTTTGTATGCACACTTGTTTTAAATGAAAAATTACATTCTTCTGGTAAAATCTGAATCGATCTAGCTTACAATATCCAAAACTTACCCAAACTTTAAACCCCTAACGCACCCTATCCTATCTAGACCGAAATAAAAAGATATTTAAGCATTTGTAAGGGCAATGCTTGAACTTTGTTTTTTTGAAAAGAATATATTCCGATATGCAACAGAACCTCAAATATACACAAACACACTATTTTTGCACTTTTAGTTTAGGATGTCTGTAAAACTAGAGCCAATTGAGAGATTTGGACCATGAATTCCGATCCAGCGCATCAAAAACCTGTCTCTGGTTTCTAGGTAAGAGGATCGGCTCATTTTTGTAGGCCTCTTATCCTTCAACAGGACTTCTGCCGGTTTTTGTCTCCAAGCTATATAATGACATTTTATGATAATTGCGAAAACTGACACACCTCAGTTATAACTGCAATTAAAAAAATAACAGTGAGGTGCGAATAACAGTATCATTTGAAAATAGTCAATAACCATCCAACTTTTTCTCATAATTGACACATTGATCGCACTTGAGTCTCTTACACTACAGGGTAGGTAGGTTTTCTTAAAAAATCAGACCTGGTCCAAACAGGTTGTTTTTTGTAGAAGTGACACTGGGTCATGCAAGTCGGTTTTTCAAGAAAAACATAAAATCTGAAAATATCGCCATTACTAGTTTGTTCAATGGCGAGTAGAGAGTATCTACTATTGTGGCAGAATCTGCAGCATCTAGCGGCCACAGTGGTGACCCGGCTGGCAATGCGAAGTGGCATTCAGTTCCAACAGAAAGCTTGCTGATTGTAATGGTCGATGACACTTTGTGCTCTCGTATTTCGACAGACTGGATAGAGTAGAGTTGCTCAGCTTTCGTTCGTTGTCTACCGAGAACAAGCCTACACCATGCTGACGAGTTGCAATGTAGCACGAAGCAGCTCTTCATGGTTGGCCGTCTGTGGTCGGACAATAAAGCTATATTACTAGATTATAGTAGGTTATTTTGGACATCCTGTACATATGCTATGAGGTGTGTACAAAAACATTGGTACACCATCTTAAATACGCGCTTTCGTCGAAAGACATTATTATCATATCACTTTCAATTTTCTTTTTCTTTTAGATATTGTCAGGTTCTGATGACATAGCCTTGACATTACAGCTGGTTATGTACAACCTGACTAATGAACAGGATAAACCAGATATGGACGTTGATGTAAAAGTTGGCGGATCCAGAATAGTTTTCTTGAATAAGTTCATTACCAGCTTACTCGTAAGTTGACGCATTTATTTTATATTTTAACAAATAGTCATTGTAAAACCGCTTTCTGTAACTTATATAATGAGTTATTTATAAACCTGCATTTATCTTTGTCATAGATTTATAAGGTGCATCTTTAATTCAGACACGCTAACAGTTTTTGCGTTGCGATTAATTTAGGTCGATTTTTACAGGGCTTCCTGAATCAATTCCAAGATGCTCAGAAAGCCATTATTGAGGCATCTCAGGCTGCTGCTGAAACCGCTAAAGAAAATATGAAAGACGTTTACGATAAAGCGACAAAAATTTCACTTTCTGTCCAAGTTAAAGCTCCTGACATCATAGTGCCAATGAATTCAAAGAGTTACGATGCTATGTCTTTAGATTTGGGAACCATCAAATTACTCAATCATTTCATTACGCTGGAAGCCAAAAATGATGAGAACTACCATGCCATAGTAGATAACTTGAAGGTAAGAGATATTATAGCAGTTATGAATTGTATCATCTAAAACCTATAATTTTGATAATAGTAGTTAACTATTAAAGGATTTTTCCAATCGTAGGGCAAAAATTGAAGTGATGATTTTTTGGATTGTTTGTTAAATACTGCTTCGTTGCAGATATACAGGGCGATAAAAATAATTTAAGTACGTGATGGTTTTCCAATGATCACACATGAGTATTTTCCCCGTTACGCGTGAAAGTTGATTCGTCCATGACTAATGATGACTGCAATAACCAGTCACACATAAGCACTCTTGTAGAAAAATCCTCAGCCTGGAGGGCTTGTACAAAAAGGTACAATACAGAAGCGGATTAGGATGTTATAGATTTGATTGATTTGCGGAGCCTGATATCTCGGTTATCTTGAAACTTTGGTGAATATGCTACATGTAAAGAAAAGTCCCATTTTTACTGACACCCTGTATAGCGGTGAAAACATTATATATATAACTCAAATATCTTTCTTCAACGAAAACGTTTTTAAAAAGATTTATTTTTGAGAAAAACCAAATACAATGATGTTAATTGAATGAGTTCTGAATCGAGACTGACTGCAAAGTTCATTATACAAACCAAAGTAAAGAACAAATGAAATACAATACTGTAACTGATAAGAAAGGAACGTGGAGGCAAAAGTCCTTGTTTAGCATATTCTTCTCTGTAGACTGGTACATAACTCCTCCACCCCTAGAATGAAGCTTCCCCTGGAAGGTGATTTCTTTCTTCTTATATCTTGAACTGGAATCTTCTCTTCTAGTGCGTTTTGTGGGACTTGGACCTTCTTCTTTCATCTCGGCTAATTCAATGTCGATTTCTAACTTGGATGCTTTCTTGTTTCTCCATCTTCTATATAAAATTATGCAGCAGATGCTTGAAAATACGAGATATAGTAATATGGTCCAAATACTGGGTTTTCCAAAATTTTCTATGGAATTTTCTTCTAAAATTGGTAACATTCGATTAACTTGTAATTCTGGTAAATTTAACGTTTTCAGAGTAATTTCGAGGGGCTTTCCATAGGTTTTGTCTTGAAAGATAAGTTCATTGTCTTGGAATGATATTTGGCATTCACTGGCTTTGACTAAGAAAATGCCAAGTAATGACTTTGTATCGATTTGCTCATTGCATTTAATTTTCAATTTTTCTTCGGTGAGAAATACAGCTAAATACTGGTTAATTTCGGGAATAAATTCGATGTGATTTTCTTCAATCTGAAGCTTCGTGTATCTACATGGCTCTGTATGATATTCTGTAATTATTGACTTCTCGCATTGGGCTTTGTGATTGGCTAATATACGATTAGGGCATTGATAGATTCTACCTTGGATACAAATCTCGTGCAGGGGTTTGATCTCATTTCGATCAGATTTTAGCAAATACTTATAATTTGGGATAATAGTGACGAATTCTGATTTGTGCATCAGAGTCGGTATAGGTAACATATAATAAAGATCGAAATGTTCAGGATAATCTATAGGAATAGATAGAAAATAACTTATTTGATTCTCATCGATTTTACAACTGATAGAAATAATAGATTCATAATCTAGCATATTTTCATACTTTACTTCAAATGGTAATTCATTTTTATAAAATGTGGATATCTTACGGAGTTCTTGAAATAATTATCTAGTCCTTATTATACTGGGATGCATGGTTTTCAATTTGCAAAAAATTATCGAATTTTCGATATCTTGTAAAATATTCAATATGGCATTATAAAGGATAATTAATTGATTGATAATGTCCTTCGCTGAAAGAATATCCTGGTTTGTTGTCTGGTTCAATAAAATATGTTTCAATTGTAAAATGTTATTTCTTAATGTCACCTCATTGTGCTGTATATCTTGAATAGTCCCGTTAAATTTTGCGACAAGTTCATTGTTTAATGAATATTGCATTCTCAACTGATTTTGAATATGATGCTGATTTTCTTGTAAATGAGATAAAATTTTATCAATACGTTCTCCATCGTCGGAGTCTAAATTTCCTGTTATTGTTTTTACTACATAGCCTATGCCATTGAAAAGTCCTCTCTTATTGCGAGTCTTTTGAGAATGAGATTTAATGTATTCGATTTTCTCTTGAATCAAGCTCCTTATATAAGATACTATCTTACTATAATTTTCTAGCTCGTTATTAATCTTAGAATGGTTTCTGTAACTATAGTTAAGATTACTGTATTGAATATTCAAATCTTCATATTCCTTATATAAAGGTGATAGATCATAATAGTGCACAAAAGTATGTTTTGTCTTTTGTAGCTTAGCTGTGCCTAAATTTACTGGCAAAATTGTTCGTTATGTTTCTTATTTCTGCTCCGCATCCGAAATAGATGAGGTGTCTGAAATATTAGTAAATTTAAATTGGTAAGTTTTCTTCCTGGGCCTTTTAATATTGGATAAATGGATATTTTTGGAAGTATTGGCATGTGTGGGATCTATCTCCGCTCTTTTTAATTTCTTATCTATACTAATTAATTTTTCTTGCTTATACTTATTTTTAGTTTTCTGTTGCTTCTGCTTATTCTTAACATATACCTTGTTAGGAATATCAGGCAAAACTTCACGTTTCTCATTTGCTTTATTTATAACTTTTTCTTTATTCTGTAATATCTTTTCATTTAAATTCCTATATACTAATTTCATTTTTTCCTTATGATTCTGTAAATAATTATTTAATAATTGCTTATCTATGTCTATATTAAAAGGTGATTCTGTTTCATTAACATTTACTTCTATTCTTGATAAAAAGTCCGCATTTGTGTTTGATTTGCCTTTCCTGTAAACAATGTCAAAATCATGTTCTTCTAATCTGAAGCGCCATCTTAATAATTTTGAACTAGCATCTCTAACTGAAAATAACCATTGGAGGCTTTTGTGATCTGTTACAATAGTAAACTTACGTCCGAAAATATAAGGTCTGAAATATTTTACTGCATATACGATACTTAAAGTTCTTTTTCTGTCGTGCTATACTTTGTTTCTGAATCACTTAATGTTCGTGAGGCGTACGCTATTGGTAAATCTGAGCCTAATTTACCTTGGGATAATATTGCGCCGATTGCATAATTACTCGCATCTGTAGTTATCAAGAATGGTTTGGAAAAATCCGGATATTGGAGTATGGGATCGTTTGTCAATAAAGTCTTGCATAATTCGAAACATTTAATATAATCTGCGTCATTGGGATTAATAATTGCATCTTTTTTCAATCTGATTGTCAATGGCTTAGTGATTTTCGCAAAATCTTTTATAAACTTACGGTAATAACCTAAAAGTCCAAGGAAGCCTTTAATTTGCTTCTTAGTTTTTGGTATTTTAAATTCTGTGATTGCCTTTATCTTATCGGGGTTTGGTTTCACACCATCCGCCGTTACAACATGACCTAAATACGATACTTCTTTTCTAAGAAATTCCGATTTGTCTAACTGTATTTTAAAATTTGACTGACGTAACCTTTCAAAAACTTCTCTAAGTCGAGAAATATGTTCCTGTAAACTAGTACTGAATATTATAATGTCATCTAAATATACTAAGCATTTTTCATTTTGAATACCTCTCAGTATGTTATCCATTACTCGCTGGAAAGTCGCTGTCGCGTTTTTTAGTCCAAATGGCATTCTTGTAAACTCATAGTGTCCATTTTCTGTATTGAATGCAGTTTTTTGAATATCATCTTCTGCCATTTCTATTTGGTGAAAACCTGAAGCTAAGTCTAATGTTGAAAAATATTGGCATCGCCCTAATTTATCTAACAAATCTGTTATGTTTGGAAGAGGATAACGATCTCCCAATGTTTTTTCATTCAATTTTCTATAATCAATGACTATTCTCCATTTTTGCTTTCCTGATGCGTCTAATTTTTTTGGAACAATCCATATAGGTGAGCACCACGCTGAATGGCTCTCTCTAATAATTTTTTGATCAAGCATTGATTGTATTTGTCTTTGTACCTCTTTTCGGTGGATTTCAGGATATCTGTATGATTTAGTGTAAATGGGTATTTCATCGCTTGTACGTATATGATGCTTAATTTTGCTCGTAAAAGTTAAGTAATTACCATCAATGTGAAATATGTCTGAATACTCTCTTACTAACTTGGTGATTGCGTCTTTTTCTTCAGAGTTCATATGCTCTGTCCTAATTTTGGAAATATCAAATTTATATTTTTGAAAGTTCAAAGAAATAATATTCGGTGGATCTGAATTTTCTGAAAATTCGTAATTTTCAAAATTTTCTACATCTATTGGTCGAGATATGTATGTCAAGAGAAATCTGTTCTCCAGATAAATTTAATACTGTGCAAATTGCTTCGTGATTTTTCACTGTAGTAAGACATTCAGGGATTTCTAAACATGATAATTTTCTGTATGGAATAATAGCATTACCATTTTTTAAATTTTTTATGTTAACTTTAATTATCTGTTCTGTTCTAGGTGGAATAGTGATAACATTAGAAGAATTTTTTGTAATCTCGTGATATTGCATGGGTATCCTTGTTGTGGGTGTGACTAAAAGATCATTGCTCAAATCAATGTTGGCATTCAATATCTCTTTCAGGTTATCGAGTCCTAAAAGGCATTGGAAATGTTCGTGAAACTTGAATAAATGAAATTTCATGAGAATATTTGGATTCTTAAAAATCTTTGGACAAGGTATTGTCATACTATATTGTTCGATAGATGAACCATGTGCTGAAGTGATTTGAAATGGGTCTTTTTGAATATGTCTTGAAAATAATTTTTTCGCAATTTCAGGGTGTATGAAAGATTTTGTACTTCCAGTGTCAATCAATACTTTGAGATTATACTCCGGAAATACAATGTATGGTAGTTTGCTACATTTGTCTGTTAAACTCATAATTTCAATTGACTTTGGTGGTCCGTTGAGACTTGTCTTTGTATCTGTACCGAGGCTTCTTGCCATAAAAAATCGTCAGAATTATTCTGAGAATAAGCGCATTCATAATTGTCATCATTTGGAAATTCTACAACAGGTTGGTCTTGTACACATAAGTTAAACATAGCCTGTTCTGCGTTTACACCAGTTCTGTTAAAATTTCTACCTTGAAAATTTGGTTGCTGATACGTCTGTCTAGTGGATGTACTCATCGGAGTAGGCCTTGGCAGATTATTGATCTGATTAGGTCTAAAAACGTTATTATTGTGAAAATTCGTTCTATTCTGATTAGGATTATTTGGTCGTACATTATTAGGACTAAATTGTCTTTGTAATACTGGACGCTGTACCGCTTGGTATTGATTCCTATAATTACCAAAGTTGTTGTTCATATGGCGAACTAATTGCATATTATTTCGATTAACATTTTTATGTTTATCTACCTTATGATCAAGCTGAAAGTCGTTAGTTAATATATTCAGAGCTTCATTCAAGTCTGTAGGATTTTTCATCCTCATGAGCGATCCTAGAGGTTCCTTTAAACCTTTTAGAAATACTCTTAATGCTACGCTTTTGCAAAAATTACATATTATCTGAGCTTCTTCGCTCCACAATGTGTAGTTAAAAATGATATTTGTAAATTCAATAAACTCTGAACTTTGTTATAAAATTCAAAGGGGGTTTCATTGTTCTGTTTCAATTCACACATTTCTATATTTAGAGTTAATACGTCACGCTTGTCTTGATATGTATTTAAAAGTGCAGTTGTCAAGTCTGTCCAATTTTTTATAATATTGCTACTAATATTTAAAGCTGCATTACCTTTGATTTTCGCTAAAATACTACTCATAAGATATTCATTCTGGAAGTCATTTTCATCCTCTAATCTATAAAATTTATTCACTAACTTTTCGCAAATATCTATGAATCTTGGTAATAATTCTTGTTGACCATAAAATTCGGGTATCATGTTAAGATACTCTGGGCGTAATGACATGCTTGATTGATTTACTTGACTGTTGTTCATATTGACTGTACTATTCAGTATACTAGGTCTTAATTGCAACTTCCTTAAACTATGTTGGATATGTTCCGTATCCGACTGTGAGTCCGAATCAGTGTCACTCAATGTATCATCAAACAGCTTTTGATTGTTTTCACCCCTGTAAGACATTCGTACTTACAGTAGTAATCCAATCCGTCCCATGTGTCCGTATGCCTGGGCCACTGCTGGGTTGCCTGTCCTGGAACAGATGTTCCTTCTGTCCTCTGGGCTGCTGTCTTCTTGGTTTCTCGATTTGGGTAGGGTTCTACCCCAAATCTGGTTCCGGTGATCACGGTAAGATATCGATATTCCGTCGGATCGTTCGCGACCAATCGCGGTTGGTTTCGTTATAGCCAGTAAACCGTTGAAACGAACCGAAAATGTCCTTTTTTCGTCTGGCTATCCTACTGCTTGCTGCGCCACTCAAATATCTTTCTTCAACGAAAACGTTTTTAAAAAGATTTATTTTTGAGAAAAACCAAATACAATGATGTTAATTGAATGAGTTCTGAATCGAGACTGACTGCAAAGTTCATTATACAAACCAAAGTAAAGAACAAATGAAATACAATACTGTAACTGATAAGAAAGGAACGTGGAGGCAAAAGTCCTTGTTCAGCATATTCTTCTCTGTAGACTGGTACATAACTTATATATATATATATGAATTCAATTTTTGATTTTATTGTTGAAATTCAAATTGTCATTGTCCTGTAAAACCAAAAATAAACGAACTAATATGGATTTTGCTACCGCGTGGTAAGTAGCACCTGGCGATTGTTGCTATTTATGTTTCCTATTATGCTAAAGTTGCTAATATTAGTGGTAAAATACTGTTTAAACTGTTGAACCGCCATCTATTCAATGTTATCATTAACTAGTAACTAATGGAAATGCTATTCTACTTTTAGATTAGTCTCACAGACTTGAAAATTACAAGAATAAAAATTGGTCCGAAACATGATGTTGCGAATGAGTGTAACCTTCTGGAACCTGTTACTTTCAACCTCAACGTCAAGAGGAATTTATCATTATCCTGGTATAAGGATATACCTGACCTGGACATTTCTGGTGACATTAAGATGATTAGGGTAAGCTTGAAAAATGATGTTTATTAAAGAGACTTCTGACAGTATTATTTGCATTTTCTGTTGGACATTATTGTATAAGCAGAAATAGTCTGTTTGTTGTAGGATTACCAAGAATGTTTGCTTTTCGAACTGTATGTTCCAAAACATTAATCGTAAATCCATGTTTAGTGTTAAATAATATCTCACCGTCATAAGTCACATTTACTATGGTCTAAAACATGGGCAGTTTGAGTAGCTCTAATAAGGGTTTTTTATTTAACACTATATTTGAGCCACTTTTCATTTGCCGTCCGTGACTGAGAAGCCTGGTGCAAATAAACTGAAGTGCATCAACAGCAATTTTCCTCTTTCTCTTGCTCAGCTCAAATGTAAACTAATGTACTAATAAAAACATATTTAAGAACAGATTAGTGGTGTATCACTATAGCCCATCTACTTTTTTAGCAAAACTAAATGAAATACTAACTTATAAAACCTCACAGCTATGTTGACCAAACTATTTAATTTTTCGGGCCCTAATTGGCGTATGTTCTGATGTCTTCATAATGCTTATTGAACTATCCCCCAGAGATTTTCGATCTCTCTTTGCAAACCAAGTCATTAACTGTGTACTCGTGCGTTATCTTGCAATATGTAATACCCTCATTAAGGAACGGCAATATTATCTTTCAAATCACAGGTATTCTGCGCTTTTCATTCGTATTAAGGGTTAAGCTAATCTTGAAACTCCTATCTTTGTGAAAGTTCTCCAAATTATTAAAGTTCCACTTGCAAAGCTCCGCTTCAAAACATATCTTTTCGTACATCATGCCGGTAAAAATTAAATCCGTCTTGACCTCATCTGAACACTTTAAAGAAAAAACTCTAGATATATTGAAGAAGGCGAATCTCATGTCTTAACATAAACAGTTCGAAGAATTTAGAGAAAAAATAGGTATCGTGTGAACGCCAGAAGTGAATAACGGAAAAAACTCAATATTTATTGAAATGCTTGCCGGGAAACTTCAATGGTCTGTAAAGCCTTCACAAAAGCAGGAGTTCTAAGATTAGCTGAAGTTCCCGAACTAAATTGAATGCCGTTTCTTAACGAAGTTAATTGTAGACATTAGAATATATCCCACGAATACATGTCAGTACGCAGTCGATGGCTGCAGGGGGAAATTGAATTTATGGAAGGGTTCTTCTGTTCGCCAAAAACCAATCCTACGGAAAACCTCTGGCGGATGTCAGCTCGGTGAATATATCAAGACAACAATAGATACGCCTCCACAAATAACTTGAACACTGCTTTAGACGTTTGAACCAATAAAGAGCCTAAAATATTCTACACTAAATAGCGCTTTTCATGCGCCACAAAGTGCCATATAGGTCGATAGATACCCTAATCCATATTCGCTGAAAAATGTGCACACCGTCGGCAAATAATACATAATCGGCCAAGTTAGGCTTATAAAAACTAGACACGAGTGATTATTTCTGGTCTGGGATCACTTGGGGCAAATCTCTCTTTGTGGGACTGGGCCTTCCTGGGCCAACAAGTAGGTACCTATTTTATTTTTATTGTACTTTTATTTGCGCGGCGTTTTGTTAATACACTTGATTTTTTGTTGTTGCCATAACGTTTTTGCTCTTAACAATTGTAACGCTGATATGTTATTTTTATTTTTCATCACCTCCTTGTAAATTATACTACTCGTAACATACATTTAAGCTGAGCAAAGTAGTTACAATAAATTGCTGCTGGGTGCATAGGTATGCTCTCCAGTTTATAAGCCTAGAACATATCTGAGTTATCTAAACATTTATTATTTTTCAAGTTGAAACTCGGTCAGATTGATTACCAGTTATTGATGAGTATTTTGAATGGAAATTTGGCTGAGGGAAGGCCTGAGAAAGGAACTGATACAAAAGCATCTGAAATGATAGAGGATACACATGGACAAAAACTAGCTGCAACATCGAACGTATGCGCTCAGGTATAAAACAATAAATATTTTTCTTATTTGCTAATACAATGAAAATAGGTATTTTTAGAGTAGTCTGTTTGTTTTTTTACCGGAATATAATCAAATTTGGTCGTCGCGATGAGGCATGGCGTGAAATAGCACATCCGTTGAACCACACTCATACATCTTCAATTTCAGCTCTCTCGCAACTTATACTGTAAAATTATATTCTAATAGTTATCCTATATAGAAGGAGCCAGTCAAGGATTTGTTTGTCTTCTAATTCTCATAGTCTGTAGTCAGAATCAAAGTTCACTTGACATAAGTATTTTTTTTTACAGTTCTGTCATTGAATTCCTATGTGTTACATCTTAAAAGTGCGAGTGTTTTCAGATAATTGTGGTGTTTGAAAATTTTAAGAGATGGTATTTCTTACAAAATTGACAAAGAGCGTCACAAGCCAAAGGAAGGTAAATGTTTCCACCGATAAACATTTTTATTATGTCGATAAAATGCTGTCAGTGCCGGAGGAATTGGTAGACAGATGAGTCAGAAGAAGAACTAAAACTACGCAATTTTGGCGACAAACTATGCAATGTTGGCTTGGCTCTTTCTAATTTATTCGTTGAGCGATACAGACTAAATAAGTCCTGTAATTAATCTTCCTGAGAATTTTATAAAATACTTTTTCTAATAATAACTTAATTCCTTCTTCGTAATAAGTGCGAGTTCCAATTTGAACAGTCCTAACAGTGTAATATTATATTGTTGATATAACTGTATTTGCTAGGTTGAACACGTAGCTCAAGACTGGAAAGATAAAGAAAAGCCGACGGTGTTCATGAATTTCACCTTCAAGATGGACATCCTCGAAATAGATTTATATCAAGGCGACATGAAAACGGTAATTATTAATTCAGTCTAACCTAACTCTCTTGTCGATTACCTTTTAATGTTTCTAACGGAGTCATATTGTACCTTAACTAATAAGAATCGCCCAAACAATACCCGGTTTCGATGGATAGCTTACTCAACCTTGTCATTTAATCATACGAGTGTGTATCCGGCCTTGATTCATATTTTGAATTTTATAATTAAAGTAATGACGAGTATGACAAACCATATACGAGATATTTATTCAGCAATCAGTTTTAAAGCAAAAATTGAAACTCGTTTAATTAAATTGGTGGAATTTCTGCAAATATCAATTTTTTGAACCGGCTGCTTTTCTATTCTACTTTTAGATTCTATTCTAATGCAATATTTTAATGAAAATCAATTTGAAGATTGAGATGCAACCACCGTGCCCAATACTTCAAATAAAACTACATATAATGCGATTTTCAGAATGGTGTTGTTTTCTAACATTTTGTTGACTATTTTCTTTTTACAGGAATTTTAATTGTGTCTTCAATATTAAAAAAATGCTTCTATGATACGAATAATGTTTTTATTAAATTCTCTAGGCTAGGTCTTCGAAGTGGCCAACAATGATCGTTATGCATGCCCTTCATCTCTTAATTAATGATCTTTTCAGCTCATGAGAATACCTCCTTTGCGAGTTTTCCAGAGAGGCCCATCTGATTTTCGAAGAAAACTGAGTTAATAGACCATATGTTTAAGGTGATTTAGGCGATCACAGTCAAGCCAAGCATAGTGTGCTGGGCAAAATACAAATTGTGCATATTCAAGTACCCGCCTTTTCTACACTCTTCTCTTCTCTCCACAGAATTTAGTCGAAGACTCTTTATCTATTTTTATTAACCTTGTACAACAAAATTCTTAACTGTATCTGATGGTCAGATGGCCCCTGCCTGACCCCTCTTCGATTGCCAATTCCTTGTATTGCGTATTCACCAAGATCACCGGAACAGAATTCATTGGAGTTTTTTTTATTGGGATTGCCTAAAAGCCATTGTGTATCAAACAGAAATAGTTTCTATAATACAGTTGGGTAGTAAAATCTAGTCGGCCTCCAAGGAAATTTTACTCATAGGATACTCGCACAATCTAATAGATTCCTTTATTATCAAGAGATCTAGGGCATGCATAATGGCTAATGGTGGTCAACCTGAATACCTGCTCTACTGAATATAATAAAAAATTACTAGCATAAAGTCAATTCTGTCATTACTTCTTATTCGCGTCATAAAATCAAATTTTTTATTTTCCAGAAACTGAACTTAAATTAAAATTGCTATAAAAAAATACCATTGCAGGAATGGCTTTAAGTAACAAACTTTTTAAAGTATTTAGCACGGCGATCCTAGCCCATCCTTTGTTACTTCAGGGTCTGAAAGTTAGACGTATATTGCATTAGTAAAGTTCTCATGTGCATTGCTCTATAAGAACAAAGCAACACTAATTTCGATGAGACATTTAATTGTGAATATTTTGAAACCAACCCGGATCAAAAAATTGATATTTGTAGAAATAATATTAATATAAATAATAATTTACCTAGGCGATTGTCGATTTCTTGCTAAAAAATTGATTGCTGTATATCTCAAAAACCATCAGACTTTTTACTGAACAAGATTTTGACAAGCAATAGATCATTATATGACCTAATTCCAGTTGCAGGATTATCCTTCAATTTCCAGACACCCTGTACATATATTCGGTATCATAAAGAAGACGACTACCATTTTTACGACTGTTTACAGGTTTCATCTAAAAACTCGATATTAGACTCTATAACTTGTGTATAAAAGTTTAAGCTTTAAAGCTGGCACCACTGTGATAATACAGATTACAGAAGAAAGGGGTTGGCTTGCCAGCCTTAACGCCACTGCGACCCAAATGGATCTATTGTGACCCCCCATATACACTTTCTAAAGCACTGTGTGCAGCCTTGATCCTATAATCAGACTCCATAGCCTTGACACAGGGCCTTGCATGGAGCTTACCGCTGTTGGTCCTGTGGTTCTTACTATCTGAAACTGTAGCCTTGCCACGCCGTCACAGTGACACAGGAGATGTACTGGGGTTTCCTCTGCAGAAACGGCATGTGGCCTCTTCTGTCAGACCCATGAGCCTCATATGTCGGTTTAGTCGAAGAGACCCACTATGGCCCCTATGGCCTTCCTATTGAATCCGAGTAGGTCATCTGTAAATGCACACCTTCGTTCTTCGATGAAATCTTTTGCCTGCCTTTGCCCCAATTGGCTGTTCCAACATTCTAGGGACTTTTTCTTGCTGGAACTTCTTATGTTCTCATCACGCCACAGAAAGGCTCTAGACCTATAAGGCGATTGGCCACACAATGTCGGGCTTGCACATCCGCCTTTTCATTTCCTTTCTATGCTTCATGCCCTGGTACACAGAGCAATGTTACCTTGTTTCGGTTTCCCAGCTCTTTGAGATCCCTATACTAGTTTAAACGATATTTGCGATGAACTTAATGCCTTCATGGCTGTCTGGCTGTCTGAGCAGATGGCGATCAACTGATTTGCAGTCTCACTCCTTATTAGCTCTTTTGCGCAGACTTGGATGGCCGTTATTTCAGCCTGAAATATTACCTAGACTATTAGTCATCTCAGTTTTTGGCCTTGCCCCAGAAAGCCTAGCTCCAGCTCCGTATTTAGTTTTCGAGCCCTCTGTGTAACAGTAACTTTTGGCATGAAGGTCCTTTCTCCCACGCCTTCCTTTCTGGTACTATTGTTTGATAGTTTTTATCGAAACTGTACACTCTGACAGTTGTATTTGGGGGCGCTACCAACGTGGTAATATGAATCTGCCTTCGTTACTGTTTCAGTACAATAAAGTGATGCCATCCTTTTTCAGTTGTCGCCTACATCTGAGGGTCAAGAAAAAACACATCTCGGTAGATTCTCACTAGAAGGGCTCTCAGTCAAAGGTAAGATTCTGTCAGACGAGTCCTTAGTGACATCGGTGCTTCTTCTGAACTGCTACCTCGATGACATGCGGAAGGGCAAGGAAGCCAAACTGAATAGGATGATCCAAAGGTCGTTTGATCCATCGAAGGCATGTGTCGCAGACGATGCCAGTGTTATGAGTACAAGCAGTAATTTAAGCTACACCGGCCCTGTCAGGAGCATGTTCGACATCACGTATCAGCAGAAACGTAACGAAGCGGCCGGTGAGAAGGATAAACACGATGAAATGTTTGGTGAGTTCCAAGTTCTCAAATATGTATTTTGCATATGTTTAATAATGAATATACAAATAACCTAACAACTGCGTAGACACGCATTTAGTTGGAAATACGTAGGGCAGGGCATAAGTCTTGTGTGATTCAATATATTTTGAAAATATGCAAAAACCAATACTCAAACCAGCGATCTCATTCTTTCTTCTCTATAGCGTCTTAAAACAACTCCCAGGCTGCAATCAGTTCGTATTCGGATGTAAACGTGCGTTCTTTTAGCTGTTACTTTCTAAACGGAATAAACCAAAATCGCATGGAGCATATCGGAACTATAAGGTGGGTAATCCAACACCTGGATTCCAGATTCTTGAAAAAACTGTTGAGTTGACTAAAGCCGAAGCATCGGCAGCGACGACCCGGAACTTTTCAGGGCTGCAAATATTTATGGCAACCAATATTCTGTGTGGGTTGGATCAATCCTAATAGATTGGGTGCTATCTACTCTGGAGGGTCGGGTAACAACAGCTATGCTGAATGACGTAAGCTGCAGCGTGAGTGTAGCTAGAGGCTGCCCTCAGGGCGGAGTTCTGTCACCCCTACTGTGGTGTATCGTGGTGAACGAACTCCTCGTTAGACTCAGCAGTATGGGTGTCTACGCGCAAGCCTATGCTGATGACGTAAGCATAGTAGTTAGGGAGCGTTTTTGTAGAACAGTCTCGGAAATTATGCAGGACGCTCTGTACTTCGTGGAATCGTGGTGTAGGGAAGTCGATCTTTCTGTTAATGCTGAAAAGACCGAGCTGATCCTATTCACTAGGAGAAGAAGGCTTGACGGGCTGGTCATGCCGACCTTCTTTGGGACTAGATTAGTTTTGTCCCAGTCAGTGAAATATCTGGGAATTATCCTGGACTGCAAACTGAACTGGAGAGAGCATGTGGAATACAAGGTTAGCAAGGCTCGCAATTCGAAGTGGGCTTGTAGACGTGTTGTCGGGGTAAGGTGGGGGCTTAAACTCAAAGTGGTATACTGGCTCTACTCAAGGGGCATACTGCCATCTTAGTCGAATTACAAAGGGAGGACCCCGTCCTTCTCAGTAGGGGTGATCGTATTACCCCTAAATATCTCTTCAACCGCAAGTTTATTGTGGAGTATCCCACGAGGGAGGAGTGGGACGCCGGTAGCCGGGGACTCTCCGGAGTGAGCGGGCAGGTCTGATACACGGACGGCTCGGTCACCGAAGAGGGTTCAGGTGCTGGGGTCTCTGGGCCTAGAACTAGGCTATTTCTGCCTCTCGGTGGATACACCACCATTTTCCAAGCGGAAATCTTTGCGATTCTGGCTTGTGTATCTCACATTCTGGAGGAGGGTGCGCCTAGGAGAAGAATAACAATCTTATCCGACAGCCAGGCTGCAATGAAAGCACTAAGTGCCTGTAAGATTACTTCGAGTCTTGTATTGCAATGCAGGGAGGCTCTGGATTGCCTCGCAGCGAGGCATCCGGTATCGTTAATATGGGTACCGGGGCACGCTGGGATAAGGGGCAATGAGACGGCGGACACTCTGGCGAAGACAGGATCAGCCAGCAAGCTCGTTGGTCCTGAGCCAGCTCTAGGAGTGACCGCGCATAAAGCTAGGACGAAAATGGAGACGTGGGTTGCAAGACAACACTCTCAGAAATGGAGAAGTATCCAGATATCTCCGCCAGGCACGAGAACTCATTGAAGGGCCCAGTGCTAAGGATGGACGCTTCTGCCTATCTCTGGATAGAGCCAACCTAAGGTTGCTGGTGGGACAGTTGTCTGGCCATAACACGTTAAGGCGTCACCTGCACGTGGAGGATCCCTTGTGTGAACGCTGCGGAGTAGAGGAAGAGTCCTCGGCGCACGTTTTGTGTCGCTGTGAAGCTCTGAGCTACTATAGGCAGACTATACTGGGGTCCATTACTTTGGACCCTTAGGACGTCAAGGAGCTTGGACTCAAGGCGATTCTCAACTTCGCTGAAAGGGCGAGGCTTGTGATCTAAGGATTGTAGAGGTGCATAAGGGCCCGCTTAAGCGGCCTATGCACTGACTCCTTATGGTGGCCGGAATGCCTCTAATTTCAAGATTCATTCATTCATTCAATATTCTGTGTATCATTTATCTGTGACTGTTTTCTGTGAATCAAGCATGTTCACCAATAAATATGATTTTCTGTAAAGAGGCACTATCATTCTTTTTCCATCCGATTGCGGTTTTCTTACTTCAGTCAGTAAAGTATAGCATAGTTTCGTCACCTATTATGCTTAAATTTAAAGTACTATACTCTTTACATTCAAATCTTGTCAACACTTTTTTCTCCAAGTTACCATTGTCATCCTCCTCCATTCAAAAGTGAATATGTGAGGTGCCCAAAGAGTTTCCTAACACATAAACAGTCAGACACCATTCGCCCAATACTTCAAACAGAAAAATTGAGAATGTCTGCAAACTGTCCACATACATATATGTATATTGGATTCCTCTGCCTTTCATTATAGCTTCCCTTACACGTTCTACGTTTCGGTTTCGGAGCGATAATTTACTAACTAAATAGCCACACATTAAAATATTATCTCAGGATGGTTTGCCATTTTTTAGTTAGTAGATCACGGCGAAACTTACAGAAAATAATGACGCGGAAACCGACAGTTGCAAACGACTTCATAGTGAAACAAACAAAAATGTACTTGCGTTAACAGTTGAATGTTTATACATTGTACTTATTGTACTAACAAAGCGGGTATTTTATAAAAATGGAAACATAACTTAGCTGCGTTGTACTTGTTTAGGTGGCAATACTCACACTGTACTCTACATATGCTTTTACAAAAGTTCCAGATAATGAATTCGAGATTTATCAATGACCTCAAATATGACCTCAGAGGTCATTTGGAAGTCGATTTTGTAAATACATAATACTACTTTTCATAGTTTCATACATGAGGTCAGGCAGTCGTAAGTGGTCAACCTAGTAGGTTGAGCTGTAACGTCTCAAAGTACACGAATGCCATTGACACTTTTTTACAAACTTCCAAGAAGATCAAAAAAGGATTTATTAGTAACCTCACACTTTCAAGTACAAATTCTCAGTGATTTGTCCATTTATAAGTGACTGCGTATGTAGAGATGCACTCTGACGTAGAATCTCGGACCTATCATGAATCTGCCGGCCAAAGTGGTGGTCGTTATTTAAATTCAGAAACGTAACCCTTAAGTGACCTCTGAGCTCATTAGCTAGGTTATACAGGGTATTCGGAGGGTCGACATCAACATTTTAAAGGCTGATTGTATACCCCATCCGGAACACAATAAGCCACAAAATTATTTGTTATTTTTCTCTTTCATCTTGATGTATTGTCTTCCTGCACAAATAGTTTCCAGGTTATTAAAAGATGGTGTACACCTTATAAAACATAATTTTAGTTTTCTTGAGGGTCGATTTTGCAGTACCTCGTGGATTTCTGAACGAATTTATGGGAAATTTTGGCAACAGTGTGATTTAAAATCATTGAAAAAACTTCATTCTCTTCTACTCTGTCTTATAGTATGTTATGCAAAACGACTCCATATTTTTCTCTCAATATCATGGAATATTAGAGAAGCAGAATCTCACTATAATTACGATACACAATAGAACGTATTATATAAAGTAACAAAATTATTCATTTACTCAATCATAAAATATAATCCGCTATTTCTTATAAATTCTCCCACATTTGTTTCATATCCTTGCTGTAGTAGTTAGTTTACTAAAAGTGATTCGGTTCCACAATACCTTATAGCTTATGTGAACATTATTTGGGAATGGTTTGGGATGATTCAAATCAAAATATTGGAAAAACCTGAAATTCAATATACAGAAATGCAATTCACATTTTCAAGAACATTACAGTTTTTCAACACACTGGATTTTGTTGATGTTCACTCTAACAAAGAAAAGGTGCCAACTTTCTTACTGAAATGAACATTATTTTTGTCCCAAAGTTTTACTCAAAATATTCTGTGTCAAACCTCCTTTTGAAGGGCATTGTTGTTTTATTATTTAGAAGCCGCCTGAGCTGGGAATCTGTTGACAGTTATCAATAACATTTTAGCGGATGTAAGAATCTACAGCTTCACACTGATCCTGTCTGTGGAATATCTGATGAAGATAGCAGACTTTTTCAACATGAAATCCGCAGAAACTGATGACGCTGCTACTCAAACACAGGGCAGACAGAATACTTCATCTGTGACCACAGCAAAGTCCCTACAGTCCACGGGCAGTGCATCATCGTACAGCCAACAAGCTGACCAAAAGAATACCTATATGACGATAAATTTGAAATTGGAACAGCCTGATATCATTTTAGTCGAAGATATGGAGAGCATCAATACGAACTGCATGATACTCAACGTTAGTAACTTTTTGAATACGTTATATATATTTTATTTTCAACATTTTGTAGTAATTCCACTATTACATCCACGGTTAAGCCGTGATTTTAAAATTAAAGTAAAAAATTATTCTGATTCAGATATTTTGTATAATATTGTTCAAAACAGACCCCTCTTAACGAAGCTGCATGTTGCCAGGCCCAAAACTGCGTACACATTCCTCAAGCATTTTTTAAGAATATTTCAAAAATTGTTTTTTTTTCCATTTCGCTAAAGTGTTTTTAGGTTTTTTAGGACATTACGAGGTCTGTAAATTAAGTGATGAGACTGGAAACGTAGTGTTCGATCTAGCAATACTGGAGGCGCCGGGCTTGAAGGGGATACAGTGGAACATGTGATCCGCCTTCAGTACAAGTTTGAACTCGTCCGAGTCATTTAGTTGTCCTTAGCGATTTTTTTTTTGTGAAACAGTTCTTTCTATTGTGTTCTAAAAATGAGTGACATCAATTTCAAGCAACGGTGTGCTATCAGGTTTTGCTTCAGACTCGGCACAGTGCGACGGAAGCTCTTCCTACGGAGATAGTGTTTTGTCAAGAGCCCAGCTTTCTCGGTGGTTTAAGATATTTTCAGAAGGGAGATAGTCGATTGAAGATGAATCACGAAGCGGAAGGCCTTCATCTTCAAGAACCGGTAAAAATATCGACAGAATCCGGGATCTTGTACGTTCATATCGTCGGTTGACAATCAGAATGATCGGAAAAGAGTTAAATTTGACTCATACCACCGTTCATCATATCAAGAACAACTGGGTGTTGCATCACGATAATGCTCCTTGTCACACAGCAATGTCAATGAACGGGTTTTTGGCCAGTAAAAACATTTATGTGGTTCTTCAGCCTCCTTATTCGCCAGACTTGTTTCTCTTCCGGAAGTTGACAAATCACCTCAAGGGCACTCATTCAATTCAATACCCCCTAAAATGCTTTGGGAATTTGTTAATCAATGTTTGAATAGTGTCTATGAACTTTTGCAGCGATAAAATTTTTGTTTTTTCCATATTGTTTTTCAGCGTCGAAAATGGGATATTCCGCACTTTTTAAAATCGCTAATCTTAAAAACCATCAACATTAACGAAACATTCATAAGGACCTTTTTTGATCAGAATAATCCAGAACACCTAAAAAAACTTTGACTAGATCGAAAAACTTCAATTTCTGGAATTTGTGTAAAACCAATTTTTGACGGAATTTCGTTAAATCCTTTCCGAAATATTCAAAAATGCGAATCAGAATTATTAAATTCAGGCATACATTTTGAATCTCAGACGTTCCATTGCTAGAGAAAACGATTTCTCCCAAAACTGAGTTATTCCTAATTTTGACAACAAAATTCACACCAGATTGGAATATTGGTAGATCGCATCACTGGAGCTGGTTGATTCAATAATCAGTGTTGGTACTACGAGGTCGACAAAAGGGGTCAAAGGTGGTCTAGTTGCCAGGCTCTGCCTTGCCATCACCACAGCTACTAATACTACTACTGGCAGCTAAACTATTGTACCAAATATGTCTCTTAAGGCGGTAACACTAACATGAACTCATCGACTACCATGCAAAATCATGTTTCAAAATATAAATTTATGGCTAGATAAATGTCGTTGTTTCAGCTTATATGCTTTTGTCATTTAAATGGTCTGATAATCGACATAACCTGCTAATGCTCCACACAACGCTTACATTCACCTGTGACTGACCTAGTGACTGTAATTATAAGAAGCTTTAATTGCGTAAGCGTATCGTTATAGCACTTGAGTTTGTATGATAGTGGGTCTTTTCATGTGATGTGACGACAATGTGTCTCCGTCACTATTTACTGTGATAGCATTTAACTAATTCGACCACGTAAACTTTTGCCGTTTTTGAAATCTCAATAGTAAGGATGAAGTCTGAAATACCTAAAGGGTGTGCCATCTTTTATGTCGCTATTGAAACATCGAATGACTTCGATATTTATTTACCAACCGAGTGATTTGGTTATACGTGTTTCTGAAACGTCAATTTACTACAATTTTAGTCATGAATCGCTTTACACCGAAACAACGCACCAAAATAGTCGCAATGTACATTAAAAATCGTCGTTCAGTTGTGTTAACGCAACGTGCATATCGTCGAAAATATCGTAGCAAACAGGCACCGTCTGACAACACTATCCGACGTTTAGTTTCTTGAGTATGGGACAGTGAGAGATCGTTAACATACCGTTCATCAACGACCAAGACGTTCCAATGAATTGGTTGAAGTGATCAGAGACAGCGTTGCCCAGAACCCAAAAGTGTCGTATCGTCACAGCGCTCAGCATTTTGGCATCAGTGGAACCACGTTGCGGCGCATATTGAAGGATGATTTGCATTTGTTTCCTTATAAGGTGCAGGTAACACAACAAATATTGCCAACTGGCCGTCCACGTCGCTCGGAATACGTCGCTCGCATGGTTGATGCTGAACCTGGTTTTTGGAAGCAAATTGTGATAACCGACGAGGCCCATTTCACGCTCTCTGGCGGCGTTAATAAGCAAAACTGCCGCATTTGGGGGACGGAAAATCCACATGAGATCCACGAAATGCCGTTGCATGACGGGAAAGTGACTGTTTGGGCCGACGTTTGCGCCAAAACAATCAATGGGCCAATTTTCTTCAACGAAAACGAAAGAGTCGCTGGAAATCGATATCTGTGGATGTTGGCTCATTATGTCTGCCCACAAATGCGTGAAAAGGTCACACTGCAAATGAAACAATCCAGTTTCTGCAACGAACATTCCCTGGACGTCTGATGTCAAAACGAGGTAACGTTGACTGGCCACCCAGGTCTCCAGATTTGATCCCACCGGACTTTTTCTTGTGGAGTTATTTGGAAAGTCAAGTGTACGCCGGCAAGCTCCAGACCACTGAAGAACTCAAGGCAAACATTCGTACCGCAATCGCTGCTTTACCACCAGAGATGCTCGAAAAAGTAATGGAAAACTCAGCTAAACGAGCACATTTTGTTTTGGCCAATAAAGGTAGCCACTTGATAGATGTTGTGTTCAGAAACGAGTCTCAATAAATTGTAAAGGACCGAATTTAATAAAAATAGCCGATATATATATACGTATATAAATCTGTATTTCGTTTTCAAAGTTATTTCATGTTTACATACCGACATAAAAAATGCCGCACCCTGTAGTATATTGTAATTGCTAAACTAGACTTTATTTCCTACTATAGGCCGAAATATTGGTGAAACTTCGAATGGCTGGTGAACATCAAGTTGTAAATGGAATGATAAGTGATCTGCAGGTATATACATGCAATTACAACCCAGCTAAACGAGTTCAGACGAGAAACAACGTGTTGCATCCTGTTACAGTGAGCCTTGCAGGGTCTACACCAGAAGATAAAGGATTACATATTGAGGTAACCAAAATCAATATGAACTGTGGAGAAATTGATTAAAATTTGGATATAGACTAAGCGAATTACGGTTTCAAAGTCTTCTGAAGTAACAACGTTACCTATTGCTCAGCTCGCATTCATAAGAGATTCTACTATCACCAACCTTCTAAAGTATGAGCAAGGCCTACTAGAGACCTTTGAGAATCATTATCAAGTGGATGTCTTGAATACTGATTCTGCAAAGGCCTTTGACATACTAAATTATAATATTATGCTTACAAAATTTAAGACCTGAAAATTATCAAAGCAATTACTGAACCAACAGACTGTGATAAGCTTCAAGCATATATTAATACTTTTTTTCGCTGATGCAATGTTAATGAAATGCAATTGATTATAAATAAGTAAGTGTAAGATCGTGAGTTTTTATAGGATACATAAAACAATTAATTTTAACTATCAACTTGAATTTGTAGACATGGAAAAAGTTAATATCATAGAATACCTCGGGGTTGTTATGGATCATAATCTTTCTTTTAAAAATCACATAGAATATATAACCAATAGGGCAATGAAGCTATTGGGGTTTGTTGTTCGAACATTGGTAGATTTTAAAAACAATTTGTCTTTTAAATACGCCTACTGTGCAATACTAAGATCCATTTTGTAGTATGCTTGTTCTATTTTATCACCTTACTATAAAATTCATATGACTGCAATAAAACTCATGTTAAAGTAGGTTTTAAGGCTTATATAGCCTATAATCCGAAAATGCCATTAGAACAGCTTGATTATGACGACTTGAATAATGTATTAGGTATGACTTTTCTAGAAAATCGAAGGATTTATTTTAATAATTGCACTGTGTATAGGTTGTGCACTGATATGTTCCTCAGACCTTATATCTAAAATTAACTTACATGTATCAGTCAAACAAGGAAAAACCAGTTGTTATCTGTTATTTCAAAACTAACTATGCCATCCATGGGCCTATGTCAAGAATTTATCATATGCCTGTAATATAGCAAAAACACTTGTCACTTGTGTCTTACATTTTCGCGCTGGCCCAATTTTAATATTAATTAATATTTAATACTATTTGCCCGGTAGCTAAAAGCGCTACGCGTTTTACTTTGGCATAATATGTCTCTACAATATTGTTTATCTTTATGCTATTTACTGCAGCTTATGATAACTGATGTGCATCTGAGCGTCTCTCCGTCCACCATAGAGCTTCTGAATAGAGTGTTGGTTACTATGACGAAGGGTGGATCTAGTGACAAAGAGAAGGAAATAGAAGAGATATATTATGAAAACATATGGGAACCGAAGTCATTTGATGACCCGGATTTTTGGTTTTTAAAGACAGGTGAGTAACTTAGGATGTTGATTAATTTTCCTTATCGCAGCTAAACTCTTCACTTCTTATCAAATTGATCTAATAATAAGCCATTCTCCATTTCCCAAAATATTTGAATTAAGATGCATATTGAAAATATGCGTTAGTTTATTCTTTACGCCCAAACAATAGTTTTATTTTGAGAGTAAACATTTTTGAGTTGTGAATTGTGTCGAATCGAAATGAAATGTCAGAATTGTCACAAATTCTGCTTATAATCAAAATTAAAGCAAAATATCAAATTAAATATTCGAACAGACCTCCTTCTTGAGTTTGACAGTAACTTAACCTATTGTAGAAGCCTACGCGAACATTTTCAAGCATGGTAAGAATAGCTGAACGAACCATTGATGCAACATTGCAGAATTGGTGGCAACCCTGACCATTTTGACATAAAATGGAGCGCCGATTCCCGATCGGTCCTAAACAGACTCGACACAATTCACAATTCAAAAATGTGTACGCTCAAATTAAAACCATTATTTGGGCGCAAAGAATAAACTAACACATAATTTCAATATGGATCTTAATTCAAGGAACTGGTGTAACATATTGGCAACGGGATAGATTGCACGATCTTATGCATCATCGTTGCTAGGGAGTGTGGTGATAACCTTCACTGACCAGCCGGCTTCTATCTCTTTCTAACATACACATTTATCGCGCTTCTGTATAGTGCACATTTAACTCAAGCCGTCAGACAAATTTAGTTTTCCCTCTATGTTAAAATGTGTTCTCTTAGTCAGTCAGTTTTTATACCATTAATAATCTGATGATGAAATACTTCTCGCCTGTTCCCGTTTTTCTATAAACGCCGCAATACATATCGAAATAATGTTTATAATCTATATATTATATAGATTCAAACAAAACTGATAACTATCTGACAAGTAACTGACAACACGACACAACTCAAAAATATCAAAATTTGTACCTAGCCGTCTTGCACTATGCAGGGTGTTACAATATATTTGTGGCTTTATCAGTATTCTGTACTTAATATTTTCTCTCTAGAGTATGGGACAGATGCTTTGGATCAGCTGATGCACAGTCAATCAATAATAGATTCGAGAGCCAATCAACAAACTATACTCCAAGAACTGTGCATTATCTCAATACCTACGATTATAGTGACAGTTGAAGCTGGTGTAGGTAATAAGACGCTTCCAATGCTCATGCTCGAGACCGGCTTGAAAGGAAGTGTCAAAAATTGGTCATCACAGGTAAATAACAGATGCAGCGTATTTTAAATTTCCTAAGTCAGTATGTGAGGAATTATTGTAATAGCGAAGAAATTTGTAATCGAGATATTGCGTTTTTTTTATATTCTCATATACATCACGACATACCGTGTTATTTCTGTCGATTGTCGGACTGTCTGATGATTAACCGATAATACTCAAATCTTGATGAAACTTTAATTGTGAGTTACTACTGTGCCAGACACAAAAAGCTTTGTATGTGTTGGAAATCGATGTGTTGGATAATGGAAATTAAGGATTTTTATAAATGTTATGGGTATTTTATGATAAACCGGCAAAATGCGAGCGTACAAGTCATTATTATATAACACAGTTATAGTGAATTTAAAACATACCATTGACAAGACCAAAATAAACAGTCAACATTCGATACAATAAAGATATACATATTAATTTTCAGTCAGGTGCTCCTAAAGTAATGCATAAACATATTTTACATTTAGTTAAGCGTATATCTACATATTTCTAATAGTCCAATCAAATATGCCATAAAAAATGGTCAACCCCGAAATAAGAGATAATAAGCTGCGAACTTGTAGAAACCTTTATTTTGCCATTCTCACAGTTGTTTCAAAAGTCTCATAAAACCTCGTATCTGCGTCCTAACATATTGAAGGTCAACTGTCACAAAAATTGTTGCAAGGAGATCGCATCCTATGGGCTTAAAGGTATGTCTCATTATGAATATTGTAGATAATAAAATTCTCTATAACTTTTGCTTCAAACTATTACAATTAACCGTTTTTCAGATAGAGGGTGGAGATTGCCCAACGCCTAGTGGTTTACAACAAAATGCAAAGTTAAGCGTTAGGCCCCATAAATAAAGTCTATAAAGTCTATAAATATGAAATATATAGTTGTGCATAATTAGCATCTCTTAATTATTACATTATATTTAATTACTGTTCATTATTTAATTATATTCTGATTGTATACTAATTACATTGAAGGTAGAAAAAAAATGAGTTAATGCATTTTTATATTTTTAGGCATACTGTTTTATACATATATTACGATAGAAATTCAAACCGTCTTCCAGTTGCTCGAAAATGTCCAATTCATTATCGCCATTTTGATTATGAAGGATATTTGTCTCAATGTCTTCAAGTATTTCGGGGTCAAAAGTACAATAGGCACAGAATCACCCTGAAGTCCCCTGGTTTATTACAAACTATACCCTAGATAATGACTATAGGGTCTCTATAACACATATGAGTTTGTTGGTGGCACAATTCTTCATTTGGGCTCTGCGATTTTTTATAAAAGCATATGCTTTTTATAAACATATATTTGATTAATGAAAAGTATCAAAAATATAACGCATTATTAAAAAAATGTCAATTTTGAATAACTATATATTTTTTCAATGATTTGTAGACCTAATACGGTGCATTTATTTATCGGAACTAACGGTTGACCTTGAACCGTATAAACTACTCGTGGACTTGGCTACGAGATAAACAATCACCACGCACTTGCATCAACATCTGATGCGTTTCGATAAATGTTTTACCAAGTTTAACACAGAACTTAATAGTGGCTCTTCGTTCGATGCCCATTTTTCGACCGATGCTAAAAAGGTACTGTCACTCTGAGCGCGATAACTCAGCGTGAAGTGGCTCGATTGTCATGAAATTTTGACAGGGTTTCAATGAAAGATGTACCTATTCAAGGCTTGTTACCCTATAATAGATGGCGCTACTTGTATTGAATATCTTTCAAAAGTCCTGCTTACTTTACGAAATACCTTCTATTAATATAACTTTGCATGCTATTCGATCTACTGAAAATTTTTGTCAAGTAGGTTGGAAGGAGGTTGGAAGTTGTTGTATCCAGTATACAACTTCTTCCCGTTCAAGTGATTGTCCACGCGTTAAGGAATACCTCAGTACCGATTGCCGGGTGGCGGTACAAGTCCGCCAATGGGCCACTTTAGGTCTATTTAACATCACTAACAGGTAAAAAGAAGGTGGTAGACAAGCACCAGTCGACCGAGGCAGTACCACCCGCTAGCTTTTCCCAGGGTGTCTTATAAATATCCACATGTTTCCACACCTAAGCTATGCAGTCGGTTATCCTCCAAAACAAAGTAAATTAATGATTATGGATCCCTCGAGCACTAAGAACTCCGGGCGTAAACTCACTCCACTCTCAGAATGTCCGGGTGGAGGTGGGCTCGAGGGAACAACATCGAAGATAAAATTTGATTTTCGAACATCTGCGGGATCAACAGCAACATTGATGCTGTTCATCACTACCTGCAATCCAATCGTCCCGCCGTGCTTTTCTTGGCGGAGACAAAAATCTCAGAGTCTGCACCGATTAACCATCTTAACTTCCCAAACTACGAGGTGCACTCCAATCTGAGAAAGAACGGGGGAGTTGTGGCTTTTGTCCGCAGCAGTCTTTCCTGCTCCAGAAATGTTTCTTTGGAATCAGACCGGAAGGACATTCTGTGGCTTCGCCTCAACTCCAAAACATCACCCAAGTTTATTTGCTGCCTTTATCGCTCTCCCTCGGACCATAACTGGGATGACCTACTCGAATACCTCGCCGTCCAGATCGACTTCCTGAACATCAATCATCCCGCTTCAGAGGTAGTTCTTCTCGGTGATTTCAATGCTCATAACGAGCTTTGGTTGTGCTCAAACAAGGCCGACGCAGCAAGTCGTGCAGTCGAAGCGTTCGCTCTTACCCAAGGGCTGACTCAGCTGGTGACGAGTCCTACTTTTTTCCCCCGCGTCTTGTCACACGCCAGTAGCCTGCTGGATCTCTTTCTGACCACGCATCCTTCCCCTTACAGCACTGCTGACCTGTCCCCCCTGGGTAACTCGGACCACGGTGTTGTGGAGGTTAGGTTTCGGTCAGAAACCGCTGTGGCAGCAGAAGCTCGTACAGGCCGCAAAACTTGGCATTACGGACATGCCGACTGGGAGGGGCTCAGAGATTTCTTCTCTAGCTTTCCTTGGAAAGATGTCTGTTTCACTGACGCGGATGCGTCGGCTGTCTGTTCTTCGATAACCGAAATTATCCACGTCGGAATGGAGGAATACATCCCTCACACAGTGAAAGTGCCTGGTTTAACAAATCGTGTGACGCTGCTCGCCAGCAGAAGATCAAGGCACACAGAACCTTCTTACAAAACCCCACTGTAGAGAACACACAAGCCGACGTTGAGTCCAGAAACAAATATAAAGCAGCGGTTCGCAATGCCAAAAACCAGCATGATATAAAAGTTAGGCACAGGGTAATGTCGCAGCACAATGGCAGTCGGTTTTTCTGGACGCTGGCCAAACAGATTGAAAAGAACTTCTCACACAGTAGCCTTCCACCACTTACGTGTCAGGATGGACCTATTGTATTCAACTCCAAGGCCAAGGCGGAAGTGCTAGCCAAGATCTTTGCTGCCAACTCCAGCATGGACGTCCCCCCCAACGCCCAAGTGCCGTCAATTCAAAGGGTTCCCTACACTATGCGGTAGGTAACATTCAGGCATAAGACCGCAAGACGAGTGCTCTTGTCGCTCGACATCAACAAAGCTTTTGGTCCGGACTTGATTCCTGCCATTGTACTGAAGAGGTGTGCACCGGAGCTTGCTCCAGTTCTTTCGCGTCTCTTCCAGATATCTTATGAATCCGGCACCTTCCCAGAAAACTGGAAATTTGCTCATGTCCAACCCATCCCAAAAAAGGGATCTAAGACCGACCCTTACAACTACAGGCCTATAGCTCTGCTTTCTGTTTTAAGTAAGGTGATGGAGAGGTGCATAAATCGCGAGCTTCTGGACTACCTCGAACATCACGGCTTGATTAGCGACAGGCAGTATGGTTTCCGGCACCAACGATCCACAGGGGACCTCCTAGCTTACGTCACTCAATTGTGGAGTAAACTCATCCAGTCTTGTGGTGAGGCTCATGTCGTTGCTCTTGACATCACGAAAGCGTTCGATCAGCTGTGGCACGCTGCCCTCTTAAGCAAACTTCCATCCTATGGCCTCCCAGAAAAGCTTTGCAGATGGGGCTTACATATCAACGACCTCCTTTCCTGCACGATCAATCCAATCCACAGCTTCGCTAATGACAGCACTCTACATGCAGGAATTCAGAGTCTTACATATCAACGACCTCCTTTCCTGCACGATCAACCCAAACCACAGCTTCGCTGATGACAGCACTCTACATGCAGGAATTCAGAGTGACAAGCTGATCTCTGCCGCTGAGTTGGAAAAAAGAAGACTGGCGATGACTTCCTCTCTGACAAGAGACCTGGAGGCAATCACTGCTTGGGGACGCAACAATCTTGTACAGTTCAATGCTTCCAAAACGCAGTACTGTACTTTGACGAACAAAAAACGTCCCTGCGCTCACCCGGTTTCGATGGATGGCCGAGTTCTGTCAAAGAGCCATTCATTTCGGCTGGTCGGAGTCCAGATCACCGAGGACCTGATCTGGCACGAACACATCTCGTCAATAGCTGCAGATTTTTTTTTTATACTCCAACTACCTCGAAGGCCTAAGGCCTAAACACCTATTGGGTACCGTGGGGCTATAGGGGGATATAGGGGAAAGGGGGGACGCCACACGGACTCTGGCGAGGGAACACGTGTGCATGCAACATGCACACATTCTGGCTCCGCCTACGAGATCCGCCAGGTGGTACCTCCGCGTTCGACAGTCAGAGACCATCTACCACCTACGGACAATCACAACATCCATAGCCAAGAGAAAATTTTCTCCTGGGACGGGACTCGAACCCGCACAGCGCACGGCGACTGATCAGGAGACCGAAGAGTCTACTACTGCGGCCAACGCTGCTGCCTAAAGATAATAATAATAATAATAATAATGTTTATTGTCACAAAATACAAGTAAATATCAAATATTGTGCACAATAAACATAAAGCACCCAAAAAAAGTTTGCACTTGTGTTTGGGTTTGTACAAAATAAAAACTAATAGTACA